GCAGTGTGTGTTTGATAAAGCTAGAAGGACTGTGAATGATGGATTTTTTATTGCTTCTTGACTCCCAGTAAAATCAATAGACTAATTAGTACAGAAGGAAAATTTGATCAATGTTATTGTGATCGGGAGGAACTGCAGATCTTATGGCTATATATAGCATTACTACAGGTGGGTTTAACACCATATGGATGACTAATTAATTGTACATGTACTTTTACATTGCTATAATATAGAATTATACAGAAAGAATTGCTCTGTTACTGGAGTTGACAACATGATGCAGACACATCTTAGTGTAAGCAAGAATGGACTGTATCAATATCATAATACATGTAGCTTAATGTTAACAATAGACTACATTGATTTTAGGTATGTCTTATAATGGCCATACATTGTCTTGTCATATCTTTAATAGCATCACAGCTTGTCTTCTCCCAAGAATTGTTTCTGAATTCAGTTGTTTGTTTACTGTTTTGCCATATTCTGTGAATGGTCATACATTCATCATAACAAAGAATGTGGTCTTGACTTGGATGTTATAAATTGATATTTTTTTTTTTTTCAATGAGCTCTGTGAGTTTCACACAGCAGTCAGTGAAGTTTGATTTTCTTTGGTTGCATTTCATTTGTAATTCTATTGTAAAACAATTCATCTTCAAGGCACAATTACATATAGTTTTTGGAATGGTTGAACTTATACACACCTCCTTTTTAGGTCACCTGAGTCACTCAGGTGACCTATTGCTATCCGTTTTTGTCCGTCGTTGTGCATTAACATTTAAATATTTTCAGCTTCTTCTCTGAAACTGCTCAACCAATTTCAACCAATTTTGGCATATAGCATCTATGGGTGAAGGGGGACAAAAATTTTGAATTTCATGGTCCCTGCCCCCCTGGAGCCTGAGGGGTGGGGCTAAAACCATCAAAATTAATGCAATCTTTAAAAATCTTCTTCTTTACTCCTGGACATCAAGCAGTCAAACTGCTGGCATGATTGTAATAAGCATTGAGCCCTCTACCAAAATTATGAAATTCATGGCCCCAGGGTCAGGGGTTCTGGTGCTAGGGTGGGGCTATATAGATCATATAGTGAAAGTGCATTATTTCTTTGAAAATCTTCTTCTCTGCTCCTTGGTATTAGATAAACTAACTAAGTACATAGTTATGTAGAGCAAGAGTGCCTCTTCCAAAATTGTGAATTTCATGGCCCCTGGGTCAGGGGTTCTGGTGTTAGGGCAGGGCTCTATTGATTTTATAGTGAAAATGCATTAATTCTTTGAAAATCTTCTTCTCTGATCCTGGGTATTAAATAAACTAACTAAGTACATAGTTATGATAAGCAAGAGTGCCTCTTCGAAAGTTGAGAATTTCATGGCCCCTGGGTCAGGGGTTCTAGTGTTAGGTTGGGGCTCTATTGATTATATAGTGAAAATGAATTAAATCTTTGAAAATCTTCTCCTCTGCTCCTGGGTATGAAATAAAGTAACTAAGTACATAGTTATAATGAGCATGGCTGCCTCTTCCAAAATTGTGAATTTCATGGCCCTTGGGTCAGGGGTTCTGGTGAAGGGGGGGGGGGACTTTATTGATTATATAGTGAAAATTCATAATTTCTTTCAAAATATTTTTTTCTACTCCTGGTTATAAAGCAAAGAAACAAGTGTATAGTTATGATGAGCAAGGATGCTTTTACAAAATTTTTAAAACTTGTGGTCCCAGGGGTTCTGTTGTTTCTCTGAAGAGGGGGGTGGGCTCTATTTGATAATATAGTGAAAATGTGTGAATTCTTTGAAAATCTTCAACTAATTGCATAGTTATGATGATGAGAGTACCTATTCCAAATTTGTAAATTTTCAACATCTGGACCATTTAGTCAAGTGTTCTGGTCCTGGCCAGGGCTCTATTAATTTGTATTCTATTGAGTGAAGTTATTCCCCTTTGCCATTCACTTTTGATAATTAATCACTGTAGATAATGTATTTGAAAGGTTAATAGGATAAGAGAATTATGCAAGAACATTTATTGTATAATGTAAAAGTACTTTCATAGTTTTAATAATCAGGTAGAATTGGAAATAATAGATGAATAAAAATGAAACAAAAATAACTTATCTTCTTAAATGTTCTTCAAAGGCCAAGTGAGGCCAATGTGAGAGGTAATAATATAGACATTTTGTTAAAAGTCTGCATGGTAATAGTGATAAATGGGGGACAGATAGAAAGATACTAGACCAATTAATCGTACTAATTTTCTTGCTATTGGGCAACAATTAAAGCTTCATTTATCAGTTTATGGATCCTCTATATTGTTGTACTCAGGTGACCGTTATGGCCCTTGGGCCTCTTGTTAGAGTATATTTCTCATCATGTACTTTACATACTTTAGGCTGTCCAAAGTTAATTCTACGTTTAAAATCACCTATAAAATTCAAAACCTACGAGGGAGTAAACGATTTTCAGTTTTTCAAATGAAGTTTTGTCTGGACGTTTTCTCAGAAATGATCAAATATAAAGTCATTTTTAATGAATGCAAATGTTCATAATAAAGTTTTAAAAAGTGCTTCATGTCTGACCATTTCCATCGCAAGCATAATTTGTCCAAACCGTAAGTGGTCTAAAATTGAGTATTTTTCAACGAAAGTTTCAGGGATGATTCCTACATGCTCAATGTGGAAATTAAAGTCGTTTTGAGCACTTCTGGTCACACTGAAAGTGAATGAAAAAGAACCGGAAGTTGTTAAGAATTGATTGACCTCACTCTTTTGTGTGCTTCTAAACAAATTTTTTTAAATTCATGTGCCTCTTTAACTCATCTGTAGTTCTTCCTTCTTTTATCAATCTAACTAACCCAACAAAGATCTTAAGGGAAATTGGACGAAAGACCTACTCGTTGCTTGCAATGAGATCTCAATGACTAGTTATTATTATTTTTCACTGTGTCTTAAGATGTTCAACTAATATGTTCCCATTATTTTCAAAATTTTGTCTACTGGTATCTTTTAAAAATAATATAACAAATGTAGCCCTTTCTTTCGGTCAATCCGTAGATATACTAGTATCAACTTCTGTTAAGTCAATATATATTTATGGATTGACCTCATAAAAGGGCTATATTTGTATAATATTTGTATTGTATAATATTGGCATGTTTTCAGATTTATTAGTCTTATTTATAAAAACTTATTGATATATGAGAATAGATGTATATCTTATGCACAGAATGAACTGTATAAAATTGTTAATTTATACATAACAGACAGATGTTGCTTCATTTGCATCACAAGAAAGATTTAATGTATGATTTCATTAATTGCCTTCAAGTCTATATTTGACTCTTTTGTTTTCTTCAACTGCATAGTAATGATCTTGGATTTAAAAGAAGCCTCCTTATTTATAAAATAACATTTGATATTTATTTTCCAATATTGATCACCTTCAGATACTAGTATACATGTATATAATATTGGTTTGGGTCTGTATGTTCAACTGCCCGGAGTAATGTGAACGTAAGTTTGCAATTCAAACTTGAATACATTTATTGACTGGGATTGAGGGCAAAATGCTTTTTGTCAGACCCCAAACCAAACTGTTTGACTGAGGCCTAACAGCCTCAGGCAGATAGTTTAGTTTGAGAATTTAGCAAAACGCATTTTACCCAAGAACCCATTCAATAAATGTTTTGTTATACCTTTTACTTTTTTGGGCATATCTTTTGAAGGCTTCGATGATGTAAATTTTGTTTAACCGCACTATGCCAGTATGGATTAAACTTGGTCAATTCCAGAACTGTTGAACATCAACTTATGCAAATAAGATATAGTTGATCCCGCCCATAGTGTGACGTAAGCAGTTCAATATCTCATCAATAGGTCCAATATCTCACTCTGTGTCTCACATTTTTTTTTTTGGACTGCTCAAGAAAACATTGTAAATGTTGGACTTTCCAGCTCTCCTGAGCTGAAAGCTCAAGTGAGCTTTTCTCTTCACCCATTGTCCAGCATCCATCTGCCATCCATCTGTAAACTTTTATACATTTTGACTTCTTAAGTTGGAACAAAAAATCCTTGGGTTAAGGGGATTCTTAATTGTTCAAATGAAGGGCCAAACCCTCTCCCATGAGGGGATAATCAAGAAAGGCAAAAATAGGGTGGGGTCATTAAAAAATCCTCAAGAACTGTGAGCAAGGCTTTGATCAGTCATATTTATATGGAAGTATTCTCAGGTAGTGTAGATTCAAATTTGTTCAAATTTTGACCCTGGTGTTAGGGTAGGGCAACAGAATGTGATCAGAGTTTTACATAGGAATGAACAGCAGGGCCATAGTGACTCAGGTGAGTGTTGTGGCCCATGGGCCTCTTGTTTAGCTCTTGTTTAGCTCACCTAAGTTGAAGGCTCAGTTGAGCTTTTTGATCAAATTTGTCCATTGTCATTGTTATCGTCGATGTAAATTTTTTTTGATTTCTTCTTCTCCAGAACCACTGGGCCAATTTCAACCAAACTTGCCACAAAGTATCTTTGGGTAAAGGGAATTTAAATTTGTTCAAATGAAGGGCCATGCCTTCTTCGTAGGGGAGATATTTATGAATAAGTGCATATATAAAACGATATAAATTTTGATGTTCTTAGAGTTTTACATAAAATGCATATAATTCCTAATTTGTACTCTACTGGGAAGTGACAAGGTTTGGCATGTGTTATAGGGTGTTGAATGTTGTGAGAAAATTACAATGAATGTAAATATATAATTTTAAAAGATTTGTATAAATACAAATGTTTACAGGATTGTCATTTAAGTATAAATGTTTACATTACTGTTAATCTTTGGTTCCATTGTTTATTATTCACATCAGGAGAACCTGTCAATAGACTTAAGTACATTTCAAAATCTCAAGAGGAAAATATTATACAGCTGTGTATATTTAGAGTGGCGCATAATACATGTAACAGTCCATCGAGTAGCATCATGATGATAGAGACCTCTTGTCAAGTTAAAACCACTTTCTAAATATTCAATACAAATTTACAAATTGGATTTTGGGATCTGATGCATGAAGCAATATGAAGTAAAACTGTATCCAGTGGCATTGATTGCTTCAGAGGTTCCTATTGTGTGGAGCAGCCTATTCCACTGTCCCAACTAAGCTTCTATCTCAGGGCCTATTGATTGCTGGCCCCCTGAGTGTATTTGCAATATTGTGTATTGATCACACAACTGGGTTTTATATTAGTTACACACTTTCAGCAGTCGGTTCTAATTTGTTTCATGTTTTTGGGAATAACTACTTTAATTTAATCGCAAGTAAGTTTTTTTTTTTCAAAGGGGTTTTTAATTGCTTCTTAGCACTTCTTCTGTTATCAAGATTTTAGTAAGTGTTATGTAATTAAATTTAGATTTGGAATGTGTATTATATAGGGAATGGAAATGATGCACACTGGTGAGAAAAGTATAAACATGTTCTTTTTATAAAATACCGGTACATTTTTTTTAATGGAATTAAGAATCATATAAGTGATTTAATGAAAAAAAGGGGGGGGGATAAGTTTTTATTATATGCAGAATGTGTTTCATACAAGGTACACTGAGATTTTTCCATGCATTTTAGATTTTGAATATTTAATTTTTAATTTCATTTTATGTATTTATTTTGAATATTCTTAAATTCTATTTATAAAGTACTTTACATTTTGTATTTTTAATAGAAAGCAAGTTAAAATGAAACACAGTTATATATAAAAATATCATAGGCAGATAAAACTTTTAAGTCCTAAATCCAGTGTTTGAAATTCTAGGTAAGCCAGCAGGCCCAAAGGTTAAGTTTAAGGATATCTGATCCTCAGCTAGGAATGATAACTCTTAAATCTATTATTTAGTTAAAAAAGCCTCCAAATGAAGCTTGAAATTGAAATATTTTCTTGCAACAATTTTCATTTTATGCATCTCAATATGATTTAAGGTTCTTTGAAGTCTTAGAAATGATATTATAAAAAGTTGGCATGACTGTACCCCACAAAATTACAAAAATAAATTCATTTTTAGAGAAATCAAATTTCCTTCGATGTAGCATTAGATCCTGGTGCTTATTAACATGATATAAAATTAGAAGTGATCTGGGATGTCTTGCAATCAGCTAACAAAAACTTTTTACACTATGTATTTTATAACAATTGAAGTAAATAAAAGAACTAAAATACTGTATAAGTGTGCAAAACATGCAATTTTCTCCAAATGCCTGGATTGATACCTATAATTTTGAATCCAAAAATATATTTGTTGATCAGTTTTCAAGTAGAAAATCCATAGCTGGTGCTTTTATTCGCATTTACTGAAAATATATTTGAGATCTGATAATTTTCCTTATATACATGTAATATGATTAACTTTAGTGATGAACTTTGAAGAAATACCATGGGTAAATACATGTTATTCTGTGACATCCAAGACATTTTTGTGAGAATTTTCAATTACTGAAAAGCTGATTTTCGGAACCTGAGGATCGGATTACCTCAATATAAAACTGGCTGACAAATTTTGAATAAATCTTTAGTAAAATATAATATGCTTTTATTATTGAAAATATAGGACTACATGTTCGACAAGCCTTTTTATAGTGAGTTTCATGCACTGTCTTATCCATCTTTAATTAATAAAATTTTTTCTTTATTTTTTGTTCTTGATATCAAAATTTGGCCTAGATGATATATAAGCTGCTAATTTTCTTCTTTGAATAAATTTTACTGAGGATAAAAATATTTTTTGGTATGCCCTTGGTTTTTGCATAAATTCACCTTGATATCTTTCATTTATTTTGATCCAAATTTGATACTTTTAAGCCTTAAAGCTTAATTCTCCTTATTCTATAAAAGAAGTGAATTTGAAAGAATAATAATCTTAAATGATGCACAAAAAAGCAAGTTTTGAAGGGTTGCTATTTGATCTGATTTTTTTTAAATTAATTATTAATAAAGTTGTAACTTTCATTTGTGACAGTTCTAAATATCATAAAAAAAAACCCAAAGTAAATAATTGATGATGGCTTTCAAACTTGACAGTCATGTTTCGTGATATAGGTTCCCAGCTATTGATTATATTGATTTGATAAAGAGAATGATTCACAAAAATATCTTCACATCTGCCAGAATAATTAAATTCAATATCTATCCTTCTTTACTGGTTCAGATAAGCACATTACCCAATGTTACTGCAATTGCAAGCACTTCTTTTGTTTTGGAAAGTATAAAGATTTCCTTCTTTAAATGTTAACCTAGACAGGAAATGTTGTCTCCCAGACTGTCAAATGGTTGGTCTAGAATGACAAAACCTTGAAAAACAATTTGCAAAGACTCTTCTAAGTGAAAACTCATAAAAGCTCTTGGATTGAAAAAACATGTTGCAGTATCACATTACAGTCACTTTATTCATCTTCTGTTCAGTACAAAAAAGCTAGGACTATTTAGTTAATGTTATGGAATTAGTACAGGTGTACCATTGCTGTGTCAGATTGCATTATTTTTGGTACAGCTATTGTTATACTTCACAGTAAATAAACTGTAGGCCTAATCTGCTTCAGTGTTGAGACTGTAACAATATTAAGCTTATAACACATATCACTATTTGCTTTCTGAATTCTGTTTACTAACTGCATCATCGTGTTGGCAGGAACTTTGTAGGAAGATCAAAGTATAGCTTTTGAAATGACTGTTGACAATGTCTCTGAATGTTTTTATCAGGTAACACATAGAGTGTCACTGTAATAGACAATTATTGTCTCGTATTGATTTTGTCACAATTAGCGAATCGTTTGATTGCCTGTAGTCAGATTTTCTGACAAGTAAGGAGCATGGAAAATGCCATCCAATTTGTCGTGTTCTGTGATGGCTTTCTTTTAAGGCATATCTGTAATTCCTTTATATCAAGCAACCCAGGATAAGTGAAGGATTTCAAATCAATTTAAGAGAGGGCTAAATATTATATATGTAAAGGTTGTGAAATATAGATATTGAAACGGTACTTTTGTATATGGAATGAATTCCTCAAATTTGTAAAATATTTATTTACTTTTGATATTTCAATGTCTGCTATAATCTGTCATATGTTGATAAAGAGAATAAAAGTTAATAAAAAGTAGATATAGGAATAACATGTTATATCAGCTGGCCTTACTCATCATAATCTAATATACTGGTACAGTGCAGGGAACTAATTTTGTGACATTAACCAGCATCAGCATAAGCATTAGTAGCATCAGGATCGAGCTAGCATCAGCATCAGCATTTAAAAAACAGCATTACCAGGATCAGCATCAGCAAGCAAAGGATAAAACTAGCATTGACCTACATAAAATCAGCATTATCCTACTAGCATCAGAAAATCAATGAGTTTTAATTCAGTAAAAAATTAAAAAACAAGGGAAAAAACATTGGTTAAAGTATTCACATTATTGATACATAGTGAGATATTATGATCAAATAATTGTAAAGGAACTTTTATTGCTTTAAACGGCAATGCTGAAATTCATTATCTACTTCCGGTAGCATGATGCTACTTCCGGTAGCATTGACCTAATTATAAAACAGCATCAGGATAAGGATTACTAGCATTAAATCAGCAAGCAAAGGAAGCATTCAAATCAGCAAGCAAAGGAAGCATTCAAATCAGCATAGATGCTGTAACAAAATTAGTTTCCTGCACTGTATATGGGTCATACTGTACTCTGATCACAAAAAGTGTTAACGAGGTTCGCTCCTGAGCTTTTGAGCAGATTTATGTCTTACCCTATATTTCAAAAATTCTGCGTAAAGTTTTAATTCATACAATAATTTTGGATTCTACAATGCCAATTAAACTATATTCAGTTAAAACTCCATGACTTAATTCCATACCAAAAGCATTAAGTGAGGAACTATATTTTGTGGCAGAAGGTTTTTTAGAAGAAAATGGTCATTTTTTGTCTTTCGAAGTATTTAAAGTATGTTAAGTTTGAATTCCTATTTCTCCATGCAGTCTGCACACAGAGTTATTTTGTGAAGTGAACTGTTTTATACTAGTCCTAAATTATATATCAAATAAACTGTCATGAATTTTATCATCATATTTAATAAATATAGCAAATATATTTTGAAAGTCAAGAAAAAAATATCCCTATTTTAAGCTTAAAATTAGCACTATTTTAGTAATATCTAAAAATTAACATCACAGACCCCCACTTCTTATTTTCTTTTCTGAATATATAAGATACTTTTAACCATTCTTCTTAAATTCAGTAAAATGTCATTACTTTCAAATGATATTTTTGCTTGTTAAATTTTTAATGCCAGAAAAATGAAATTTTTTGATTGCAAAAAGGTCAAATAATTGAACATGCGGAGTTATTTGAAAATTTTTTCGTTGTCACAAATTTTTAGGTGTCTATTCAAGATGACATAAGTCTGTGTTTGTTCTCATAATTTACTTGAATAAAAAATATTGGAGGAAAAACTTCAAAAATTGATTTATGTGTAAGACGTATTTACAGTGCAAAAAGGTCAAACTAAATGCTCTGTAGCGCTAAAAGAAGCGCATTGACCCCCATTTTTTGTTTTGATTTTTAATTAAGCTGTGTGTATAAATTCAGAAAATATACTTGATAAAAAATTCTCATTACTTTTGATGGCAGGATCCAACCTCCTTAAGTCTAATGGACAATAATTAGTAAAATTCTGCACAACACACTAATGATTCTTTTCAGAATCCCCATCTATTACTAGTATTGCATAAAAGGCCTTGCCATAAAGGGAATTTCTTCTCAGTTCCAGTGCAGGTAAACAAGTGCCAGAACACAAGCAAATTGCATTATCGGGTAATTAGGCAATCTCCACAAAAAAAACCTCAGTCTGATGTGTGCAGTGCATTCACCTATTTTCTTAACAAGCAAAAAAATGACATAGTTTGATTAGCATTATTGATCAGAGAGGACCAAAACGATAATTATATAGCAGACAAAATGAAAACTCTGGTGCTGCTGATAAGCCACTGCAGCAGGAATAAGTCATGAATATGCATTCTTGTACACAGACCATTACCCTGAGTAAGAATATACATAGAAAGATTATTATACCAACTCAATAAAAGCCTACAGTTGAAATAGAAGTTTTACTAATTAGTGGTTCTGGTCATTATTTCCCTTCAAAGTTATTTTAGTGCAAGACATACAAAGACTGTAAATTCAATTAATTGATGAAATGATATAATCCTACGGTTGTTACATTTATAGATTTTGCTATTCAGAGTCTAGAGCATTGTAGATGTTGCAATGCCAGAATCAATGAAAACGATGCAAGATTTGGTCATTGTATTGGAAGGGTTTGTTTATAAGATTTAGATCGAGGAGGATACTTTTGAAATTCAGCATCAACAAATTCTGTTTATAAATAGTTTTTAGCTCACCTGAGCCAAAGGCTCGTGAGCTTTCAATCTGATCAAAATTTGTCCATTGTCTGTCGTTGTTCACAGTTATAAACAACGACCCCATTTTTCGTTTTTTTTAATCATATGCTTCATGTTTCTTTTCTATCCATTGTAACATTATGCACGACTTATTTAAATTTGAAGTGGAACGCTTCTGTTTATGAAGATTGATATGATCATTCAATATCATATATAGAGCACATGGCACGTTTTCATTCACAAATAACAACAGTACTTTTTGGTTTCTTGGGCTCATTGACCCGTCGATGCCACATTGTGCCCGACACAATCACTTAGACACTTAATTTTATGTATAAGTACTTCTTACGAGTAATTATAAAGCACTTTACTGATTACGAAATTTTTCAAGAGAAAAATATAAAACATTCGGATAAAATTGAAAAACAAATATATACTATCGTAAATTTTCTAATCGCCATGTGGACAACTTGAACGTAATTTTAAGTCGCCCACATGGAACATTAGTCACAAATTGTGAGTGGGCAACTGTTAACTTCAAACCCTGAACGTAGATTCAATTTTGTTCAAATCATGACTCCTGGGGGGAAGAATGGGGCCACAATGGACAGTCAGAGATTTACATAGGAATACATACTAGTTAAAATCTTGAAAAAAAATTTCTCAAGAACAGCAACCCAGTGGTGAGTCATATTTTTACTGAAACATCCTCAAACAGTGTATTCAAGTTAAAAAATGTTCAAATCATGACCCCTGCAGGTAGGGTTGGACCACAATGGGCAATCAAAGATTTACAAAGGAATACATAGTTAAAAATTTTTAAAAATCTTTTTCTCAAGAACAGCAAACTGATGATGAGTCATATCTATATGGAAACATCCTCAGGTAGCTTGTATTTTTTTTTTCAAATTGGGTAAGGTTACTTGGCCACATTTGGCAATCAAAGTTCAACTTGGGAATATATATGGAAAAAAATTTAAATTCTTATCAAGAACAGCAAAGGCATGAAAAGTCATATCGATATCCTCGGGTAGAAAGTGTAGATTCAAGTTTGTTCAAATAAATCATGACCCGCAGGGTCAGGACTGGGCCAAGTACAATGAACTTGGAGATCAAAGTTTTGCATCTGAATATATAAGAAAAAAAAAATTTTCTCAAGAGCAGCAAAGCTATGATTAGTCATATTAATGTGAAAGCACCTTCAGGTAATGTAGATTCAAGTTTGTTCAAAATCATGACCCCCTGGAGAAGGGTTGGGCTACGTACAATATGTGATCTAAGTTTTACATAAAAATATATAGGGAAAATAATCTGCTAATGAGGAATAGAAGGGCCAGAGTTACTTCCAATGTGAGTAGTTCTTAATACACATCCACACTGCCACCAAGAGGCCTGTAGTCTTCCACTAAATTCTTATAATGCCCACAAATTCCAATATAAAATATGTGTTTGCCTTACTGGTACTCAATAGAAGGCTGCTTTACAATCATACAATGTACCTTGAAATCTTAAATCAAGAATAAATAAAATACACATAATAAGTCAAACTGCAGTTTGTTTTTCTGGAAAAAAAAAATCAAATGAAAGTACAGTCAGTTTGATTAAAATGTCATGTACAAAACATTCCTGGCATGATTGAGTGGTTGTTGGACTCTAGAATTCAGAAACATTTGATATTTCCCAAGAGAACTCTGACCCTACTGTTATAACAAAATGCAACTTAAAAATCAATCTTTCAAGTTGGTACAAATTCTGGCTTCAAAAATCAGGCTACAATTTTGGATCGCTAGAGACAGTTTAAAGTTTGAAAAGATGACATAATCAATTTTACATTACAATCAATTGATGGTTTAGCTGTGAGTCCCTCCATTACTGAGAGACTCAGGGCTACTGGAAAGATCAATAGAAAACATGCTCTGTCCAAACCAGTTGTTCAAATTAATTATATGTAATGTTGCAATCAATACATAATGGACACCAAGAAGCCACATTTAGGAAATGTGTGACACTTTCTATCTAATTAATAGGAGTGTGAAGTCTATTCAAGTTAGCAAAAAGAAGCTAGTGTACCATATACATGTAGTCATTCACTAGAGAGAATTATTATAACAAATGTAGAATTCAAACTTAAATGGTTCATATAATATATCTTTTCAGTTGATATACATGTATGTAGATTTACCAGACTTAAAGTACTGTAGATTCCTAAATATGTACATGAGGAACTTATTATCACATATGAAAAACAGTATTATACCGGTACTCTGAAGAAATTAAAAAAAACCTTTTATTTTAATATTGCTGAACTAAATGTAAAAAATCTAACTCAACAGTCTAATTGCGAATTCCTGTTCTAATAATATGACATGTACGAGGCATTTCGCCATATTAAGTACTTGACATGTAAAATAAGGAATCTACAGTACATAACTGTTATTCTTTAAAATCTCATCATAATTTGCATTCAGATATTCTAAGCCTTTTTTTGCCAAGTTAAAGAGTTAAAAGTGAAATGGATATTTATTAACTAGACAGTTGTCTTTCATCTATAAAGGTACCAAAAAAACTCAAGCATCAATGGTTCAATGACCATACTTGTTTGGACTGAGGAGTCACTAACAATGCTAATAAATATACAATGATAAAAGATAATGACATTTTATATATATTTATATTTAACATCGTGTGCACGACAGTTGTTTGTCCTCTCTAGTCATTTGCATTTAATCAATCAAGCCCTCATTGATTTCAGTTTGTATTTGTTCCTTGCAAGACAAATGTTGTCTGTAGGAATGAGGCAAGGAAAAAGGTTGTCTTGTGTAAACATGTTTATTTTCTTTCATCAGATTACTTGCTGCTGATGTGAGAAGAATTAGAAAGCAGTAGCCATTGTTGCCATAGAGAAGGGCATAGTAACAAAAAAATGGCAGCATTCATTGCTAAGCAGATGGTTGGCAACCAATTAAAGTCAGTCAAAGGTATGAATTTTCTTTCTAAAGCATGCAGCAATTGTTAATTTAGTGTAAGTTCAAATTGAAAATGTTAACATGTGACATTATGTTTTATGTATGAAAGAGGATTTTCTCCCCTTTGGTTGGCCAAATTCCCCCGATGTTGAAAAAAAGATATCAAGATAACCTCATGTATGTTGACAGATAAAAACACTTTTCTCGAAAATGTTAGTATGCAATTGTAATGTTATTACTTATTCCTAGTTTCTCTTTTAAATACAGGATATTAAAATTATGCAGTCATAACAATGTGACATTACAAGCAGTGCTATCCAACTTTCATGTTACTTTTCATCATTGTGTTTTTGTGAGAATTTGACCCTTATATTAAAACAATTATCAATCTTTTTGTATTTTTAGCTCACCTGAGCCAAAGGCTCAAGTGAGCTTTTCTGATTGAAATTGTCCAATTGTCTGTCATCGTAAACTTTTCACATTTTCATCTTCTTCTCAAGAACCACCAAACCAATTTTAACCAAACTTGCCACAAAGCATCCTTATGTGAAGGGGATTTAAATTTATACAAATGAAGGGCCACGCCTCTTTCAAGGGGAGATAATTTAGAAATAGTGAACATTTGGTGGCATCTTTTAAAAATCTTCTTCTCAAGAACCACTTAAGGCCAAAAAATTTCAAACTTATAGGAAACCTTCTTTACATAGTGTAGATTCAAGATTGTTTTAATGATGACCCCTGGGTGTAGGGTGGGGCCACAATGGACATGATCAAAGTTTTACATAGGAATATATAGGAAAAATCTTTGAAAATCTTCTTCTCCAGAACAGCAAAGCCATGATTGGTCGTATTTATATGGAAACATCCTCAGGTAGTGTAGATTAAGATTTTTTCAAATCATGACCCCCCAGGGATAGGATGGGGCCACAATGGACAATTCAAAGTTTTACATATTAGGAATATATAGGAAAATCTTTAAAAATCTTCTCAAGAACAACAAAGCCATGATTAGTCATATTAATATGGAAGCATCTTCAGGTAGTTAAGATTTAAGTTTGTTCAAATGATATCCCCTGGGGGTAAAGGTGAGGCCACAATGGGGGATCAAAGTTTTAAAAATAATTTCTGTTTTCCGTTGATTTCTATAGCGCAAAACACAAGTTTTACCAAAATTATAGAGTTATCTCTCTTTGTTTTCCCAAATAAGATATGTTTTATTAAAATTCACATAAATATCTACACAAATATAAAAAATCATTCAAATATGATAACTTTCTCTTGAGTGAAATAATTCCAAATCCAACTACAAAATATTGAATTTTCTGTTTTTTATTACTTTTTCTTTGATTTTCCCTTTGCTTCTGTCTCTTCATAACAAAGTGTCATAGGCTATGATCTCATAGTTTAGCAGTTTAGACGTCATAACTTTACAATTGTGAGATTTAAGACATAGTAAACACTGGATTTCAACAACACATTTGGAGAAACTTTGGCAGTTTTGGTCTCTGTCAGGATTGTTTATTTTCTCTGTTTATAACAGGCCAGGGAGTGCTTTTGTTAAATGTATGAATTGTTAACAATGCATGAGCATTGGAGTAGCTCATTATAATGGTAATGAACTGTTAATGCTGAATAAAATAAATATCGCATTAGGCCACAGTTTTTTAGCTATCCTCAACGAAGTTGGGGGAGCTTATGTAATACCCTCGGCATTGGCATCCCAGGTTAAAGTTTTTGGAGCAGATTTCTTTTTAAGTATTTCTATGCCCTATATTAATCAGAGGTGCATGGACAATGCTTCTAGTATGTTTCATTGTACCAGTCAAGGTTTCAGATGCTGCAATTTCAGCTGAAGAATGACCAGGTTAATGTTTTTGGAGCAGGTCAAAGTTCTTGGAGCAGGTTAAATAAAGTTTTTGGAGCCAGGTCTCATTTCCAGGTAACTATAAGCCCTATATTGACCAAACTTGCATGGATGATACATCTAAGGATGCACACTACTGGACTTGCTTTGGATGCTGGATCTGACCTACATTTATTTTGTTTGGAATTTAATTACAAAATTTCATAAATTCATCTCACTTTTTTATTGGGGGGGGGGGGTGAGGGGGTCTTAAAGTGTTTTAAAATTGAGGTACTAGTTGTGGGTGTACATACAAGACTCCCAGATTTTCAAAACCTCTCCCTGCTGACAAAGCTGGTATGGCATCATGAAAAAAGAGTTGTCTGAATGAAATAAATACTTATAAAATAATTTAGGATCGTTTTTGCTTCCTGACATTGTTGCATGTACCTGCATTGCTGTCATCAAAAACGAAAGCTTCATTTTATTTTTATTTCTCCTGACCGACCCTAATTTTTAGGGAAAAAAAATCTGTAAACCAAGAAATTAAAAAACTGAAGCCTTAGTATGCAAGGATACTTTGAGAAAGATTTCTTTTTGTGGGTTTTGTCTTAATTACCCCTGTAAGTAACTTTCAATATTTACAGTAGCTGACAATGCTGAATACTAGTAGACAGATAGAAAGTATGGCACCATCTATTGCTAGAATGTTTTTTTTAAGGAAGACAATGTAAGCTGCAAATGTGAGCAATTCTCTATAAAACTGGACCCATAGGGTCATGAAACCATTTAGACTAGCATGCAAGTAAGAATTTTCATATTGTGTTAAAGTGATGAAGGAATCAAAGTTATCAAACAGACAAAATAAAACATAATTTAGGATTGTATTTCAAATTTTGCATATGTTTAGTTCATAATTATACCAAATATCAACTGAAACTTTGACTTATGAGTGTTTGTTTCATGATTCTGGGGCCTAGGCTATCACGAGTTTTATCAAATGTAAATTAACAATATTTATTTCAGGTTCTTTTCATTTATTTCATGATGAGCCTTAAATAAATGTATTTTATATAATGTTCATTAAGCTGCAGTGGTAGATAGGCCAACTTTATAATCAAGGAATTTATTACAATCAACTTCATTAACCATTACATAAGGTTGTGGTAAATGACACCCCCATGTGGTACTTCAATTTACCACCAGCTCAGTAGCCAGTCATGTTGTGCCACTACTCAGTAGCCAATCAGATTGTTCAACCACCCATTAGCCAATCATTGTGCCACCACTCAGTAGCAAATCAGATTGTGCCTCTGGCTCATTAGCCAATCAGATTAAGCCTCCGGCTCAGTAGCCAAACATATTGTGCCACCACTCAGTAGCCAATCAGATTGTGCCACTGGCTCAGTAGCCAATAAGATTGTACCTCCAGTTCAGTAGCCAATCAGATTGTGCTACCAGCTCAGTATCCAATCAGATTGTGCTACCAGCTCAATATCCAATCAGATTGTGCTACCAGCTCAATATCCAATCAGAAAAAACCAAATGATTCTACTACCTGGAACATTACTAAGGATGTTGATATTGTTCAGAAAGGGCATTTGTGATTTTACATAATTTTGTTCTTTGTCATCCATAAAATTGATTTTCTTTCATGTCAGTGAATGAATATTCAGCTTTTTACTTTGTTTACAGCTATAGGAATATACATCATTAATTTTGCTCTGCAATGATTAAGTATTGCTGACCTTGTTTTTTCCAATTGTTATTATAAGATGGCTTTGTTAGTTTGTTTTTGGTAAGTTAATATGCTATGTCTTCAATGAATATACATTTATATTGATCTCCAGATCATGATATAGTCATTAATGATGAAAGTACTATAAGTAAGGAAGGAATAATCACTGTCAAGTGAAAATGTAAAGTGAAATTATTTCAGTATTTAGTGAAACCCCTCAAAAAAGCAAGACCAACAACAACGAAAAAAAATGCACGCAGAACTAAGGCCAGCTTTAAAATAATGTTTGTTCACCCTCTCCCAACATTTGGTCGGTAGATAATTGAGAATTGTTTTCCTTTAGAAAATTTCAACATCAATGCTGAATTTTCAAAATCTTTTTTCCAGAATGCATAAAAAAATAATTGTTTCTTAGAGAATAAAAAAAGTTTTGAGTCAGGCCATTTTTAGCCAGTTAGTAAGAGAGGGCAACCAAACAATTTTTTAAAGATGGCCTGAGAATTCTACTGTCAAAATAAACAGCAGAAATATATATGCTATAGAATGAGTATTTTATTTCAAATTTTAGAATGTTTTTGTAAAAAAAAAAAAATATCACGATGTAGTGGAAATTTAGTCTATATATTAATTATTTCTAGCAGGCTTCTAAAATTCCATCTTACACCTGAGGAAATTATACCACTGTGACCTACATAATTATACTGAACAGTTTGATCCACAAGGAGATTGACGATTAAAAATGTGGTCCCAAATTACTGGTAATCTTTATATTTTTGGCTAATCACAATTTTGTAGGTCTTTTTTGCATGGATTTTTTCCCACTTTGTTCAGTATAATTATGAGTTGCAGTATTCACAGTGCAGTGCATTTTCACATCTTTATATCATCTATAAGTGTTTAATTATCGAATCTTGTATTAATACTCCTGTTCAAGACATTTTTGCACATGCAGTATTTCCTTTTTCTACATATTTTGTGATTAGAGAATTCTTTCTTTTAGCTGCATTTTATCTTGATATATATTTACCTGTGCAAATCAAATCATGATTTGCATGTTCATATTTTGTGTTGTTCACTTCTAATTTGTTTCTGTACTGTAGCCTGAAAAATAGAGTGACACTTAGGGATCACTTTGCCTTGACAGACCTGGTATGTTTTGTCTGTCTGTCATTTGTCATATCCCATATTCTTAGAATTGAAAAGTTATTAAAGATCTGACTTACTGCACATGTATAGCTTAAAGTCCAATCTTTTGTGAAATACTACAACCTTTTGATTTTAAACTTGATCTTTGAATTACTTTCCAAAATAAATTACATATTACATATATTTATGAAATCTATATAAGGGCTGTTGACTTTGTGACCTTGAACTTGGCCTTTTATTTTTTTTAAAAATGTGTCACATATTGTATGAATTACTAAAGATGAGGCTTTATTTCAGCATTGAGTTCTTATTTTTAGATGTTGTGGGTCATAATTATGTTATAAAGTACATGGCTATGCTGACAAATTGAATACCGCATGTTTAAGTGCAGTATGATAATTTATCAGCATGGGCAGGTGCTGTCATATGACCAACGACATCCAAAAATAAGAATTCAATTCTTATAAATGTACATGTATTTACATTCTCTAATTTTCTCTCATCATAAATTTTGATTTTAATTTCATTCATCTTTATTATATAAATTTCAGAACTGGTTTGGTTAATAGACGTAAGAGCCATTTTGATTAAGGGTTATTGTTTTTAATTAAATTGAGCCAAAACAATGTACATTCTGGTCATCCTAGTGTACTGAAATTGTATGCATAGTACTATCCTCACAATGTCAGGGGTCCTGAGTCAACACATTGCCGTTGGACCCCTGGCCAATTTCATTCAATAATTCATGGGCTGACTGTAGCAACGTTTTTCGGAAAAATTACAAATCTTGATTGTTTTTCTTGTCTCTCAGCCAATAATACTAAGCCATTCTATGATAAACAACTTGTAACTCGTGCATTAGAGGTGTCAACTGAATCCTTTCTGTTTACATTATCTAACTATTTATGAAAGCTTTAATTTGATTGGTGCTTCTCTATGAGATATGCATGCCCGAAAATATCAAATGAAATTGGCCAGGGGTCCCACGGCAACATGTTGACACAGGACCCCTACCATTGCGAGGATGGTATAATACCCATTGTACATTCTGTGTGTATCAATCTACCATGCAATGACATTGGTTTAGTATGTTTTATAGGGGGTTGATTTTGTCATAGATTTCCAAAAAAATTCATATAGAAGATTACACTGAATGTAAATATTGATATATAAAACATGTATTATATTTGACTAGCTTATTTGATCAATGATTTAAAATGAAATAATTTACAGATAAACTTTCTGGTAAGTGCAAGAACAAAGGTTGCATATAATATATAATCAAGCTTTTACAAAACCTTAAAGTAACTGCTAGAGGTGTCTGTATAGCAATGAAACGAAAACAATACTAATTAATAGTCATTAACAATAAAAAGTAATCTAGATTTGATGCTAACATTCTTTTATAATAAGAAACTGGAAAGTAGCAGGGTTATTCTAGGCAAAGCCTAATACTAGCGTGTCCTGCATCTGCCTTTGACTTAATTTGTCACCTTTTCTAAATTTCCTCCTCTGAACAATATTCTGCTGGGAAGTTAGTGTTTGCTCCATCACACCAGCCACTAACTGTGAAACAGATTAATTTCAAATGATTTCATTTAACATTATATTTACTTTCTTTAACATTAAATTTTCTCTACTAACACCAAAATCTCTATAATATCCTCTTACTATGCATTAAAATATTATTTTAAGCTTAATTAACAAATCTGATATTTACCGTTAATATGTTTATTCAATTCAATTAAAATATTACTTTAATCTGTAACAAATCCTTCATTTAATATGATGTGCATGTTTTTAATTCAATATTCCATCAACTATTAAGATTTATAATTTGGTTTATAAGTCAAGGAGCATTTCATCCTTTATGACAAGAACAACATTTTATTTTCTCAGACTGATAAGTATTACTAACTTAAAATTAGGAGATAGTTCCTTTTATATAAAATTTCTATTTTCTATTTTGTTAGGAATTCTATCTTTGGCACAAAGTACATTTTAAGTGTTTCATGAAGTAATACTGATGTATGGCAACCTCCTACTTGTTTTGTAAGATAGCATTGGGTTATGAATTTGAGGATGGCCTTATTTTTAGGTACTCTGTCAGGTCATTGCTATGACGAATTATTCTGGGCTTTTATAGTTTAGATATCAGAAGCTAGCATATCATATTGGAGTCATTTGGATCTGTCAATTTCTGTATTTCCAGTTTAAAAGAAAGTTACAGAAAATCTACCTGATACTGTTTTTTGATCGATATTGGGTGATAAATTAAAAAAAAAAACTTTAAAATTATAATTTATAATTTACATTGATTGAGAAAAATTAACAAGATATGGTAGTTTAATTGCTAGACGCAATATCCAATAACAAGGGCAATTTGCAAAATCGATTTTTCATCAGAATATCCCCCAAAAAATTCTATAACAAATTGAGTTAATTGATAAACAAATTGAAGTCTCTTTTTCTAACAAGAATTAGATAAAAAAAAATGGTTTCTATCATTAGTAGTTTGGTCTAATTCTAATTTCATTGAAAAATAACTTTTTTGAATCTGTAAATTATAGGGGCTATAGGAGGAGGAGAAAAGGATGAGGGTGGAGAGGGTAAGGAAGATGGCGGAGGAGGTGGAGGGGAGGATCCCGAAGTCGAGGAAATGCGGAGAGAGGCGGAAAGGAAGCGGAAAGAGAAGCATGAAAAAGCGGAAGCTGAAAGAGAAGAGCTTCGGCAGTCAATCAGAGATAAGGTAACTGGGCTGTTAGCAATATTGGTGTGGTGACAGGTAGAAAAAATAAACGAGGTGTAGTTTTAAAGTCAAGAAATGTATTTCTATGGATAGTAAAACCTGGAATGTATACATGTATCATCAGCTGTTTTATATTGATTTCACAAACAGTTTTCTGCTTCCATGCTGAAACATTAATTATTAAGTGAACATTTTATGTTTTTCATAGAAAAAAAAACATTTTCAGAAAAAGAATTGAGTCATGATTCCCTCTTTAAAAATGGGATTTGATAAGTAAAATATTAAATGCTCTTAAATTTGTGATCACAGCAATATATTCATCTGATCAGGTTCTGAGACATGAGATATTGTTTGCTGCAGGATAATATTCCATATCCAAAACATGAAGCAGTAATTATTTGTCACAAAAAGGAAATAACATCAATCCATTCTTTACTACCACATTAATTGACTCAAACAATCTACAGGAGGCATATTTTATAGATCCCACTGCTTCCTCTTAACTACTCCACAATAGTCTGTAATGACATTTTCAGATCAGCAACTATGATACTGTTCCTTTGCTTTGATCCAATAGAGAGAAAAAAAAATCATTATTGTCTAGATGTCATTAGTGTAGTTCACATTTCTGGTCTGTACCCTCAGAATCTACCAGGGGGAGCTGTGTGATTCATGCAGATCAGTGGAACTGTCCATATCACTCAATGCTTTGATAGTCACGAGAATCGTAGAAGTGTTGTAAGGAAATTAGCAGTGGGATCACAATATATGATCTGAATTAAGATGAATTCCAGACTTGAAGCAGTTTGTATTGTGTATTGCATAAAATTTTTATGTTTTTTCATCCACATTATAATACTAACATGATTTGGTGAAACATTAAAAACAAGATGTGTTTGTGAAACATAGATGCCCCTGTATGGCAACTTATAGGAAAGGTTAAACTTTCTCAAATGCAAATCAAATATGTTGGTACCCAAAGTAAGGTCTTGTATTGAGGAATATACCTGTGAAATATGAAAACCTTAGCAGCAACCATTGAATAGATATGGAAAAGGTTAAAGTTTTTCAAAAGTAAGTCAAACATCATGGTCAAGGTCAAATGGTAAAAAAATAATGGTACCTAAGGAAAGGCCTTCTCACAAGAAATATAATGGTGAAATATGAAAGCTGAAGCACCAATCATTCAAAAGTTATGACCAAGGTTTAAGTTTTCCAAAAGTAGGTCAGACTCCAAGGTCAAAGGGTCAAAGTGGTTGGTATCCAAAGGAAGGACTTGTCACAAGGATTACATATGTGAAGTATGAAAGCCGTAGCACCAATTGTTTAAAAGATATGGCCAAGGTTAAAGTTTTTCAAAAGTAGGTCAATCTCTAAGGTCAAGGTCAAAGGTCAAAGTTGTTGGTATCCGAAGGAAGGTCTTGTCACAAGGATTACATATGTGAAGTATGAAAGCCTTAGCACCAGCCCTTCAAAAGTTATGGGCAATGTTAAAGTTTTTCAAAAGTAGGTCAAACTCCAAGGTCAAGATCAAAGGGTCAAAGTTGTTGGTATCCAAAGGAAGGTCTTGTCACAAGGATTACACATGTGAAGTATGAAAGCCCTAGATTCAACTGTTCAAAAGTTATGGTCAAGGTTAAATTTGGGTAAAATTTTGTAAAACTAGGTCAAACTCCAAGGTCAAGGTCAAATATGGTGGTACCCAAAGAAAGATCTTGTCACAAGGAATACACATGTGAAATATGAAAGCCATATAAGCTCCATCCAATCAAAAGTTATGAGCAATGTTAAAGTTTTTGCAGATAAACAGACAAACAGACAGATGGACGAACAGGGCAAAAACTATATACCCCCGAAACTTCGATACCGGAGCATAAAAATTACTTTAATTAAACATGGATTTCCTGCTGAAAGTCATTAATAAGTCATTAATTACATCACTGTCATGGCTGTTATGTCCGTTGATTTCAGTCTGCTTTATCATTTCTTGATAAAAAATCTCACTGGCCCTGAGTAATGAGAAAGTTTCATCCCCTGAACCATAGTCCATATAACATGAGAATATGAATCTTTTTCTCCAGTGTAGAATTAATGGCTTCACTTTCATTCCCTCACAACAAGGTTGCAGGGAAAATAGAAATTAACATGTGCATTCATGAGTTTGAACTTAAATGTACTTGCAAACACAAAAAAATTCTTTCTTTAAAAGTTGCCACAAAGTTATTTGTGTCAGACAAGGTTGCAGACATTAGAAGTTTGAGATGGTAGTCAATGAAAGAGGCCTTTTTAAATCAGCATATTAAGAATTTTGGTTCCTCTTCCATATTTTTTGTTTTTCATTGATAAGTTTTATGTATCTGAACTGTTTACCACATATGGAATTGTTGAAAGAATGTTTAGTATTGCTTTGCAAAGAGCAGTTTATCATATAGATCATATAGATATAGCATGTAGTTGAGGGTAACATTGAAAATTTTCACCCCTCAAAAACCATTGTCAACCAAGGCACAGCCAAGGTTGACAGTGGTTTTTGAGGGGTAAAAATTTTCAATGTTACCCTCAACTACATGCAATATTTATTATTTTATACAAATACACATATAACAATGAACCATGCATGCATAAATTTGTGCAGTCAATATGTTTTGGAATATCAGCCATCCTCAATAATGTTAACTGTTGCTATATTCTATCATGCTGGAGGGAGAGGTTTCATCATTCAGAGGGTTATAGTGTTTTTATCAAATAATCCTCAACCAATCTGATTGAACTTATTTACATGAAAGTATAATATTCTAAAATGTCAGTTTTTGCACCAATATAACCCTGAAAATATTGGTAATCTGTCTTTGCTTTTGAAAGATTAATTGCCTTTTGTTGGGTCTGCGGTTTAAGTCATAATGGAGATAAGTGATAAAAAAGTCTTTTGCCTGCATCAAGATCTTTTGTCATAGCTACATGCAAGTATGACAAATTGTTATGTGTTGCGTAAATTGAATGCTATTCTCAAGATCTGCTGATTTTGAGAAATGATTATTTAGTGGAGAGACTGATTGTCTGTAGATGTTGATATATTTCTTGTCCATTTTGATGTTTTCAAGGACATAAAATCAATAATGGACAAAGAAGGAGACAATTCACCAACACTAAGGAAAAGAATTACTGTAAACCAATCTTTATTAGCAGCAACTTTAATTTGCAATATGTTGGTTTGAAATCCATTCACAGCAATTAATTTTCACACCAAAAAGAAACATTCTACATAAATACACATTTAGATAAATGGTTCACAGTGAGAATTATTTGCAAGTATAAGGTTGCAAAACATATTTTTTTATGCAAATGATAACTTGTTTACAGTATGATTTGAGAAATTCTTTTCAAATATTAATTATTTTAAAAAAAAATGTATTTATATCCGGAACTAAATTACAAATGATTACTATATGTGAAATGAGGGAGACTCAGATGTAAGTTTCATTGAGGTTTATACTACATATATTTCGAAAAACATCTCAATAGTTTGTATACTTAATTTTGTTTTATTGTTTTGCAAACCATACAATACACCATCAACCATAATTTATTATTATATGGATATATAGCCAACATAACCAGACAGAAGAAGGAATTTGTTCCAAAAACTGGCATCTACATGCAGCTCAATTTCCCTGTAGCTTATACTTTGTACAATGGTCAAAGTAGATTACCTAATTATTGTAACACAAAAGTGATACACTGTACATAACTACATTAAATACATATATTTTTGATTTATTCTTTGGTTGGAAAACAATCCAAAATTTACACTAGAGGAGGTAATCCAAGATTCGTTTGACTCTAACACCCCCCACCCCACCCCCGCTTTTATATTTTGACATGAGCAGGGGGGATGTCAAAATAAAAAAGATGGGTTAGAGTCAGAGGAATCTTGGACTATAGAGTAATATAGAAGGCTGAGAAATTAAATAAGATTTTTTAAAAATTTATTTTACCCCATATTTATTTTATTGTATTATTATAATGTATTTAGTTGCCTGCGTGGTGCAGTGGTTAGAGCGTTTGCTCTAGAGTCGTGGGGTAAGGAGTTGATCCTTACGTTGCGGGTTCAAATCCCACTGTGGGACATGGGTACCGGTCCTTCTGATGAGACCGTATAAACCGAGGTCCCGTGTCGCAGTAGGTGCTGGCACGAAAAAGATCCCTCACTGCTCAATTAATGGCCCTGAGTGCCGAGTATAGTTCAAATTTTGCAGCTCTCCACTGGCAAATGGTGGCATCTCCTTATGAGTGAAAAATTCTCGAGAGGGACATTAAACAACAAACAAACAAAAACAATGTATTTAATTTTGTTGTTGTTGTTGTTGTTGTTTTATATTTACACATATATGTAAAAATCTATTAATAAACTAATGGTCAAATTCCCTGAAATAGTTTTTGCCCATTCTCACTTAATATACAGCTTTTATCTGTTTATTGCTTCTAGTTTTATGTGTGGGCATAAACTTATGCAACAAAATAAAATATTTATAGAGACTTGTATTGAGACTTTTCTGCAATTATAGACAGTAACAGCTATTATTAGTTCCCATGGGATCTTTAATCAATACTGATTTGAATTAATGAATGAAAACCACTGTCAGAATAGGGAGAACATTGATATGATTTTCTCCTTTTACATTTGAAGACCACTGTAATATTTATCAACCATAGTCTACTGGGTATTAGTTTATGCCTAGGATACTGTTTTGTGTCTGCATGTGCATGTTATTGATAGGTCACAACAAATAACTTATACAACATTTTTTTTTCCTGATATGGAAAAAAAAACTATAAACTCAAAGACATGGCAGTGGAAAGTAAGCATCTACTTTTGATTTAAATAAATTGTATAAAAGTTAGAATAGGAACATTTACTGAAATATTATTATATAATTATTGCTGTTTTTGAGGTCAATACAATGATTTAGACACCAGAGGAGTACATATTCACAGAGCCCAAAGGGCGAGATAAATATTGTACTTTGAGGGTGGCTAAATTATCCTATTGACTAAAAAACAGCGATACTCGTAATTGTTTTAGTATGTGATTCAATGATTAAATAAAACCATACCATCTTTCTTGTTTTACATTTGCTGAAATCCTAGAAAAATCCAGCAAAAGAAGCAAGAGAAAATAAACATAACTAGTTGAATTAATTTCCATTTTTTATTATTTTCCATATTAATTTTTTTAATGCGATGTAGAAAATATAAATGTTAGGCTTGTAGCATTGATTTTGAAAGGGGGATTATAAGGGAAAAGATTAACTACTCATCTAAAAAATAGTCTTTGACCCTCCCACCCCCTCCCAAATAGGAGAATTTTCCAAACTTCAAATCTTATTTCATGGAAGGGGATGTTTGGGTCCATTAAAGGAGGGATTTAACTATATATACTACATACTAAATTAATATTAAAATTTTATGATCAGAAATCCTCTAGGAATTATTCAATCATATAATATTCCTCATTCTTTCTATTTATGATTATAATTAGTGTCTATCTTATTAAACAACCTTTTTGATGATTACAATATTTATTATATGGTTTTTTTTTAATTTTTGATTTTTTTATTGTATTGTATATACTTGTATCAATGACTTGCTACACATGTAGTTTGCCATTTAAAAATGTACATACAATATGAATAATTTTGAAATGTTAAATTCTTTGTTAAAATGTCATATTCTTTGTTAGGATACATATAAGAATCAAGGAATTTACATGCATTTAGAAATGTGAAACAATATGAGTGATCATTATGATTGTATCAAAGTTGTGTTGGTTCATTATCTCCGGACCATATTCACAGGGAAATGTTATAGAAGATTAATATTTACATTTAGTCTGTGTGAACAGAATGTGAATTTGTGTGACTGACTCTGCATTTGATTGTCTTCTAAATATCTCAAGGATCTGTCAGTGTTGAAGTGGATTTTCCAGGCAAGAATTGATTTGGTTTTAAGACTAAGACTTATGTATAAGGTTTCTCCATGTTGACAGTGGGTTTGGCAGAGATTATTTTAGTGATTTTGTCTGGACCTATAGTGATAGACTCATAAGGACATTGTAATATAGTCACAGTTTTCCCTGTCTATGAGATTAAATGTCTGTTCTTCTGCATGTTACAGTTAAAACTTTGTCTCAGCCATAATTTGATATCCCTTTTTAGTCAAACTCACTGCTCATAGGGCAATAGCTGGTTTCTGTAAGCGTGTTGAACTGGATGTTGACTGCACAGCTGCCAAATGAAAGGATGACTGCACTTAACGCCGGTTTTGGGGTCTTTTTCAGTTGCTTCTGTTGCTTTTATATCTAAACCTTATTTCACTTTTGTATATTTATGAAAGAATCCTGTCAATTTGGAACCCAGTTTAAATCTTAAAATGATTTTAGACTGTGATACAATAAACTGATTCAATGTTTTTTGTCCTTACTGCTTTCCAAATATAGAGAATTTACACTTACCTGCCCTTGATTGAATGTTAGATATGCATGAGAGGTGGAGCTAACATTGCAAGAATGGGTCTAAAATTCTAAGACTTGATAAATAACAATAACATGTTTGGAAAAAAGAATGTGATGACACTCTTTCCCATCTCCCTCTCCATTCTATATGGCACAAATACACTACTGACAAAGGTTTCAAAACAAAATTAACAATATGAGCATGTCCATGTAATTAAAGCAGATTTTATATCAATGCCAGATGACTTAACGTGTTTGAACACAATGTCCTAGTTAGCACACACATGCTACCTTACAAGTCATGTGACGGAATTTAGTATTCACAAAGTTACCTGAGGTAAGAAATTACGTGGTGAATTATAATATTCAACAAGTCACAACCCTTGGTTACAATACAGAAAGCGAATGTAAGAAGAAGCAGTTTTTTCTCTTTTTGACCATGAGCGCATGTTTGTCTATTAATATCCTTTTGACACGTTATTATTTATGCAAATATACAACTACTGTTAAACGTAGAACAATAGACAAACATGCGCTGACTACATATGAAGTCAGTAAAAAAGTGGGCGTCCTCATTATCGAACGGAGTTTCAAGAAATTGTGATGACTCCTTCCTTTGAAAACAAATTCGAACTTTGTAAATACACACTTTTATTAAACGTTATTACATAAAGCTGTAGATTGGATGTTGACAATTCTTGCAATGAAAAGAAAAATGCTTGTTTTGAAAGTTTATTTTGTCGCAAATTTCGCATGTCCTTAAGTGCAGTCATCCTTTACTTGTGAAAATATACTGTACATATACTCTCAACTGTTGTAAAGACAACAAACTCTCAATCAAACAAAAGAAAGCAATACTTTATAAGGGGAATTTTTAGCGAGATGCAAATTTAGTGCTTCGTCCTGAAAAATCAGTATATAATTTTTAAGCAAGAAGTAATTTTAGCAATTTTATGATACTTAGAAATATAATGGTTATCTCTTATGCAGAAGGAAATGTTAGGGATATTCAATAACAGCGATCTCAGATCTCAACACCCTCGCTTAAAATGCCAAAATTGAATCCTTGCTAATATTTCTGCCTATACTATATGAAGAATTTTGTAACCAAATATTAACGGTTATTAATGCATTTTGAAAATTTTTTAAAAGATAAAATCATTACTTGTATATTAACTCTGATGCACAAGTTTTTATCGTCAATGTTAGATTTGTCCTATTTTTGTGTACTTTTGGAGGTGTCAGGTTAACTCAGAACTTGTTTAATTCAGACCAAAATGGTATAAGTTCCCGCCATTTTGTTAATAGAATTAAATTTCTTGATTTCATCTTATTAAATTTTTTTTATATTTAGGTGTTATTGTAGCCTTTAATTATACCCCCAGCTTGAAAGGGGGGGGGGGGTATTGGTGATGGTGGTGTCCATCTGTATTTCTATTACTCTTGAGGGGAACCAATCCCTTATCCGCAACTTCTCTTATTCCACTGAATAAAATTTATTTTATTGAGAATTTCACAGAACCTTTGTTACATAGTGCCATTTTGTGCTTCCTATTCTGCATTTCGATCGGAGACATATTTAGGGTTTCCCATGGCAAAACATGGACACTGCCATATTGGGGATTACACCCATCTCTTATTTGCATCTCATCCTATATCATTCATCATCACAAACCACATCCAAAATGTACGATCCTCTCCCATTCTGGCCATGGTTGAATGAGAAGAGAATATTTCGTAGCTCATTAAATTATTGACCAATGCGAGTAAAGCATAGTTGGAAAATGAACTTTGACACGACCTATCAATACCCAATTGCAGTTCACGAAGTAATTTATATTTACTGATGATGTCAATTGTTGATTTCATTTGCCATGGAAATAAATATTGTCATTGGCAGAACATGACATCACAGCATAGAGGCATAAATATTCAAGATTACGACAATTTATGTGATGAAGCAGCCACGGGTAGGAGAGAGCTATATGCGGACTCCGAACATTGGCTTGAGACAATGATATCACTGAATAAAATGTAATGAGACTTTCACAGAATCTTTATTACATAATGCTATTGCATATTACATAATGCACCTATAGCTTTAAATCTTTGACCTTGACCTTGGAGTTTGACATACTTTTGAAAAACTTTAACCTTGGTCATAAGACCTTCACATGGATGCAAAATTGCAAAAAAAAATTACCCTTTTGACCTTGACGTTTGATTTTGACCTATTTTTGAAAAACTATAACATATTTCTAGTGAAAGGACCTTCCTTTGGGTACCAATAATTTTGACATTGACCTTGGAGTTTGGCCTATTTTCGGAAAACTTTAACCTGGGCCATAACTTTTGAATGGTTGGTGCTAGGGCTTTTATATTTCACATGTCTATTCCTTGTGACAAGACCTTCCCTTCAGCACCAGTAATTTTTACTCTTTGACTTTGACCTTGGAATCTTACTTGCTTTTTGAAAAACTTTAACTTTGTCCATAACACTTGAATGGTTGGTGCTAGGGATTTCTTATTTCACTGGAGTATTCCTTGTGATAAGAGCTTTCTTTAGGTACCAAAATTTTGATATCTTGACCTTAACTTGGAGTTTGACTTGCATTTGAGAAACTTTAATCTTCACCTTGAGCTGCCAGTTTTTCACAAACACATCTTGTTTAAATAACTGTGATATTTCATTAATTATTAACAAAATCTAAATATCAAAATCAAAAAGACATAAAAAATAATTTAAAAAGTGAATTAAGAGTCATTTCTCCTGCATGTCCATTACATTGCCGCAAAATCATTGTTGAGGTATTCAATGTACTATAACGACCATATTTTGTATCTAATAAATGAACGGTCCTATATTTGTAATTATGGTATCATTTTGATGGTGTTGTGAAATAAAAATACTCCACCAAAGTAATTTAAAAATTTTTGATTATTGTCAAATTAATTGCACCTTGAATTTTATATTGAAGTCTATGGGCAATGCATGTGTTATTAAGATATTGTAAAAAGTATTTTGAATTTCATAAAAAGCTCTTGGTGAAAATATGCATACACTCTCTCATTATTAAAATATGAAATAAAATTAATCATTTACCACAGATATTTTGACGAAATTAAAATGTTCTTCTTTGCATCAAGGGCAGATAACTCTTCAAAAACTTTAAAAGTGCAGAATGACCAGCTTCTTATATGTTATCAGTCATGTTAATTTGGTTCATTTCACTTTCATCATTATCTTAAACTAGTTTAAAATGATTCAAAATTGTTCAAAATCCCTTCATTGTACACTGAATACTTTAAACATCTTATTTGTAATTTTAGTATGGATTAAAGAAGAAGGTACCTGAGGAGGAAGGGATGATGAACAATGATGATGCAGGAGGAAGAGTAGGGAGGAAGAAGAAGACGCCCGCAGAATTAGCAGCGGAGGCGGCGGCCGACTCCGATGATGAGGAGTTTACAAGTAAATTTTCCTCCATCTGTTGTTGTTTGAACTTTTTCTAGTGCACTGGCACTTTAAAACACAAGATATGTATATTTTTATATTGCTTAAATGATTTTTTTCTGATATGAGCTGACACTGTGTAAAATATGAAGCATATTTTGTAATTGCTCAGACATTTAGACACTATAGTTTAATTTGTGTGTTTGTTCTTGTTAATTTTAGACAATCAGTATGAAGGGGAATAACTCTTGGTTTTTTCCTCATTTTGTACATGTAGCTGGCATTAGGTACTTTAACATTTTTTATTAAGTCCCTCAGAAATTTTACAGATATTTTTATTTCATTATATTTATATTCTACATTATCTAGTGTAACATGTTCAGATGGCCACTTGCAATTTAAACCTAAAATTCTACCATTTTCTTTTCATTTAGCAGAGTATTCACATATTGTTTTAGAACACAGCTTAAACACCTTTTTAAAAAAAAACATTTAATTAAAATGGATGATTGATTGAATTATAGTAACCAAATAATCTTGACATCATCATGATGATTTTGTTCATATTTATCCAAGAAATGTTTTGTATTTGATGATATAATGTTACAGCATTATAATGTGCAATCTGCTGAAATGAGATACATTTTTGCTTTGATGTCTGTTTTAATTATGATGTAGAATATTTACTGCTGTCAGTATATACCATCTCTTGTCATTTCATACAGTGAAGGTAATTTCTGCAAAAATAAAAACATCTGTTATGTATATTCCTCATGAAAGTGTTTCAAAAGTATTTATGGAGCATAATTTTTTTCTTTGTTGTGAATACTAGCTTTTATAGCTTTTCCATGGATTCAAATAATCTCAAAATTTAGAAAGTACAATATTGCTTGTTTCCTAAAATTCAACATTTTAAAAATTCACAAAATAGTCAAGTAGAAATTAATGGAAATTCATGTCAAGAAGAAGCTTCCAATTGGCAGTTTTCTTTTTGATTTATATAAAGTAGAGAAAAGAATCTTTCTGCATTTTTTAGTATTTGAATTTTTGATAACACCCATTCATTTTGATGTTTTACACTTTCTTTGTTTTTGTGTTTGTTTTGGTTTGTTTATGCAGTTTCATTTGTTGAAGAGTTTTATTCAAATAAATCTTTGTTAATTTTAAGTTTGGGTTCTAGGCAACAGTAGATGCAAGTTATTATAATTACCACTAGATTTTATTCTAAATCAAATTCAAATTCCTAATAAGGAATATGTACTTTTACACAAATGTAACATGAACTGTGTATAATTATGCTATTACAGAATTGTTTTTTAGAAATTTCATTGGTATTTTCTGGAGAAATTAGATGTGATCATTTTGCTTTCAGTGCCAAAAAATATGGATGAACTGAAAAACAAAGTGCAGGACATTCCACAAAAAGTGGCTCAAAGTGTTGGTGAAGTGACTGAAAAGTGTTCTCTACAGTAATTTTAAAATACTGTGGATTGCTTCATGTAAGTCATGACAGTATCTGGATGATTTGATTGGCCTGTCGTTTGTAGTCCGTACCAAGCACTTGTTACATATCTGATTCAACTCATATTGTGTTTCCTTTGGAGCACTTATTTATTTTCCCTGTAGAATCGATTGCTCACTTATTTTTTTTTCCTTGCATGGATGTTTGTTTTAAATTGGTAGGAATCCCTGTACTGGTTTTCTGAGCTTTGTGTGGTGACCAACACCTCACATTATATACATTTTTGTGTGATTTTGTTTTCCTTTGTCCTATGTTTTATTCCTTTTCTTATTTCTCTTTTTTTCTCCTTTGTTGTTTTGCCATTGAATTAATTTCTAGAATCATTTGAATATATATGTTATATTTATGGATTTGAGCTTGAAACAATTTAACGCAAAGTAACAAAACATAAAAGCTACATGTAAATAATATATGAAAATTATTTTATACTGTGGATATTGGCCACCAGGAAATGATCTATATTTTAGTGCATGGTTGTTTGCCTTTCTTTGTGGAATGATCTAACCAAAATAACAGTTAAAACAGTATGTTTCAGGAATATTTTATGAAAATTTTAACCCAGTTATGCTTATTTTCATATGCAGATTCTTCCAAGTTCGTGTGTGACATAGTACTCCATATTGGGAAAATTACACAATATGGCAGCCGAATATTCGTGAAAGTTAAAATATGCACGCTGTTATAGGAGAGCAGTTCATATCGTGTTTAATGTATAATGTTACTTTAGTATGCAATATAGACTGTATGTCACTGTTGTTAAAATAGACATTAGCTGCGCACAATTGAAAAAAAGAAATGTTCCTATTTTGAAATGTTCCCCTTTGTAAGCAGTATTTACAGAAAAATTCTTTTTCGGAGGTGTTTGTTATTCTCACTAAATAAAAATGGCAAGTGTATATAGCTGTTTTTCAAGTAATTATATTGTCACACCGGATGAGCATTGGTGATATTATTGTTTGTTTATTATAACTTTTTTGTTAGTTTTTCTTGAAGTGTTTTTGACACTTGCATTTATTTCTTTTTCAAAGGAAACCCTTGGCATTCCATTCTTAAATCTATATGAAATATATTTGTTATTAAATATTTGCAGTTCACTTACAGAATTTTTTTAATTACTTTAATTTGAAAGTTTTCCTGTATTTCATGTTTAAATTATTTTTTGTCTTTTGTATGTGATATTATTTGCATTCCTCTGTAATTGTTCTGTTCCGATTTAGATTACATCACTGATTTAACATTTGACTTTTGTTCCCTTTCATTTCATTGTGTTAATAAAACTTTTGCTCATATATATAATACAATAGATTGCACCAGTAGCACTCTTTAATTTTCTGCTCTACAAATTTACCAGTTTCCTTTGAAGTAATCTCCAGTACCCCAAGGCATTCTTATCAAAAAGACATTGTCAGCATTGAAAACAAACAACCTTATACAGTCAAACCTTGTTATCTCAAACACTCGATGGGACCAAGAAAAAAACTTTGACATATCTGAGGATTCAATATAGTGAGATTAAAAAAATTAAGATTACCTGGTAAAGACTTCAAGCTCACTTTGAAATTATTCAAGAAGTCGATGCTCGAGATACCAAAGTTCAACTGTATTTTAATTTTTGAATCTCAGGATAATTCCATGACAGGATATTTTTTTTCATTTTTCTTTTTTACTTTGTTTTTGGTTGATGTTTATTTATTCAATTTTTCTAAAGCATAATACTACCTTGTTATTTGTCTTTTTCTGTTACTTCAAGGGTGTTATCTTAAGTTTGTTAAAAATGAATTGTATTATGTAGTTCATTCAAATATTTGAAAAGTTAAATTTTATACTGATATTACACTATTAAAATGTCATTATGCACGTTTATATATATTTGTTAGGATTATTAAGGACACAAAAGCACGTTCTTTAATTCAGGAAATAATAGTATTCAATACCAAAGTGACAATAATTCGGGCTTTATGCAATGCTTATTTTTTTTTAATGCAGATGTTTTCATATCCATTTTCTATACTGCAATATAAATCCAAAATTCGAATATACTCGAATCACCAGACCACCAATATGTACATAAAATTATACACATTTGTATACCAAATATGTCATCTTAAAATTTGAAAACCGTCATGATATCAATTTTCACTGTAAAATTTATTTTTCAAACGGCAAAGTGTGTTATATAGGTTTTTGCCATGTTCATTATTATGTGGTTCTATAACCCACATTATTTGCATGATTCTCAAGGATGTTTGTGTTATAGTTGTGACTGAAATCTGTATACAGCTTCCAGTTGATTTTATGTAGACTTAGGCTGTTTAGCAGATGGTATATGTATATGTAGGTGTTCTGTATGGTTTTTGAAACAATCAGTAGAAAGTTGTTATTGATAAATTAAATGAAATAAAACAAAATATCAGTGTTGTTATCTCTACAAAGTGTGAGTTTTCTTGTTAATGTAGTGGTTTGGGCTATATGGACCCTGAATATTGGCCCGATAGCCCAGTGATTAGAACTTCTGACTAGTAATGCAGGGATCCTGGGTTCAATTCCCTTTCCAGCCATAATTTTTTTCCTTTCCTGTAAGGTTGTGCCCCCCCCCCCCCCCCCCAAATGGGCTTTCTAGGAGTAATATGGCACCAAATATAAGAGAAATTCTTGACAAACAAAAAAAGGTCATTTTTAGGTGGCACAACCATATAATAGCTTCAGTTTTTTTTTTGTTAGTTCTGATGAGCCAGAAGTATGGGCCATATCTTGAGAATCCCTTGGTCAATTTTTGTCAAAGAGTATCCTTGGCCCAAGGGCTTTCATTTATACTAAAAATAGGGATGTGATCCTTAAACAAGGGGAGATAATTAAAGAAATAAAAACAAAAGTAGTTGTTGCTAAAACGTCTTCTTTTCAAGAACCACTGTGCAGATTATGAACAAACTTATGAATAAGGATGAGGATATGAAATGTTCAGGGCATCACTCTGGGGCATTAAGGGTCTCAAAGTCACTCTTACGTAGGCCTAAAAGGATGTTTTGTAAAAACTTTGATATTTTGCCCACTATAAGGATCATCAAATCTCGGTTGGTGCATCTTATGACCTCTTGACATGATGACTCAAAAGTAGGTCACTGTGACCTACTTTCTGAATTTTGCAGGTATTCATTTTCAATTTGATTTTGATGCATATTTTGGACACCTTGAAGCCTATGATCATCAAAACTTGTCAGTTTATGCATCACTGTGACCTAATTTTGGAATTTCAATGCTATATTTAAATATTTCAGACACTAATTAGCTTAGAATCATCAAATTTTATCAGTAGGTGCAACAACATTGTTCCTTTGAGTATTTCAACCAAAAAGGAGGTCACTGTGAACCATTTTTGAAATTTCCCACTTCATATCTCAATATTTAGGATAAAAAGAGTGTTAAAATTATCATATTTTGTCAGTTGATGCATATTTGGTCAACAAACTAGGTCAACTTAAAAGTAGGTAACAGTACCCTACTTTATGAATTTCATAGTTGTTTATCCATGCTGTTGGTACTAAGAGGCTTATATTAATCATCAAATTTCATTAGTCGGTATTGTATTGTGCCAACCAAAAAGTAGGTCACAGTAACCTACTTTTGGAATTTCAAGGCTTGATATAAATATTTAGGATACTAAGAGGCTTAGAATAAAAGTGACAGGATTGTACAATTTATCAGAAGAGTGATTCAAGGCCCTTGGGCCTCTTGTGTGGTATGTACTGGCAAAATTTTTGAGGGGAGAGAGCTGTAAACTAGCTTTCTTTTCTATTGTGAAGTATATATTAGACCAATCCTAGGACCCCAACCATGGACCCAGGAGCCATGAATTTCACATTCTTGGTAAAAAAAAAAAAAAAAAAATCATTATAATCAAATTAGCTGTAGTTATAAAGAACAAAGTTTTTTTTTCACAAATTTATTTCTTGCATGTAATAAACATAAAAAGCAATGTTTAATAAATTATTATCATTTAATAATTTAAAATACACCAGACCTATTAATAATCTGAATAATACAGTGCCTGTTGTAAAATCAAAGAAGAATTAAAATGTTTGCTATCTGAATAGCTTGGAAAAATTAGTTTAATTTCACAAATTACAACATAAATTTTAATGATTCCAAGGCAATATGAAATATTACCTGTAATCATCTTATTTTTATTTTATAATCCTAATACTTGTAGAAGTATTCTCCCTTGTATTTCAAATTTTATCTACTTTTTATACACCTTTGAACCGACTGTAAATCATCAATAAAGCACTACACGTACATGTTAAAATAGAAAATAAGTACAAACAATTGTATAAAGACATTTAAACAAAAAATCTGAAAGTTCAATTTCGCAGAAATTAAGATTTAGCAATCAATTTATACATGTACTTACACATGAATGCATATGAAATAACTTTGTATCATCTTTCAAAAAATGTCTCTGCTAACACTCCTCTACTTCAATAATGAAGTTAGTGAATCAAGACGGAATGTTTTACACTATAACTCTTCACCATATATTATATATTCAATCCATTTTTCATGGTCCCTGTGTGCATATAATTATTACTGATTGTAGAAAACATACAACACCAACAGGAAGTTTTACTGAATAATAAGTACATGTACATGTATGTGTAAACAGGATGCACTCAGATAATAAAACAAGACAACTCCTGATAGAGCCATCAAACAAAATTTCTCAATCTTTATCAACAAATGCATACAATGTATATCACAAATGATGGTCAATTATCTTTGGAGAGTTGAGGCATGTGTGGAAATAAATACAAGATCAAAATACCCCTGAAATTCCCCATTACAGGATCCTCTAGATTAAAAAGCCAAGTTCTTCTTACCCATTGATTGTAAATTATCAGGTATCTATTATTCTAAGGCATCAAACTTTCAATAATTTTTATGATAAAAAAAAAGAAAGAGAGAAGAGAAAATTATAAAAAGAGCAAAAGGGACAAATATGTTTTTGGTTATTTTTTTCCTAAGAAAGACACACACAAGCACAGTTTTTGCAATATATCGGGACAAATTTCTGATCAATTGCAGTCTAGATAATCTGTTCTTTGTACCATTTATACATGTACTTGTCATGGAACATGTAAGTATTCTACTCATAAGTTTCCTTTTGGAATCTAGGAGACTACTTTATTATGCTTGTGTTTATCACTCATCACAGAAAAAAACAATGTTCTGGAAATGACAGGATTTCGTAAGATTGAATGTATGATGTTTTATAGGTATGAACTGAATCTTCCATAGGCATCAATGATCATGTGCCATTCTTTCTATGAAGTTATCGATAGGTAAAAATTACAGTAACAATGTACCGTACAAGTTTTGTCTGTAATCATTAATTTGCTTCAAGTCAGCATAATATGTAAATTGTAGATTAATAAAAAAGTGAATATTTAAATCATCCACTGACTATACTGATAATTGGTGTAAGTACCATGTTCTTTTGTAAGTATCATATTATTTGAACAACCTACTGTGACTTACCCAAAGATGAAAAAAAAAAATCATCAAACAAACAGATATGCTCATTCTTACTACAACAGTGTATTGTGATAATAAACATGATTAAGCTAATTAAACAATCATAAGCATCAAGAACATGAGAACTGAATGGTAAATCAGACTAGGACTTTATTTTTGCAAAGCAGGTAAAATTGCAATGTACACACTAATCTACTTAGCACATTAAACTGCAGCATTTATATCTACATGTACAGTGTATGTCACGTTTTTCTAAAAAATTTGCTATCTCTGGGTCATCTCTCCATGATTTTGAAACGTTGTTTGTGTGTATTTCGTACAGAGTGTATTATGAATTGGAAAATTCTGAGGCTAACTAGTTGCTTCAGGGTGGGTAAAACATGACATCTGTATACATTTAGATAATATTTCTTTCTGCATACATGCTTTGTGTTCATAAAAATGATCTATTCATGATTTACATGTAATACATTAACAATGCATGATTAGTTAACATCCTCTAAATCACTTTTGAACATAGCCTTGAGATCTTTTCCCTGAATTTACGACAATGGATGGGACTTCAATTTCTTCTGCTGGAAATGTTCTGGATACGCCTTTTCTAGTCTTTCTAACAAGTCTGTGTAGGGGGGACCTAAGGATGACACATTCTGGAATGTAGAAATGAAGGTCCATTGTTGCTGTTTGTCCTTCAGAATGCAGTAAAAGTCAAGTGCTGCCATGCAGAATAAATTCTGATCCACTGTCTCCATTCTTCCCATCCTGTTGATGACGTGATTAATGCTAATGATACATATAGGAATCAAAAGTTGAACATTTTTAAACAGATCTATGTAGATACAATTAAGACATCATCAATACAATCTAAATGAGATCTTAAAACAATCTTTAAATCTTTCTGTAATTCAAAAGAAAGGTACAAAGTATGAAACTTTTTGAAAAACTTGCTAGCCTTGACCAATTTTTGTTTTAATCACAGGAATAAGCTATTGAAAATGCCTTAAAATTTTAACAGTTTACAAAAGTTACATGTACCAGTCTTCCACTCACTGGCAGAGAGGAACTTTGTACTCAAAAAAATAGATTTGTGACTATAATTCAAATATTACTTAGCAGGGCTATAAATTCTGCTAGTAGCTGAAGCCCTATGAACAAGCATACAAATTCTGCAGTATTGAAGGATACAGAGGCCTTAACCAGGAATTGGTCGAGGCACTGATGAAGAAACACGTCAGACTCCATGTTGCCATGGATACAGGAGTTCGTTGGGTGAAGTTGGAGAGAGACAACATTACCCAATTCTGAACTAGGGCTTCCTGGTTTTGAATGTGGAGGTTATTGAATACCTGTAAAAATCAATCATACACTTTCTTAATGCATTTTAATTGTGATTTCATAACCCATGTAAAACAACTCATCATTCATGAAAATAATAGAGCATCAACTGATCAACTGTGTCCTTAGAAGTGGTTTTCAGGACAAATGACACAAACAAAAAAATGGATGCCAGGACTGGTATGTATTTTTTGGACCTATTTTGGTTGTAAATGATACAATAATATATTTCTAAAATATTTAAAAAAATGTAAATTTTCTATGATATTCAAAAGTCTACTTTTTTGCAACCATCTTTATTAATCTATACAACTTTTCCTCATTTTAAATCCCATTATTTAAAAATTTTGAATGAAAGATTAACTAGAGGCCCAGGGGCCACATTGCTCACCTGAGCACTCTGGCTAGGAACAAGAAGTCTGCGAGCCAATGCTCACTAATAATACCCCCGCTCTGATGTGAATACACAAGTTCAGTTATGGACAAACACAGTGATAATCAGGAAATTGACATTGGATTAGTAAAAAATGAATCCCAACATATGGCATGCCTAAACAAACATTGTGTTAAGATTTCAAGCACCTGCAATGAGTAGTTGCTGAGAAAACTGCGACCAAAATTTGTTATGTATGGTACAGACAGATGCAGGGATAAACAGGAAGCTGACATTGGATTTGTACCAAAATGAATTCCATTATATGGCATGCCTAAAAAAGATTGTGCTAAAATTTCAAGCATCTGCGATGAGTAGTTGCCGAGAAAACTACGACCAAAATTTGTTATGTATGGTACGGACAGACACACGGATAAACAGGAAGTTGACATCAGATTCATACAAAAATGAATCCCACCATATGGCATGCCTAAACAAAGAGTGTGTTAAAATTTCAAGCTTCTGCAATGAGTAGTTGCTGAGAAAACTGCCACCATAGTTTGTTATGTATGGTACGGACAGACGCACGGATAAACAGGAAGTTGACATCAGATTAGTACAAAGATGAATCCCACCATATGGCATGCCTAAACAAAGATTGTGCTAAAATTTCAAGCATCTGCGATGAGTAGTTGCTGAGAAAACTACGACCAAAATTTGTTATGTATGGTACGGACAGACACACGGATAAACAGGAAGTTGACATCGAATTCGTACAAAAATGATTCTCACCATATGGCATGCCTAAACAAAGATTATGCTAAAATTTCAAGCATCTGCAATGAGTAGTTGCTGAGAAAACTACGACCAAAATTTGTTATGTATGGTACGGACAGACGCACGGATAAACAGGAAGTTGACATTGAATTCGTACAAAAATAAATCCCACCATATGGCATGCCTAAACAAAGATTGTTCTAAAATTTCAAGCTTCTGCAATGAGTAGTTGCTGAGAAAACTACGACCAAAATTTGTTACGCACAGACAGACAGACAGACACACAGACGGACAGACAGACAGACACACAAGGGTAAAACAGTATACCCCCCCTCTCCTTTGGAGCAGGGGTATAAAAAGCAGAAATCAGTTCAGTCTTGAAAAGTTTTGATATAAAAGTGGTTGGGGGGTGGGGGGGTGGATTTGAACTAACTTGAATCTAGTATACTTTAAAGGGATGCTTTTGAATTAATATGACAAATAATGGCTTTGCTGTTCTTAAGAAGACAATTTTTATTGATATATCATTTGTATTCATTGTATAACTATGATCCCCTGTTATGACCCCTCTTTTCTCCTGGGGGGGTCATGATTTGAACAAAATTTGAATTTATATTACCCGAGGATGCTTCCATTTAAATATGACTAATTATGGCTTTGCTGTTCTTGAGAAAAAGATTTTTAAAGATTTTTTCCTATGTATTCCTATGTAAAACTTTGATAGCCCATTGTGGCCCCACCGTACCCCCGGGGGGTCATGATTGGAACAAACTTGAACCTACACTACTTGAGGATGCTTCCATGTAAATATGACCAATCATGGCTTTGTTGTTCTTGAGAAGAAGATTTTTAAAGATTTTCCCTATATATTCCTATGTGAAACTTTGATCCTCCATTGTGCCCCCCCCCCAATCCCCAGGGGTCATGATTTGAACAAACTTGAATTTACACCACTTGAGGATGTTTCCATATAAATATGACTAATCATGGCTTTGCTGTTCTTGAGAAGAAGATTTTTAAAGATTTCTGCTATATATTCCTATGTAAAACTTTGATCGTCCATTGTGGCCCCACCCTACCCCTTGGGGTAATGATTTGAACAAACTTGAATCTACACTACCTGAGGATGAATCCACATGAGTTTTATCTTTCCTGGCCCAGTGGTTCTTGAGAAGAAGATTTTTAAAAGATGCCATTAATTTTTCACTAATTTGTAATTATCTCCCCTTGGAAGAGGGCATAGCCCTTCATTTGAAAAAATTGAATCCCCTTTGCCCAAGGATAATTTGTGCCAAGTTTGGTTGAAATTGGCCCAGTAGTTCTGGAGAAGAAGATGAAATTGTGAAAAGTTTACAACGACAACAACTCTGCCGCCACCAACAACAACAACAGACAAGACAAATTTTGATCAGAAAAGCTCACTTGAGCCTTCGGCTCAGGTGAGCTAAAAACTTTGAAATTGAACTTATTCATTTTACTTATATAAACATGACTTTGTTGTTATTTTCAAGATTTTTGATAAAAATTTTTTTTGTATGATCTGTCCTTAAAGGGATTCATAACTGTACCTGAAAAACGACCATGGCTATTAGCTGGGGGTAGGGCTGCTGACTGGAAATAAACTCCCCAATTATTTTATTCATGATGTCCTGGGGAGGAAAGAAATCGGCCAAAAATGTTGGAAGCACTAGTGTGATGACTCGGGCCTCGTATGGGTAGCCCTTCTTTATCCTGCAATATTTACATGTAAAAACTGTACTTAAGCCAATACCAGGAAGCATATCATTTGGACTTGTATATTTATTTTTAAGAATCAAAGTAAAATTTCTGACATGTCTGCTAGCACTTCACATCAATTCTTAAGTTACAGCTACAATACATGTACATCATTAAGTTAAGAGTTCCTGAATTTTGGAAATTACTAACCTATCAAACAGCACTGTGACCCGCTCCATAGCTAGGATGAGAGACTCCGGGTCCTGATACACAATGTTGAAATCATACGCTGGAGCATCTCTAGGAAGTGGACTATACTGGTCATACTGCTTACCTATGAGACAAAGTACAGCTTTACAGCATTTATTGTATAATATAAGAACTACATTACTAATTTTCTTCTATGCATAGAAATTAGATATATAAAACACAGGCATGTAAACTTCTCAGCATATTTTAGCAAAATCCCTGGCACTTCATTATAAGCGTGTTTTACTGTATTTCATGCTACATATTCAGTTTTCTATTGTAAAGTGAGGTCTTGAATGTTAATGTCTTGTGTCTTTATACTTTGATCTCTGTAGATTACCTGAGTACATGCATGTAAACATCAGTCCTAATGCTGCCAAGGACCTCTGAGGGCTGGGTAAACACAACCTAAAAATGTACAATTTAAGCCACATATACAAGTATCTTAATACAACTCAAACGAACAAACATTTCTGAAATGCATTTTAATGTACAAAAATTGAAATTACCATGTTACCATGTACCAGTATAAATGCCAGTATAATTCACAAATGTACATGTATTACTAGTCTGAAAAGACCACACAGAGCCCAGTGATTATTAGACAATAAAACCAATAGATTTTTTGAACAAACATACATGTACATATACAGTGTATATACAATACAACTTCAGTATCTCAAACATTGACACCTCAAATACCATGGAAATGTTTTAACCTCAATATCTCGATTAATCAGACATCTTTTTAAAGTTTTTTTTCTCAACCCTAAGGAATTTGAGAAAATGAGGTTTGACTGTATTCCCCTTACCTATCCACCCCCAGTTTGACGATGGCCTCCGCGTCCTGCTGGGACAGGACATCAGTGAGGAGTAACCTTTCCAGGCCCTTCAGGATGGCTAGATACACAGGGGTGGACACACTCTCCTCATTCCCAGAGGCTGTGGACACTGCTAACTGTAAGTAATGATGACAAAGATTAAAAAACCTTTGAAAGACTTCACTGTAATTCATAGATGAAATCAATCTGCTTTACACTGAAAATATACATGTGCACTGTACATGTACATGCACTTCACTGGAATCACTGCACAAAGAATACAATGCACAAGAAATTTAATTTGATTACTATTTTAAAATATGAAACAGCTGTAATCAGATACTTCAAGGAAGAGGGAAAATGGGTATAAGAGGTACTGAACCTGTAAAACTTTGCTAGGAAATTCCAAATCTTTTAGGTCCACATGATAATTTTCCATTATATAGAAAGCTGTGGCCCACATTGTAAGAATGTATTGCTGACTTGTTATACAAGTCCTGAAAAAAGAAACATGTACATGTAGCTTATAACTATGATTAATGCTTTAAATAATGATTGAAGAAGTTCAGAAGTATTGAAAAACTTCCTGGGACTAGTCAACTCATGCAAAATGCATGTTCACTGTAAATGACTCTGGATATCAAAACTTCTTTAATGAGATCACTGCTCCTGCAGGACATATTTAACAGCCAAATCTTTTAATTCAAAGTGCTTACTGGCTTATGCTGCCTAAATTTCTGAGGAGGAAGTCTGTTGCCATGGGAACCAGAGGTTTGGTGATTTCTTGCATGCCTGCCTCCAGAAGATAGAGGATTCCATGCATGGCCGCCGTTCTACTCGGAAGGTGAGGGCTCCGCAGGCCTGTGTCTAATAACTTCATCAGTTTTTCTATGCCAGAACTATCCTGTTGATTATTTAAAGGTTATTCATTCCTTAAATTCCTGATCATTCAACAACAAAGTAAAAAGCTGAAAATGCTGAACAATTACAATTCTGCCTTCATAATTCTTTTTTTTTAATCTTCAGTTCTTTTTTTTTTCAAAAATTGTATATAAACTTTTCAAGCTTTTCAAAACCCATACTCTATGCTACCACAGTAGAATTGTACTAATCGCAAGGAGATATGGACTCATTTACATTTACATGTAATATACAATGCCTCATACAGAATCCAAATACTTACCAGGCCTATGACAGCAGCAGCTTTACTGAGTCCTACATTGATATACTGCATTACTATCTCATCTTCAGAAGGGTGGGCTTTGTAAATGTCAAACAGGAAGTCCAGCATCCACTCGTACTGTTCTCTCTCCACAAACAGGTCAGACAGAGAGACAAGCTAAAGCAAATATAAAATTACTGCTTGGACAATTCAAATATAGAATAAGAACTTCTCTGTCAATACATAAATATTCTCTTTATTTTATAAGTAATTAAAGTTGTTCATCCCTGCACTTCCCTATCAGCATGTTTTATTGAAAAAGTTTTACAATCTCAGAGATAAGTTTAAAATTTAAATGCACAAAGTGAAATCTCACCGACTTAACCACTTCATTTTTCAGCATCAGTGGAGGTTTCAGTATACTGTTAGGAGAAAGCCATTGTCCATACAACTCTAACAAAAACTGTAAACAGGAATGAATGTCAAGGCCACTCAGCGAGATTGATCTTTCCCTTTTCTCTATATTGACCAGTGGGAACTGCTGTTGTATTGGAGGGGGCGGGGCATTTTCTGGATTCTCCTGCTCTGGACTGTTTAGAGATTCTGGAGTATCAGAATCAGCTGTCTGTACATGAAGAGCCCCAACAACTGACCAGATGGACTCTATAGACACCTAAAGATATAAAATACATGTCCAACATTGTGTCTCTAGTGTGGATAAGAGAGTTTGTTTCTTTTTATTAGTTGAATTAGTTTATTTTATTTCTTGAGTTGATTTATTTTATATGATAAATTATTTTATTAATATTGATTGACTAATTAACTAAAAAATTATCTTTTTTCAGTTGTTTCATATTCAAAAAATTATATTTAATCAATCATACATTTGAATATCACACTAACTAAAACAGCATAAAACCATCACTTTACACATGTACAGTATGTGTACGACTGACCTTAACTAATAGACTCTCTTGTACCTACAGGATCAACAATACAAACTACAAGACTTAATTTATGTTAATTGAATGAAACATCAGTCCCACTCTATAACAAGTGGTAAACTTTATGACCATTATCAAACAGCTGACACTTTACCTGTCCTAGATTGTATCCTACATCCCCGGTCTCCCTCTCCAGGTTATTGTCAAACATGTACCTCAGAATCTCCCGATCCTCTCCCTCACACAAATTACTGCTACAGTTATCCTCACTGTGTCAAAATAATGTCAAAATCTACATAAATAACTTAAAATCTCAAACAGACACTGCATAGCTAGCAGTTACAGCTACATATCTAAAATATATTTCTTTATTCAAATATTTTGATACAGGTTTTTGTTGTTTTTTTTTAATTTTGACAATGTACAGTGTATATTGTGAATCACTGAATACTCTACCTCTTTCTATACAAGTCCTGCACCTCTCTCTCAATGATGCCTCTGATGATGGTCAACTTTTTACCACATCTGAAAAATAAAAATATGAACAACTGAACTGTGAATACAAAACAAGAATAAGCATTACAACAGGTGAAACCTGCAATTTCTTCTTAGAATATCCATACAGTCATTCTGGGATGAAAAATTCTTTACCTGGTGTGTAGAAATCCTAAAGGTTTGTCCCTTGGTCTAACCTCATAAACACTGTTGCTGGGGTTACCAGGTACAGGGGTCAAGGTTGACTGTAATAACATTGCTGTGATGGCCTTGACAGCTATCACCATACACTGTGACCTCTCTATTTCTTCCTACAACAGGAGCCAGATTTCTCAATTTTACTTTTAACTTTGCTAATCAAAAATTCTTCAGAGTTCCCATTTCTTTCAGGATTATTTTAAGAACAGGCATGGTCACAACACCTCAACACTCCAACAAGTCCATATACATACGAATAATTATATGAATAAATGAAAACTTTTATTTTAGCTACATGTACATGTATTAACTTCTATGTATCAACTTAATTCTATGGTTTCAAAAATTTATTCAACAGTAAACTGAGGCTTGAGGTCAAAATTACAAATCGTAGCCTTGTTGTTTTTTAGAATTGTACATGTTCCCATGTAAATCCATGACCCATTAATGTGGCTCAACCCTTGCCCTGGGGACAGTGATTTCAAAGTTACATGGGGATGCTTGTATATCAAAATATATCTTTTGTGGCCATTCTTTCTGAGAGAAGATTTTCCAAGTTTTTCCCTTTTCAATTTCCTTAGTAAAACTTTGATTCCTCACCTTAGGCCCAGCCATTATATGAATGAATTTGAATCTACACCACATAAGGATGTGTGCAGATCAATAGTTTTTTTTTTTTTTTTGGTTGCCTTTCTGTAAATGAGATTTTATTTAAAGTCTTTTACCTATATAATTTGGCAAGAGCTTTAACCTGCTGTTGTGGCCTCACTTTATCCTATTTTGTCATAGAACTTTGAAACCCTATTGTGGCCTATTAACTCCTGGTGTCATGATTTGCAAATCTCTAAATACTGCACAAATTCCAATTTACACTACAAGGGAATGCTTGCATATAAATAGAACTTTATCCCCCTATGAATTATATCTGTTTGTAATGTTAGGTGAGTACAGATTTTCTGACCTCTGGTGAGATGTGTTCAGTGACGTCCTCTATAACTGGGTTCAGTACCGCCAGTAAACTCATCCATGTCTCCTCAAACTGCTGACGACTGATCCAACCTTTACAATAGTATATAAAAAGAACATCATTCATACACATGAACAAATTAATATTTTCCTATTAGTTTAGTTTAAATTAACTTCACTGTCTACTGTGTGTCATAAACACTTTCATAATACCTATCAAGATTTACACACAACTACTTTAATACTTCAGTAAAACTTGTCTAATCCAGATGTTCTGTATTCCAAAATTTTCCTTATTACAATGAAATCTTTTAGCCCCTTGTAGTAAATTCAAATGTTTAAATTGTTGTCTAATCCAGAATGTTGTCTAATCTGGCAATTTTTTATGGAACCAGTGGTGTCCAGATTTGACAAGTTTCACAGTACAAATATATAAGTACATGTATTTTTAATACTACTATTATTCTTGCTTTTTTGTTAACTTTGTATTCTAGCTAATTTTCTTACCTAGTGTGTTAATCCTGCTAACAAACTCCTTTAACACATCTTTATCTTTGAGATAGTCCACTGGTAAGGGAGGTAAGTGTGTCTTTAGTTCCCCTGATGGGGTTGGGGTCCACCCTAACTTCCACACTAATGATGGTGTCCTGGCATAACTATTGAGAGCTGGCAGACGAGCTAATGCTAAAAAAATTGGAAAACATTACACACAAACCTCTAGATTATTCTTAACCTGTGTGTACTTACTGTATCTTTAAAACTCTGTCAACTGATTTCTGACTGAGGATAGACGAAATTCTGTTTTACAAGTACTTTTAAATTACTTACATATAATGATGGTTGTAAGATGGCTGTCCAAGAAATAAGGAATGGAATGAGATGTTTTGTTGAACAACAAATATTGCACAAGTTCTGAAATCTGATCACAGGCTTTGACAATCACAGACAATTCTGCAAAAAAAATTAATATTACTCATTTGTTTATTTCTTAACCATAACTATACATTTTTTATTGTATTAGAACTGCAAAGTCTTTTATGCATGTCAAACAGATAGACGCATAAAAATAATTCCTTAACCAACAAGAAGTCTGTGAGCCAATGCTCACTAGTAATACCCCCACTCTGATATGAATATACACTCCCATGAATCCCACCATATGGCATGCCTAAACAAAGAGTGTGCTAAAATTTCAGGCATCTGCATTAAGTAGTTGCTGAGAAAACTATGAGAAAATTTGGTACCTACAGACACATGGACACACAGACAGAGTAAAAGAGTATAACCCCCTCTCCTTCAGAGTGGGGGTATAAAAATGGATAGCATAACTTTTACATATTATGATAAATTCACGGTTACAGTTTGTTTAGTTTGTGTGAGGACTATATATCTCTAATCTCTCAGCTGGATGTGAGACTAACCCTAATCAGTCTAATGCTTGTGCAAGGACTAACCCTATTCTCTTATGTTGGTGCAAGACTAACCCTTATCATTCAAGTGGTGTGCGAAATTAACCCTTATCAGTCAGGTGATGTAAATCTTACATCATAGTGCAATGATTTTGTGGATGTGGGGTCAGGTAAAGTAAGGTTTACCCAAAAGACTGATGCAAACTGATGAAACAGATTCATGCAGCAATAAAATACCAAAGTGATTTGGGAAACCTAATACAAGTAGAATGATACAGATAAACTAAGGTACCTCAACATCAGTATGTTGGCTACCTGGGATGTGATCCAAACAGTGCTTACTATGTAAGTCACTTATCTTACTATGTAAATAATTTACAAAAACTTGGCATCAAGCATGCTTATCTCTACATACATGTAAGTATATTCAGTCCTAAGAGCATAAATGTATATAAAACTTTTTCTGGGAAGTCACAGTAACAGACATACCATTTTGACCACTGGGTTCCTCAAATGACTCCTGGCTTGTTGTGACTAGTTTGTCTCCTGGAATGAGTACCACTACAAGCAAGATTAAGGTCTCACTTTATACATGTAAATTTTGTCCATTAAGAGCATGAACAGAACATTATTTATTTGTAAAGTAGCATTTCTTTTTCAATTTCAATCTCAGCAATTCTAATTCAAAACTGAATGAAACCAGAAGTCTCTGATGAGACTGTAGCTCTACTGGTCTGTACGTATAACAAAAGAAAAGTAGCACTTGGATTTGAAACTTTGCAACATGCAACAATAAATAGAATTATGTATCTTAATGTAGTCTACTTCTGTGCCAAGTTAAATTGAAATCAAACGAAAACTGTAGGGGGAGTAGCGTTTTGAAAGTATTTCACGGAAATTTCTATTTTTAGTAACCATGACAACACCATTCACCGAAATAAAAAAACAGAAATGCATATTATGTATCGTAGTGTATTCTAACTGAGTTCCAAATGAGATTGAAATCAGACCAAAATTGTAGGAGGAGTAACCTTTATGGGAATTTCACAAAAAATTCTATTTTAAGTAACCATCAGATTAAAACTGTAGCAGGAGTAGCGTTTTAAAGTAATTTCACAGAAATTTCTATTTTTAGTAACAATGGCAACACTGTTCATCAAAATCAAAAACCAATGCACTAAATTATGTATGATAGTGCAGTCTACTTGTGTGCCAGTTATATTGAAATCAGATCAAAACTGTAGGATGAGTAGCGTTTTAAAGGAATTTCACAGAATTTTCTATTTTTAGTAACAATGGCAACACCGTCCATCAAAATCAAAAACCAATGCACTAAATTATGTATCTTAGTGTAGTCTACTTGTGTGCCAAGTTATATTGAAATCAGACCAAAACTGTAGGAGGAGTAGAGTTTTAAAGGAATTCCACAGAAATTTCTATTTTTAGTAATCATGGCAACACCATCCATCGAAATCAAAAACTGATGCAATAAATTATGTATCTTAGTGTAGTCTACATGTGTGCCAAGTTATATTGAAATCAGACCAAAACTGTAGGAGAAGTAGCGTTTTAAAGGAATTTCACAGAAATTTCTATTTTTAGTAACCATGGCAACACCGTCCATCAAAATCAAAAACCGATGCATTAAATTATGTATCTTAGTGTAGTCTACTTGTGTGCCAAGTTATATTGAAATAGGACCAAAACTGTAGGAGGAGTAGCGTTTTAAAGGAATTTCACAGAAATTTCTATTTTTAGTAACCATGGCAACACCGTCCATCTAAATCAAAAACCGATGCACTAAATTATGTATCTTAGTGTAATCTACTTGTGTGCCAAGTTATACTGAAATCGGACCAAAACTGTAGGAGGAGTAGCGTTTTAAAGGAACTTCACAGAAATTTCTATTTTTAGTAACCATGGCAACACCGTACATCGAAATCAAAAACCGATGCACTAAATTATGTATCTTAGTGTAGTCTACATGTTTGCCAAGTTATACTGAAATCAGACCAAAACTGTAGGAGGAGTAGCGTTTTAAAGGAATTTCACAGAAATTTCTATTTTTAGTAACCATGGCAACACCGTCCATCAAAATCAAAAACTGATGCACTAAATTATGTATCTTATGCCCTGTTCACACGGAGAGTTTAATTCGAATTAAACGTAAGTTACTGCGAATTAAATTTGAACCACGTTCACACGGAGAATTTAAAGCGAATTAGTTTAATTCGAATTAATTTACTGCGCATTAAATTACTTCGCATTGGCTCCGTGTGAACGCTAAGCGAAGCTAATTCGAATTAAATTTTGACGCATGCGTAAGGGCAGAATTAAGTCACAGGCCACATGTCGATGGTCAGATATGGGTACTTGTGCTACTTTTGAGTGGAAAACAAAGGAAAACTATGATAATCACTAAAATGTGTACAGACACTATGACATTATGTCAAATCAGTGGTCAAATGTATCTGCTCGGCACAATGTGACGTGATTCGCAAAATGACGTCATAATAGCCTTACTGAATAGCCTTACTGTAGAAATAAAAATTTAATTCGCATTAGTTTACTTCGCATTAGCTGTCGTGTGAACACAATTTAATTCGCATTAGTTTAATTCGCATTAGTTTACTTAGCATTAATTTACTGCGAATTAAACTCTCCGTGTGAACAGGGCATAAGTGTAGTCTACTTGTGTGCCAAGTTATATTGAAATTGGACCAAAACTGTAGGAGAAGTAGCGTTTTGAAAAATTGTTTACAGACAGACAGACAGACAGACAGACAGCTAGACGGATGGACGACGGACACCTTACTATCGCATAAGCTCTTCTGGTCTCTGACCAGTAGAGCTAAAAACATGTACACAGTCATGTACAATCGTATAACTTGTAAATACTTCAGAATGTTATCTACAATCTACAATGAAATATGTCGACATGTAATTTCCTTACAGGAGAGAAAGACTTGGTAGATAGAAGAAGCTATAGATGCTATCCATGACACCCGGTCTTTTTGGCCAATCACTGCAGACAGCTGTTGATTCTGTAGAATGACTGCAGTACACTTCAGACACACGTTCAACTGCTCCGAGGTGGGGAGAATGTCATTATGAAACATCCAACACAAAAGCTGGGAAAAGACATTATATGTTTCAATTCCAGATACAACTAGATTCAAAATTTGAATTGAATTTCAGTTTTTGATTACAAAAAAAATTGATGAAAATTCAAAGAAAAAAAAAATAAAATCTCATAAATTACATCTAGAAGCATTTTACAGAATCGTTAAGAATCATTTTTCAATATATTCTACATGTATATGTACACATGTAGGTTTGCTAAATCAAAGGTACAGCTCTGCCCTTTTTCCTCCTATTAGTTGACCAAAAAAAAGAACTTTTAAAGCCCTCACCTCCATACACAATACACTAAATTTACAAATATCACAGTGAGATTCCACGGGAATATCAGGTTTCCATGGTAACCTATCCATAGCTTGCAGATAACAGTTCAATGTCTTGGTCAGTGAAAATATCATGTCCTTCCAGGAAGTGTCAGAGAATATATCATTCATCTTCTCCTGGTATCGACTCTCCTTCACAAAGAATGAGGAGAACGTGAGTATTTGGTGAGGGGCGGGGAGAAGGTTGATGACATTATTGATGTGACGGGTCAGTGTGAGCTGGGCAGCCTGGAATAGATTGTCTGTCACTGGTTCCTGGAGAACCTGGTTCCCTTCACTGTCTAAGACCGTGACTGAATCAGTGCTCTTTATTAAGGTGTACTGAGCTCCCAGGGTTAAGCACTCTGACAGAATGTCCAGACTGAACTCCTAATAACAAGGAAGAGAAATAAAACCATGTTGTAAATTTACTTAAAATATTCATATGACAAAGTATTACAATGTATAAACATCTGTCAGAGTCTCATAGATCCTGTTTTGCTGCTGCAATGACCCAGATTTTCTTTTTAGAAAAGGATACAGATTGTTCTTTACTTATTACATGTACAAATCAAAATTTACCCACCTTTGTCATCATTATAGCCAACATATCGGCATATTCCAGTTTGTGAAGCAGCAAGCCACATTCCCTAGGACTAGAGTCAGGATTGGAACATTGATACTTAACTATGGACAGATACAAATCCTACAAAGGAAAGTACTTTTTATAAATTCCCTGTCTGGAAAAAACATACGACAAAAAAATCTATAAAATATCTTATATACATATATAAATATACACATTTTTCTATATATGTATGTGAATCTACATACAAACTCTTTTTTAAGTTTACCTTGTCCATCTGATTGTGGAGATATTCTTTCTTACTAAGAACAGGGTGACAGGTGTCAGCATACAGAGATAAAGAAGTTTCTGGGTCAAGGGTCCCCCTCAGTTTCTGTAGTAAGGAAACCAACCTAGCATGCCTACAAAATTTAAGCAGCATTTACTTGTAGATAATATCTGTTCACTCAGTAGTTAACCTTTTAAATACATGTAAAACATTAATTTGCAATGTTTGACCTTCACTGGATTGTGAATAAGGAAATTGAGTTTTTGAGATGTAGTGCTAAAATCCATTAGTACTTTAATACATCAGCATTGTTCTACACAATACTTACCTCTTTAGCAATGAATGGGTCTCCATAAATTTAAGGAGTTTATCTAAATCAACTAATGGTAACTGTTTCTTAGCATCCTGTATCAGATAAAAAAAAAGTCAGTGAGTTAAATATACATTCCATGTGAGTACAGCTACATGTAAGTTCATTAAGAATGAAATTCCATAACTTTCACCAATCATCTGTTTTCGATATTAACTACATACCTCAAAGTTATCAGCCAGTAACATTTCTACCCTGTGACAGGCAATGGTATCACAGAGGCGGGCCACAGAGAGATGATGGGTGTTCAGAAACTTGTCAATCAGCAGGGTCAAAAGGGCACCTGTTTGGCTAAGATGAATAGCCTCTACACACTTCATTGTCTTCTTTATTTGGGATGGCTATAAGAGAGTTGACTGTTTGAAGCTATCAATATGTACTGTATGACACAAATGTTTCATTATTTACATGTAAATGTTACATTATGTTTATGTACTGAATACCAATCTCCCGTGCGAAGTTGTTCATTTCTATCTCAGAAACCTCTGCAATAAGCTCAGATCAAGATTTTTGACAAAAGGTAAACACAATGATATTCTAAGGATCCTTTCATACTAAAGCAATAGTTCTAAATATACTGAGTAAATATCTACACTGTTACAGTAGCTTAATAGACAAACATCAGAGCAAGTATCTAATTACCTGGAATAACATTTAAAAGAAAAAATGCACTGTTTTTCGGACAAATCATAGGGATACAAGTGAACCAATGACAGGTGAATGTATGAGCCAAAGGTAGAAGATAACTGCAAACATATAAATTTTCCTCGGGGTGAATGCAAGATGAGGCACATAGAAAAAGTTATCTCTCTTTGAACACAACTGTGTCTGCAGCAAATTTAGAACAAGGCAATATAAAACAATGGGTGAAAATAACCTTGTTTAGAATAATACAAAGTATGTATTTCCACATTACCAGATGGAAACTGGATCTAATACGCAATATTCATAAATCTTACTTTGGACACATCCTGACCTCTGGAATGAATGGCTTGAATGAACAAACAGCTGGCTGCTGAATTCCTGTGTATAGCACTAAAAGAGGAGATACATTTTAATGTCACCATTGTACTACATGTATGTACTAATGTACAGGCACGAATCATTAAAAACATTTCTTTGTTTATCACATTGATAAAATTGTCTCTGATTACAAACAGTTGTATGCTATAGATACCTGACGAAGTCCTGGACTGGGGATTCCCGGGACAGCTGTATGAGGTCACTCACATGGTTGATCACTAGCCAAGTCATGTGTTCCGCATCCAACATGTTCTCGCACTGCAAGTCAAAATCACACATCCAACATTTTATATCAAATCACATTACAATGAAGGACAACAGTTTTATCATATAACAAGAGGCCCATGGGCCTTGAATCGCTCTTCTGATAAACTGTACAACCTATCACTTCTATTTGAAGCCTCGAAGTATCCTGTATATTTACATAAACCCTTGAAATTCCAATTCACACTCTGAGAACCCAAGATGATTCTAAGCCAATTAGTACCTGAGAGTTGGTCATGGTAACCTACTTATCACTTGTCATTCTCTGAGGACCCATCAACTAAGTTTGATGATTCTAAGCCAATTAATACCTAAAATATTTTTTAAAATTATAATCATAAAATTTTATAAGTAGGTCAAAGTGACCTACTTTTCAATTGTTTTACACCAAGGACCCAAGATGCATCAACTGACAAAGTTTGATGATTCTAAGCCAATTAGTACCTGTAATATTTAATTAAAGCCATAAATTTTCAAAAGTAGGTCACCGTGACCTACTTTTCAGTTGCTGTACTCCGAGGACCAAAGATACATCGACTGACAAAGTTTGATGGTTCTAGCCAATAAGTACTCAAAATATTTAATTACAGCCATAAATTTTCAAAAGTAGGTCACAGTGACCTTCTTTTCAGTCAGCCTACTCCGAGGACCAAAGATGCATCAACTGACAAATTTTGACGATTCTAAGCCAAATAATTCCTGAAAAAATTAAATACAGCCATAAAATTTCAAAAGTAGGTCACCGTGACCTACTTTTCAGTTGTTGTACTCCGAGGACCCAAGATGCATCAACTGACAAAGTTTGATGATTCTAAGCCAATTAGTACCCAAAATATTTGATTAAAGCCATAAATTTTCAAAAGTAGGTCACCGTGACCTACTTTTCAGTTGTTGTACTCCGAGGACCCATGACGCATAAACTGACAAAGTTTTATGATTCTAAGCCAATTAGTACCCAAAATATTTGATTAAAGCCATAAATTTTCCGAAAGTAGGTCAGGGTGACCTACTTTTTAGTCGATCTACTCTGGAGACCCAAGATGCATCAACTGACAAAGTTTGACGATTCTAAGCCAAATAATTCCCGAAATATTTAATTAACGCCATAAATTTTCAAAAGTAGGTCACTGTGACCTACTTTTTAGTCGACCTACTCTGAAGACCCAAGATGCATCAACTGACAAAGTTTGATGATTCTAAGCCAATTAGTACCTGAAATATTTAATTATAGTCATATAAATTGAAAATTAGGTCAAGGTGACCTACTTTTCAGTTGACCTTTTTTGAGGACCCAAGATGCATCAACTTACAAAGTTTTATGATCATAGGACTTAAAATGTCCAAATTATGCCTCTAAAACGCTTTGAAATCGAATGCCTGCAAAGTTCAAAAAGTAGGTCACTGTGACCTACTTTTTAATAAATATGTTTTATGGCCCCAAGATGCATCATCTTACAAGATTTAATGATTCTAAGCCTCCCCGTATTCAAATTAATGACCTTAATTGTTTTAAAAAAGATTAGCCATAAAATTCAAAAAGTAGGTCAAGGTGACCTACTTTTTAGTTGACGTACTTTGAGGACCCAAGATGCATCAACTGACAAAGTTTGATGATCATAGGCCTTAAATTCTTCAAAATATGCCTCTAAATCATTTTGAAAAAGAATGGCCGCAAAATTTAAAAAGTAGGTCACCGTGACCTACTTTTGAGTCAACATGATATGAGGTCCTTAGATGCACCAACTGACAAGATTTGATGATCCTAGTCCTTATAGTAAGCAAAATATCAACATTTTAATAAAATGTAATTTTTGGTCAACTTTGAAGTGACCTTGAGACCACGCCCTTTGCCCCAGGGTAAATCCCCGTGCAAATTTTAATCTACAACATATCCTCATCCTTTTGTGTAAGTTTGGTGATAATCTGCCCAGTGGTTCTTGAGAAGAAGATTTTTTAGCAACCAGTACTTTTGTTTCTATTTTCCTAATTATCTCCCCTTGTTAAAGGGTCACAACCCCAGTTTTAGTATAAAAGGGAGCCCTTGGGCCAAGGATACCCTCTGACAAATTTGACAATAATTGGCCAAGGGGTTCTTGAGTTATGGCCCATATTCTAAAAAGTTTACGCACACCGCACACCGCACAAATGGCCATAGCATTAGCTCTTTGAGCCTTTGGCTCAGAAGAGCTAAAAAGAAAGAAATTGTATTATTTTTGTAATCACATATTTCTCTCAACAAGTGTTTCTTAATGGTAGATGACTGACCACAAAGTCACAGAAGAGAATGATCCCCCCTCGTCTTAAGATTTCCTGGTTACAACAGTGGGTCTCTGCCACAGGGTGAGCTTCATGACTTGTTGATTGACTATAAGAACAAGGAGTCCATTATTTGCTTTAATGCAATGCCACCCTCTTCAGAAGTTCCAAAGAAAATTAAATCATATATAAAACATTCAATTTAGCTATTCAACATCGTTGCAAGCCTGGGTTTTGTGTCCATTCTATTTCCACAAACTTTGTGGAAACAGAATGGACACAAAACCTGTGGCTTGTGACGATGGATATTCAAGTGCAGTGTGTATCATTTAAACAGGCACAAAATATTCAATAAAGCTATATTTTATCAATCTACCATGAAATCAATAAATGTTCATTCGTAACTATGAGCATTGAATTCTAAATTTGGACATTTATTGTGTCATAACATGGACAACCCCGCAGACAACTTTCATAATGTGCAAATTCAATTTGTCAGCACACCCATCGGTGTTATATGACACACTGAACACCCAAACTGAAATTCACTGCTTTAATACTAACACATGAGAACAAAACTTTAGATTGTATCAGTGTTTGCAGTACCTTGTTCCTGGTTTGAGATGTCTATTTGGGGTCTGCATAACCTCACTCCATAAATTCTGGTCATCGTAATTCAAAAGGATCAGAATATTACACCACTGTAAGGTCAAGGTCGGCAGTGTCATGGAAACAGACAGGAAGTTACGGTTGACTTCCTTAATGCTGTAGAAACAATCAACAGCTTCCTCAGAAGCAATCTGAAGTGCACAGGTGGCAACTTTCCTAAACATACCTGAAGAATACAATATCAATCCATAACAATCAGCCTCCTTACTGTTTATACATCTGCATGTACATGTATTTGACATTCAATTATTAAATGCTTAGCTGGTTCAAAGCATTATATAAAGAGAAAACTGACATCCATGTATCTGACAGACAAAACAGAATAGAAATACAAAATCAGGAAAAAGATATTTTTAATGAAAATAATGCTTCTATAGAGTGTTTCCATTAAAAGTCAAAGTTACTATTCTTTTCTATTACACATAAAAACTTTGAAGCATAATGACAAAGTCTATTTCCAATTTGTTAACCTGTCATTCTGTTACAAATCAAAATTATGTTATATTCCTGGTTTTAAAGCAATTTATTTAATAATAATTTTAATCAATTATTGGTATGGCCAAGTGATACTCAATTAAATGAGTATTCTATGACATCATTAATGATACATCTTCATGTTATACCTCGTAGTAAAATCCTAAATGAATTACTTTATATGTACTTTAAAAAGCGGACTTCATATTTTAGTGGCTTTGGCATGGACAATAATGCGCTAATTCATGAATACCGTTAATAAATCATTGATTAACACAATATATGGCGAGTACGGGTGTAGCGCTAATTCATGATTATGCCAATCGCTCAATACCCAGTGATTGCACTAAATTTTGAATACATTGTACACGTACAGTATTTGTACGTATCTTCATCCCAACAAGCACCAACAAAGCATACTAAATGGAGAAGAAATATCAAATCTACAAATATTTAGTCTCTTTTGTTACATTAATGAAATATCAGAGTACAGTAAACTTAGGTACCTGACTGGAACATGTGCGTAATGTAAAGAAGAAACTGGGACAGCTGTTGAGACAGGAAGTCTGTGTGGTCCCGTGACCCATGATAAGACAACTGATGACCCATGATGACCTCTAGACATTTCCCGATCACCTGAACCAGAAACCTACAAAAGTGAGAAAAAGATCTATAATCTGCAAATTTCAGTCTACATTGTTGTGAATTTTCTCTCCAATGACAGTATGTGTCAATGCATACATGTAATGGAGCCTGGTTAATCAGGACAAGAAGTATCAGGACACCTCACATTCTGGACGAAAATTGTTGGGAACAGAATTAACATTTATGTACACAAACTATAATTATTAGGTTCATTTCATTAATCATTCACTTCATTTATCCAGACAATTTCTTGGGGAGACATGCATCCTGACTGTAAGTCATTTGTGTCAACAGTCAATGTGAGAATAATTAACTAAAGCATATCAGAGAAAAGATAAAACTCACCTGGCTAGAATCTGTTCTGGTACCATATCCTGAACCATTTGTTTTTCTTCTTCTGTCAATTTGGAGCTGTGAACTTTGAAGAGGGTGAGTTTGATTCTCAGCTCGGTGAGGCGTGACAATATGACCTCCTCTTTGGACTGAGCCATGAGAACTCGGACCACAGACAACACTAGACACATCCAACGCTGTAAGTTCTCAGTTGTACCCTAAACCAATACTACAGAGTTTTCTTCAAACATGATAGGATTCTAGGTCTATTTGCTCACAAAGGTTTTAATATGCATTATTCATGTACTTGGATCCAATTTTAATGATAACTAGTGGGTATTGTTTTTTTAACAAAAAAAACACATGTCTCCCCTTCTTTACCAACATTAACGAGTGCAAATATATGATCAGGGTCAAAAATAATAATGCAGTGCATCTCAACTCAAATTCTGTGTACAAAATTTCAAGTCTTCATGTCAAACGGATCTCAAGTAATGGTCTGGTTGTGTTTTTCTTAATTTGACCTTAAAGAAAGTGGTCAAGGTCAAATATTTTGATGCAGTGCATTTAGTCTCGATGTTGTCTTTCCTTGTTCCAAGTTTGAAATCCTTATGTCAAAAAGTTCTCAAGTTATGACTTAGACTATATTTTCATGTTAATGAATGACCTTGACTTTATTAATAGGTCAAGGTGAAAAAAATGTTGCCATTCACCCTTCCTCTATACCACCTCTCCATATTCCAAGTTTGAAGTCTTAATGTCAGGGTTCTCAAGTTATGGTCTAGTCATGTTTTCTCTATTCCACCTTGAAGAAAGGGGTCAAGGTCAAAATTTTGAAGCGTTGCATCTTGTAACAATGTTTTCTTTCTATGTTACAAGTTTGAAGTCCTAATATCAAAGGATACTCAAGTTAAAGCCTGGACTCTATTTTGATGTAAAAGATTGACCTTGACATTATAATAATTGGATCAAGGTCAAAAATTTTGGTGGCATGCATCCCTCCTTGATACCACTTCTGCATGTTCCATGTCTGAAGTCTTTATAACAAAGGATTCTTAAGTAATGGTCTAATCAAGTTTTTTCCCTATTTGACCTTGAGGAAGAAAAGAGGTCAAGGTCAAAAATTTTGGTGTGTTGCATCTTGTATCAATGTCTTCTTTCTCTGTTACAAGTTTGAAGTCCTAATATCAAAGGGTACTCAAGCTATGGCTTGGACTCTATTTTGATGTAAAAGATTGACCTTGACCTTATAATAATTGAATCAAGGTAAAAAATTTTGGTGGCATGCATCCCTCCTTTATACCACCTCTGCATGTTCCAAGTTTGAAGTCTTAATGTCAAAAGGTTCTCGAGTTATGGTCAGATCGTGTTTTTTCCCTATTTGACCTTGAAGGCAGAAAGGGGTCAAGGTCAAAATTCTAATGCAGTGCATTTTGTCTCAAGGTCTTCTTCCTATGTTACAAGTTTGAAGTCCTAATATCAAAATTATCTCAAGTTATGGGCTGAACTCTATTTTGATGTAATAGATTGACCTTGACCTTATAAATAGGTCAAGGTCAAAAATGTTGGTGGCGTACGCTCCTTCTCAATGTCATCTATCTATGTTCCAAGTTTGAAGTCTTAATGTCAAAGGGTATTAAAGTTACGGCCTGGACAAAATTTGGATGAAGAAGAAGAAGAAGAAAATCGACAAAAACAATATGTCTCCCCTGGAAGGGGAGACATAATTCTCTACTTCAATGACAATTACTGTATTCAAGTTTGAAATAATATCAAAAAAAAAAGATTGTTGAAGTACTTTGATGTACTTATGTCTTACTATGTTTGAAGGAGCTTGTAACAATGTCTTCAGCAAAATATCCACTGGTCTGAATACAATGGGAGCTAGGCACTCAAATAGTCGATGAAGCACATCTAATGATTCACCATTGTCTAAATTCACCTGTAAAGAGAAGCATCAGGACACCAGTAAGTTCCTGAATACATGTAGCTGTAAAATAAAGAGTTGTTCTTATATCTAATTTCAAGTTTCGAGCACAAAATGCTTCCAAACAACAAGAACACTATACAATCTTGAACTAAAGAAAAGTCATATTTACATTTGTATAGTAATTAGCAAATTCATCAACAAAACATGGTAACAAGTGGTTTGGTTGCAAATAATATGCATTTGACTTATATGCAAATACTATGTAATACATGTATTTCCTTTAGGCCACCTAATAATTTCTAGGCCATTTGAGCCTCTACCTTCTAAAAACTACAAGGCTGGTAGAATCTTATCTACTACCTGGCTGATTGTTTTTATCAGAATGGTAAAAGCTTATACCTGATTGGCTGTTAAGGCTGGTAGTAAACTGTCTGTTATCAGACGAGATAATCTCTTCCAGCGATCTTCACTTTCCTTCTTACTTTGTTGTAGAACCACCACCAATAAATCCAGTGTCTGTATAATTGAATTCAAGTTTGCAGATTAAAAAATGTACATTGTTTCATTATTTCCTCCAACTTATACATGTTATGAAGCAGTTTCAAACAGAAAAACAGAATTATCTCTCTGGTACACTGTATTACTGGATGAAGATTTGACACAGTTTTGGGCTAGACATAAGCATTATTTACCTGGCAGTACTGGATGAAGATTTGACACAGTTTTGGGTGTGACATAACCATTATTTACGTAATTAATGTACAAGTAGCCTCCATTCCTCAAAAGTACTGGAGCCGAGGCCCCAAAGGGGCCGAGGCTCATTGCTTTTAAGGAATGGAGTGCTACGAGTATATTAACCCGCGTAAAATCCACCTTTTTAAATGCTTGTAATTATTGTTTGTTAATATATAATAAACATAAAATACAGTGTAAACATACATTTAACATATAAGTAGTATTTATTTATATAGAGAGAGAAAGTAAGGCAAAAAAATGTACTAAAGTTATTTAAATCCGGTACGTGTCATTCAACAGCTTCGATAGCATAGTGAGATGAGAACCTGACTGCGAAGGTGAAGGAACCTGGATCAATTCTCAACAGTGCCATATTTATTTTCTTTATGTGTAAATAAACTTGTTAAAATTTTGTAAGTTCTTTCCTCAGTAGAGGTACAGAAAGGAGAATATGAACATAACAAATTCTGTTTTCAATGTAATTTACAACTCTCCATTCCTGAAAAATAATGGAGAACTCAAACAAAAGAGTGACGTCACAGGTGGATTTTACCTGGTAGTACTGGATGAGTCGAAGAAGCATGGACACTAACACTTCTCTTTGTGTCTCCAGATCTCTACTTATATCAGGTTTGTTCCCTCCCCTCAACAAAAACAAGTCAAACACAACCGGTCTCAGAGCAGGAATGGCTGTTAAAATAGAAGTATTTCAGATATTTAAAACATTATCAAAGGCTTTACATGTAGCACAAATTTAGAAAATTTCATATTTACAAGGTACAGTACATGTTTCTACATAAATATTTAAGGAATCACTGTCTAGTTAGTAGAGTATGCCAGGGCATCAACGATAGTTGGAAACATGGGATAATTTGCATAACCGGCGAAGCCCGTTATGCATAAATTTTCCCACATTTCCAACAATCGTTGATGTCCCTGGCATACTCTACTAACTAGACAGTGATTCCTTATATTTCCATTTCACTGTGAAATAAAATTGTAAATTTAGATTTTAAAAATGTAGACTAATAGATTTAAATTACACGAGGCCTCACATGTCAATTTCAATAGTCCCCGCCCACTGATGTCAAACACAAAGACAGCCTCACAAGAATTACATGCATATTAGGCCTTCTTAGCTCCTGACCTTTCGCTTGGCGAAATTTGCATTCTGGTAGAATGATCAAGAAATCAACTCAACTAACTTTCAAAGAGTTATCTCAGAGAAAACAAATAGAATTGGGAATATTTAAGATTCAAACAACATGTAGTGATGTTTATATTTCCACGTAATATGCATGATTACATTATTCCTTGAAAATTCTTCAGTAGATAAATGCATTATTTTTACCATGAGACACAGGCTGCAGTCCACTCGCCATGATACCATCACAAAGCTGAATGATCTTGGGCATTCCAATGATTGTTTTACTGTGAGTTTTCTCATAGGATAGCATAACAAGGAAACTGAAGATGTTTGGAATTAAGTTCTCTGAATTTCTGAAAAAATGAAGTCACGAAAAATCCTTTATGTAAAAAAAAAATTAACAATTACATGTAAATGCATGTACATGCATATGCAAAAGATTACACATTTAAAGAGAGTATGTTATTCATGTGTAATGATATGATTTCAGTAATACATGTACTTCATTCTGTGTTTCTTTTTAAGCTAGTTAACAAATGGTTGACAACCAAGTTTGCAACCTTATTTATATGTACATATAGAATATACATATAGTAAGAGACAGTTTTGTGACAAAGATTATGGTCATATAAAACTTAGAATTATCCACCTAATTTGCCCCTCTTCTATGAACTCCAGCTGTTTGATGATAAATCCTATGAAGACCTGATCGGAGTCCAGAAGGCAGTAATTCACCCGTAGCTGAATCAGTTGACTCAGAAGGTCAAGGACTTGCTGTTGAAGTTCAAGGCTACTGGACACAGTGTACTGCTTCAAGGCTTTGATGACCAGGGGCTCAAACAGTCGGATGTATGAGGCTACGGTGGACTGCAGTGATTAAAATTCCAGTTTTCAAAGAGTAACACAGGAAACTAGATGCAAAATATTGAACAACAGGCAAATGGGCTCAACACTCAGCACAGTAACAAGACACTCTTTTTTAACTATAATTCTTTACCTCGGTTTTTGACTGAAATACACATATTTGCCTATGAGCATTAACATTTTATACAATTTCTGGTTACCTTATCAGTTTTGCTGCTGGGTTTCAGGATTGCTGGAAATTTCCTGTCTACACATTTCCTTAATGTGCTCAGAGTCCTATATCAAAATGAAGAATAGAGAAGTTTTACTTGCAGAATCATGCAAATTAATAATCTGATTTATTCACTATCTTATTTTTTAAAAGCACGCTGGGAATTTTTCCTATGAAAACACAATGTAAATATTACTTACACAGTATTTTTCCTCTAGTCTGCTCATCATTTATGAGATTAATAAAACTTTAGTCTATCACAAGCTTACTTAATCTCTAGGGAATTTTTCAAACTAGGGCATAAGTAATTACCCGGAGCCTTCCTCTTGGTCAGTATGGGAGGAAGCTTTAAACGTAGCCCCAGCCAATGACTGTGTAAACTGAGTGTAAGGCTGGGTAAAACAAAAGTAGTACTGGCCGGGTTTATTATTTCCAGTTAGGCGGGCAGCTTTACCAGGTTTACCGGACAGGTTCACTAGATGTTGAGGCTCCCATTGACAAACAAGATTTGTACCAAACAAGGCTTTAAGAAGCTGAACAAAGATAGCATGTCAAAAATTTGAAATGTATGGCATGGATACAGAATTATAATGTATACAATGTAGCTGATTCTATTCACAGAGTGCTAATTTTGGCTTATTTAACCCCATGGTTCTTAAATTCAATAAAATAGCATTGTGTGTAATGTATCATATGGTGATTTCAAAATTTGTCAAAATTACAAAGATAACTTTTTAGGATATACCCTGTTTGACTCAACTATTCACAAACTTTTAATCTCTCAAATAATTCACTATAAAATAAGACAAGCTCTTTTGGACATCATTATTACAGGTAAATATGCACAATTCCTGTTTGAACCATTTAACCTCTCCTGTTTATTTCTCAGGTACTGCTTCAATAAATAACACCATACCTGTTGTACACATTGGATAGATTCAGTGGGCTCCAGAACAACTGTAGACTTCAGGTACTGAAGAATTTCATCAGCATACTTCCCAATGTCTTCTAGTCTGGCTATCTCTAATATCTGAGACAGAGTGACCAGTGATGTGTGGAGGAGGCTACAAAACTTGTCAGTCACCATTAGATCCAAGGACACCTAAAAAAAGACAAATCATCACAAAACCAGATATATATCTTACATCATGCATACTGTATATTGCATTAAAAATACTGTTATGTTAATAAATTATGTAAAATCAGTTGGTCAAATGTTAATTAAGATTGATATAACATAACTACTGAACATATTTGATGTCATTTTCACAAGTTATCAATAATAAACTATCCCACAGAAAAATCAAAATGAACCATTCTGTGATTTGAAATACTGCCTGACTTCCTACAGAAAGAAAAAAAATGTCTTAATATATACAACAGTTTGACTGAGCATTTTTATGCCCCTCAAACAGCTTCATGTACTGAGAATGACTATAATTTGAGTAAGTTCCCTTTAACACCTTCATATAATGGGGCAGCCTTTTGACTGACCTTGTAATTTGAGTAAGCTCCCTTTAACACACTTTCATGTAATGGGGCAGCCTTTCGACTGACCTTGTAATTTGAGTAAGCTCTCTTTAACACACTTTCATGTAATGGGGCAGCCTTTTAACTGACCTTGTAATTTGAGTAAGCTCCCTTTAACACACTTTCATGTAATGGGGCAGCCTTTTGACTGACCTTATAATTTGAGTAAGCTCCCTTTAACACACCTTCATGTAATGGGGCAGCCTTTTGACTGATCTTATAATTTGAGTAAGCTCCATTTCACACACCTTCATGTAATGGGGCAGTCTTTTGACTGACCTTGTAATTTGAGTAAGCTCCCTTTAACACATCATACAGCTTCATGTAATGGGGCAGACTGTGGAACACTCCTAATGAGTCCTTCTTTGTCTTTTCTTTTTCTTTCTCCTGTTCTTTCTCCTTTTCTTTAATATAAAATGTAGTGTCAAAAAATAACTATCAAAAAAGTTTAAGAAAATACATGAACATGCTTATGCTATTCTTTTTAAAGATAATATCTTTGAAATAGTTAAATAAATGGTTACTGTGGAATCATTAAAATTCGTGGGGGTCAATGTTCGTGGGCAAGCAAAATTTTATTGGTTCATGGGGATGTAATTTCATGGGCAGCTCGTTTATTTGGTAGATATAATTAATCAGTATGTTGACAAAATAATTGTTCCTGGGGATGTAAATTCATGGGTAAGGATGACCCACGAAATCCACGAACATTGATCCCCCACGAACAATGATGATTCCACAGTATATGTATAATTTTTGCAATTTTGAAAAAAAAAAATTCTTAGATATGATTGTCATTTGTGATTTCTGAAAAAAGCTTTCACATTTTGTTTGTTCAAATTCACATTTTGTTAAATATTTACCTTTTTGTTGTTTTGTGGGTGTTTTTGTGTCTGTGTTGCTGCCTTTAGCTGGGGAATCATTTGGACTGTCCCCTTTGTTCTTTCTTTTGATAGGACTGAGGGAGGGGGCATTGGGTAGGGAGGGCAGGGAGGGTTTGACAGGAGCTGGACCAGGTACTTGTTCATCAATTACATGGACACAGCAATTTAGAACCCTGTAATAAGACATGTACTTTAAATTCCTCTTTCTAGCAAATGAATTGGATTTAATTATACATTACATTGGAGAGGAAGAAAAATTCTCCTATTGATATCCTTGAAATGTATGCTCAATAAAGATTTCATACATACGTACAATTAAACACAGGTACAGCAAAACACTTATAATGAAATCATGCTTACAGGGAAGTGATTTTTATTCCAACTAGTTTTAAAACATATCGTGAGCTTACAGGATATATTGGATCTTTTATGATTGTGGTTGGATGTGATTTTTTATCCAACAAGTTGTGTTCTTTATCCCCAAGCCTTGGCCATATCCAACCACAAATCATGGGAGATTCTTTTTATCACATATTTTATACATCACTATCAATGTTTTACACTGTTTTATATTTGAATCCACATTATTTTACTTCATCACTTTCACGCAAAACCCATTGTGACATCAAAGCAGTGGTATGTGAAAAAATATCCATTGAGTGATATACATGGGTTAAAGGGATAAACATGTGATAAAACTAACTACATTTATAAAGAATCAAAATTGTTTGTCCATAGCACTTCTCTATCAGCATGTTTTACTGTACTATTAATGCAAGAATTTTCTTCACTTTTACAGAGAATGGGCTACATTATATCAAATGATACTATACCTGGCAATATGGAAGAGTAGTTGGTCTAAGAAGGGAATCAGAAGTCTGTCAGAGACAGCCCCCCACTTCACCCCCTCTCCATCATTTGTAGAATTAGATTCCTCTACTGGCTGCATACATCTGTATACTGCACCTGTAAATGATTCTAAAATTACCCAAGTGTGCACAACATGTATTTAAGTCTTGATCACATACTGTACATGTACATTAAAATGTTTACTCTCTGACATTCTTCTCTTAATTTTTATTCAGAAGACTTTACTTAACTTTATAGAAAATTAGACTCCACATTTCTCTGATCTAGAAAAATTCAGATATGTGTGAAAGGGATAACATTTGATATCAGTTGGCAAGCACACATGTTTTCTAACACAGCCTAATTTTTACCTGCAACCAGATTGCCAGCAAACTGTAGGGTGTCACTGTGTGCCGCTAGATCAAGACTTACATTGGAGGAAGTCAGTAGAGGGAGAATAATGGTGAGAGCCCCTCCCCCAGACCCTGCTGACATCTCATCAAGGCTAAATGTGCTAAAACACAACAATACACGATCAAGTCCACAAGGTCTTACACTAAAATATGAAATTCTTAATACATGTACTCTGATGTTTTCTTTGGAGTTCTACAGACAAGTTGTATATTTATTACTTATGTAAATGAAAACTTTAAATACTCTTTGATAAATGCATTTCTACATGTTTGTACAAAGATAATTTTAATATTTGGATTTTTTTTTTTTTTGAGTTATTATATGGTACAGATATGCATGCCCACTTAATGTGAAAGAAATTGATTTTAACAATTCATCGTAAATTATGTGTTTCAAGAATTAAGAACTCAAATGAATAATCATATAACGTGAAATTCCTCATGCATGACACAGAGAGACAGCATAGAAAACATGCACTATTTCCCAAACATAACTAGCAAAAATGCAACTCAACAATGAAAATAAATAATTCTGAACTATTCATAGTCATCTCAGAGTATTAAACATGACAATTCAATAAATGCTGCAACTTTTATGTAGAACATTGCTTGTTTGTAACAGATTATGTTTTACATGTATTTCAGAACATATCTGGCTAAAGGGAAACAATAAATGAGGACAAACAAACAAAGCAGTTGCTTCCCCTGTCTTACCCAGACCAGACATAACCCATCACAGTTCTGTTAAAAGACAAAGTAATAATCTGTAAGATTTGAATTTAAGGTTTTAATTTTTTTCTTCGAAATTTCTTTGCCCAATATCACAATTTTTTTTCTACCTGCTAGGAGATATCTAGATGTTTGTACATTTCAAAATCTTTTTTTTAATCTTAAAAAAATTTCAATTGGCTATTTTAAAAGTTAACTGAATAGAAGTTTAGTCAGTCTCACATACATGTATATATATACATGGGGAAAAGTGAGGGATATACATGTAACCACATGTATAATAAATTTCATGTACCATGAATAACTGTATGCATTAATCAATTTATCGTTCATACATGTACACACATTTCTTGCAGATAACAAGAATATTTTCTTCCTTGAATGAGGATACTTACATGTAGCTTACAACATTTGTTAGGGAATACAGTATGCAAATATAAGAGCTCCGTGAAAATAGAAATTATTGCCTAGTTCTGGTATAGTAATTTAAATACATGTATTTTAAATTGTATAAAAACGTGAAAATTATGCAAGTTCATAAAACAAAGCCTTCTAAATGTTCCTTTTGAGGACTAAATTATTTTAAATGACGTTTTGAGATGAACAATCTAAAAATAAACAGGTACATGTATATGAAAAATGTACATTAATTCATATTTAGATACAATTTAGTATACAATTTGAGATACATGAATTTACATTGGTACATGATGTTTATATCACACCTGTCATCAAATTTTTGTCTCCTGCAAACAGAACTGTAGTAAATTGAAGTGTATAAAAATTTAAATTCAAGAAAGATAACTCTCACTCTGAAAAATGATTATTATACCTTTATGGGATAATGAACCTTAATTGTATGTTCTTCATCAATTGGAAGTTAGGGACACACGCAACATAGTTTTGAACTATATTTTTTATTTCCCTGTATAATTTTAGTAACTGAATAAATGAAGGACCTTTGTGCAATTTTATGCTGTCTGGTAGTCCTGAACATCTCCTCTGAATCAAATTTTAAGGAAATACCAGCTGAAACTACCATTTTTTGTTCATTTTTCTTTTTAAAAAAATACAATGATTTCCATCTTTTGATATATGTTTAAAACTCCTGGTAATGTATGCTGATATTTTGTCTAAGAACATCTGTTGGTACTATTACTTTAAGGACCCTCTCTATACTATTAAAATGAAAATGTTTTTTGGACATTGAGAAAATCATATTGTATAAAGGTGTAAACATTGAGCTTATTTACGTCATTTTCAACATTGGGTGCCTGGCTTTTACCCCAAGGAAAAATGTTCAAAGTCAACAAAGTTTTGATGAACAGAAATCACTGTTGTTTACCTAAGTGGGGAAAAAGCATACAGATGGAAGTTTTCATTAAATTCATCTTGGCCTATCAAAATGTCAAGAATGCTTGAATTGATTAGACATTGATTGATAAACTGTAAATTTCAATTTATTTTATTTTAGATCTAGGGGCAGATTACTTTAACTACATAAAAATACCACAGAATCAGAACTCTTTAGTGTGCAATGTATGGAGAGTTCTTAAATTAAGAATATCTTGGAAAATTATCAGTGGGAAAGGAACATTGTAAAGTACATGATTGTATGTTGCATATAACCTTTTGAACCTCTACAATTAAGATTTCATATTTCTACTTATCAGATCAACAAAATACAAAAAAACATTTACACAAAATAAAACACATCAAATAAAATTCAATGTCACAACATTATACAATTTTATAAAAATACATACATTTCACAAAGTAAAAAGAAATTAATTAAATGACAGTAAAATGAGAAGAAAACAAAATGAAAGTCTCTTATAATCACCAGGGAAAATGGACATAATTTTACCTGGAATTACTGTGAGATCGACTAGGTGGCCTCTTCATTATTCCTTTATTGCTGGCCTCCTTAGGGAGGAACGAGGTACAAGGTCCACACCCCCAGGAATGAGCATACAATGTTGCAGGGAAAGCCTCAGACAGGAGGAACAAAGCATGACAACACCCAAACTATAGAATACAAAGTACTGCATGAAAGGGGGGATTATCATATCACACCTGAAACAGACTAATTAAGTCTTAGTATCATACAGACCAATTCACTCATATCCATTTTAGATCCACAACATGAAGTATTATAACTTTGTCATTAAGATAACAAAGAATGAGTAAATCACCGGATAAAATGACAAAGGATAAAAGTATTTACTGTATTCTAGACTTGATGATTACTTGTGTAAACTTACTGTTAAGTGTTTGGACTGTGATACATTCAGCTGATGTAGCGCTGATTTCACAACTCTGGACAAGTTACTTTCTATAGATGGGGAGACCACTCCATTACTGTCTGTGTAAGGTTTCACCAGGCCCAGAACCAGTGGGGGTGAGTTAAGAACAGAATCAGACACCATTGGGGACAGCAACTTTTCTGTGTGGAGTCGAGATTCCGTTATGATTGGGTCATGTTGTGGGTGATCACATGGATAAAATAACCTTGGCACAATTCTGTTCAAAAGATAACAATATAAAACACACTCTAAATTAAAATCAGACTCAATTGGAAATAACTTCAAAAGGTGATAGTAATTTATTTTCAACATCACATTTTTTGGCCGAGCAATGAGGAAAGACAGTTATTTCAACATCAAGTAAATCTAGATTCAGTAAACATGATAAAACCTGTCTATAAAGTCTCTAGGATTGAATTAACATGTAATTTTCCCTATTTACAGTAGAAGATGGAACCTTAGTTCATGAGTACCCACTTGACTAGTGTTTCTGAAGCACAATGCCTGACCCTGATGTCATCATTCCCCAACATCTCCATCACAAACAAAACAATCCTGTCCTGTATATGTAGCTTCTGCAAACAAGATGAATATAAATGTACATGCACACATATACGGTCAAACCTCATAATCTTTAACTCTATGGGACCAATAAAGAACTTAAGATAAATGTATCTGTAGGCTTGAAATATTGAGGTTAAAATACAATAAGAAAAAAATCATTGGGACTGAATAATCCATGGTATTCAAAATATCAGAGTTTGAGAAAAGAAGTTCAACTATACATGCATTTCAAAAAAAAAAACAAAACATAAACATGTTTTCAAGAAAAGAAGTTCGCCTGTAGATGTATTTCCCAAAAAATACCACAGCATGTTGGTATTTAATCCACATATCAAGATAAATTATCTACAATACAATCTTTAAATTATCTACAACACTACATGTATATCAGCATTCATGAAAAAAAATAGGTATAAATTATTTATAATACTGTCAAGTTACCCCAAGAAAGTGGTTTGTCCCTCTCTGTACTTCACTACAGCAAGACTCCAAATGGTTCAAAACATTGAAGTTCACACAACTCACAATCTCTAGTATTTCTACCTGTAATTAGAAATATTATTTTTTGTATGTATAGTACTCTATTGATCTTCAAATGCTAAAAGACATGATAGAAATACACGTATATACACATACAAAAGAAGGATTGAGCAAGATCCATGATATGGGTGCTAAAGTAAAGCAATTCTTTGCAAAAAACTTTTATTTGAGATTTGTCAGTTTAATCGACTGCATATTTATGTTAAAGCAAAATTAAATGAATGTTTCACAGTGAGAAATATTTGCCAGTAAAATAAGGTGTTCCAAAAGTAATAAATATTTCTTGAACACAAATTTAAGTTGGTTTACAGTAATCAGTCACCTTGACAAGCCAGTATGGATTGTCCTGTATACTGAGTAACCGGATCACTGTCTCTAGTCCCACAGGACTGTGAGTTCCCAGTAACAGAGGCATTAGACACTTCTTAACAGCAAGCACAGCCAGGCGGACTGCTACTGAGGACTCATCTTCCATAATGTGGAGAATAATTTCTACCAGATGCTCAATTCTTACTGAGTATCCTACATGTATACAAAAAGGCAAAATACAAAATTATTCAGTATTTCAAATTCAATGCTTTTACAATCCATTATCCATGCATGCACCAGAATTATATACTTTATCCTTTTATTAATAACTTTCTCTTTATAATGCACTTCATATATTTTAATAAGAGTTTGTTTTCCTATGTACATGTAAAACAGAGTCATAATAAAATGAGCATATTTACCAAAAACAAATTCCTCCATCCATTTATTGAAGTTTCCTCCTCCCTGAGTGAGGGTTGAACTTATTAGATTACCAATGATTATTGAAGCTGTGCCTTTCAGCTGTGGGTCAATATGACTAGCAAAAAGCAACACATCCTTTATCAGCTGGTTGTTTTCTACAAAAAATAAGACCCTAAACGTTTACCCCATTTTGCAGTTTTCAGTTATTTCATTGGCTTCTGTCTGTAATTTTTATCAGCAATTTTGAGTTGGCAATACTTGACTTAATTTTCTCATGTACATTTGATAATTTAGATATGAATGATTCTTTTATTGTTACATTATTATGTTTTGTCAGAATGTACATGTATCAATCATTACCCCCACCCCCCCCCCCCCGTTCACACAGAGCTGAGACTTTACAACGATCATTCCGATCAAGCCCCGATCTGAAAAACTTTTGGATCGGGGCGGATTGGAGCCGATCGGCATCTAAATTGAGCAATTTGGCAAATTATGGTCTTCATTACGACCATACTACGATGCCCTACGTCAAACGTGCTGCTAACACGCTTCTATTCCGATGTTATGCAGACTGTTGCCGACAAGCGGCCGCGTTTACAGCATTTACGCTATGCTGCCGCTATGACATTCAAGATCATACTACGACGCTACGCAGATCTAGATGACTGTACGACGATATCGCTACGGTGGTGCCGACCATGTTATGATTGTATTACGCTTCTAGTGCGATTTACATGGTAGTGGGAACGTAGTAAGAACGTAGTGGGAGCGTTGTAGGAGCGTACTTGATAAGTTCCTGACTGTACTATGCTTTTACTGCGCTTTTACTACCATCAGGAGGATCTCTCCACGATGCTTCCACGCTGCTTGTATGATTACGGCGCTTCTACTTTTTACGACTTTACCCCGATTCTTGTTGGCCACGATCCCACGAGCATGTTCAAAATAAGCGTGGTGAAAGCATAGAGCTCTCCGATCATGAAGACCCTACCGCGATCATACTGTGCTTATGAAGACTCCACTCCACTACGTTTCTCCTGCGATTTGTCACGATCGGCCACGTTTTCGGCCACACTTTGATCGTAGTAGAAGCGGCGTCTATGTGTGAATGGGGGCTTAATAAGTGACACTTTGAATATGAATCAGTGTCCCTATCATTGCTAAAGCATTAAAACAACAAATGAAAAAAATAAAATTTGGAGCATAACCCAGCAGTGTAATCTGGGGTGGTCAATCCATAATCCATATTTTGAAACTAAAATCCAGGATACATTTGTAATTCTGTAATAGTAAACAGCACTGGAGTATTAAAATTCATGCATCCTAACATTCTTATACAAGTTTTGAGAACTTTCATTATCACAAAATGAAACAAGCTCCAAAGAAGAACACTGTGAAATCAACCATGGAGTTTCGAATCTGCAAAGCTACTTACCTTCATTTATTTCCTTAAAAACATTCATAAATAGAATTTGTGGTCTAAATGTCATGGAGTAGCTGACACATCCTAAAGCTAAAACCTTAATGCTCACACGCACAGTTCGATCCGGAATTAATTGTTCTTTTGTTCCACTCAAAAGGAATCTCCGACAGATCACACGAATACAGAAGTCTAGTGGCACATCATCTAATAGACTCCCTAGGTTTTGTGTCACATCTATCTGAATAGAATTTTGTATCTGAGTTTTCTCATCAACTTCTGGTAACACATCCTCCTCTAATTCTGGGTTTCCATTCATGTCCTGTCCTCCCCCTCTTTTAGCTTTTGGGGGCAAGGACAACTTATTCAGACTTTGCTGGCTGCCATTAGCACTAGAAACTTGAGACAAGTTTGATTTTTCTGACATGTCTTCATTCAGGTCACCTATTTCTATCCCAGAATACCTAGTGTCCAGAGTTGTGACGACAATCCCTGCATCACAGGTGTCTACATCTAGAGGAACTCCATCATTGTCTGCGGCTTCAGAGCTCTGATCTCTGGACATTTGTGCCCTGTAGTTAGCTACGATGTCTGATACATTGTCCTCTGAACCCTCTGAAGGGTCTACTATTGATTCCGTTACCTCCAGCTCATCAGCAGCAGTGTTATCTTCATACATCTTAGACATGGATGGAACTTCTGACAATCCTAGAGAGGAGATATCATTTATTGCTGATTCAGTTTTGCCACATCTATGAAATTTGAGATTTTCCTGATAGATAATATTTATAAAAGAAATCTTTTATATAATTTTAAGAAATAAAATACTGTCTGATGGAAATCTCGCACTTTGCCTTGTTTTAAACATTTGCACATCAAATGTACAATGTGTGAATTTTCTAGTTTGGTATTTTCTTTAATATACTTAAATATTACCTTCACCTGGTTGTAAACTTTGATCTGCCTTAAAAATGTAGGATCTAGTGATACTCTTGGGTGTGGTCAGTATGGACACCAAGAGAGGTGAGGGATTTCGGAGGAGCTGCTGGAATGTCTCCAGGGCACCTGTCACAACATTATGGTCAGAATGTCCCATTAAGTGAAGCAATAGCTGTATCACCTGTATAAAAACAAACCATAAGTTTAGGTTCTATACAAATGTATTTAATAGTGAAGTAAAAAAAATGTTCAGAGATCAGCTAATTGTATCCTTTTATGTTTTAGTATTTTCAGAATCAGCTATTTCACTAGATACCATGATAAACTGCTCCTTGCTGATGGTCTGTTCTTTCTCTTTTGTCATCACACCAAAGCTGCCTTTCAGACCCTGTTTTTCCTGTCCAGATTCATTGAGGTGTGGAATAAGTGACCTCAGGCACAGTAACACTCCAATCAGTGTGTGTAAACTGGTCTCCTCATCCACTGGCATGACCATATCTGTTCATAACAGAGTCATATAAAAGCACACACAGATGCAAGAGTACAAAGGTTTTTATCAAATTGACTTATTGTTGACATGAATTTAGTTAAGAAATAAATAACAAGTTTAAAAACTTCAATGGGAATTGAAGTTGGTCGGTCACGTGATCAAATCCTGTGAAGGCCAAAGGCCTTCTCAGAAGATTTGATCACGTACCGACCCACTTCAATTCCCATTGAAGTTTTTAAACTTGTTATTTATTACTTATATATACATTTGAGATGGACAATTGAATGTAATCGAATATAAATATTGCACTAACCGCACATCGTAGATTTCGACAAATTACGCTAGGTGTAAATCGGCTTGAAAAGCGGTTACGCTTCAAATTCATCTGGCAAAGGATTCTGTTTTGAAGGGAATATTCTGTGAAAGGCTACTTGCGATCAATTATAGTGAGCATATTGGTGTCTGGGAATTTTTGTATTCATGAGAACCCATATTCGATGTTAAAAAACACAAGAAACACGTCTGATGTTTGATAATAAAAAGTTGGAGGAATTTCGGTAGGAAAGGGATGGATGGAGACACTTGTCCGGACCAGATAACTTGAAATCAAGTACAAAATTTGATCAAAACCATAAAATCTACGATTTCAGTAAGGCATATTTATATTAATTTATGATGTTGACATGGAGACACTGGCGACAGCTTACATTGTTAAGACAACGTCACAACGATCTCGATGATGGAGGTGTGCCTACCGAACTTCCAAAGTGCAGTGTTTGTCAGCTGTTTGTGGCGTGATTGCATTACATTGATATTTTTCAACAGATTTTCAAATTTATTGTGAGTAAAGTTTAACGAAAAAAAATTATAGCATTCAGAGGTCTGCGAGAAAAATAAGGGTAAACGTTGAGACTATGCAGCTCAGACATGGAACTTATAACATGTAGTTTTCTATTCTCTATGTAAAACCGATCAAAAACTGTATTAAATACTCGTTTACATTGTAAATAAAATGATTATTATAATTTACTAGAGTATTTTGTACATTTTTATGTATGAAAAACATGCTATATTGCTTAGTGGAGTAAGTCTTTTTATGTAGATATTACTGCGCTGTGTGATTGGGTCATGTAATGACCTATGACCTTCAAAAAACTTCATACAGTTATGAAGATATTTGCTCTCTGCATGTTTATATAATAGAGAGATACCACAAATGTATATATTTTTACTTGAAGCAGACAGTGTTTAAATTTTGACAAATGCAGAATATAATTGTATTTTTTTCTTTCCATCACTCTGTTTGTCTGTTTCTGTTTCTCTCTCTGTCATTCATTATCTTTTATAATGATTAACTCTCCAGAATAAATGATGTAAAGATTTCAGATAATGAATACACCCTCCATACAAATTACCTAACAGTGATCCCAGAAGGTGGTTGTAGAATGAAGATGGACTTCTACTGTGCTCACATATCAGGACCAGGCTGGTCGCTGCCATTCTCCTTGTGGCTGCAGAGGTGGATCTCAGGTTAGGAAGAAATGATTTTATAAGAGCCTGAAAATAAAAGAGCCAAATAAAACATTCAAGACATCTGATGACATATAAACAGCTAAAGGAATCTACATCATTATCAAGATTAAGTGTTTTGATCGAGAGAAGTTGAAAATTATTGGTAGCAATGTACATGAGTAATAGTTACATGTATTTGTATACAAGGTGTCAATATCAAACAAACATAGGTAATCAAAGATTACAAAGCTTACCTCGACGAATGTTATCCATAAGTAAGGCAAATTTCACATCATATTTTTTTTTCTAGTTAGTGTACATGCAAAGATCAATATCCACGCAAGTTTGATTTAAGTAGGACTTACAGTTACTTGGAAATAGACCTGCTCAAAAACTTTTAACCTGTTTACTGATCAAGAAAATTTTGGTCAGTTCCAAAATCCAAAGCAAGTCTGGAAGTTTTCATTTTTAGATGCACCATCTATACAAGTTTAATCATAACAGGCCATAATATTATATAGCTACTCAAAAGAAAAATTACCCTGGTCACTCATCTGGAAAATGTAGGTCAGATTCAGAATTCAAAGCAAGTCTGGAAGTATCCATCCCTAGATACATCACCCATGCTAATTTGGTTAAATATGGCTAAAATTCACTCATGTGGAAAATCTAGGTAGAATCCAGCATCCGAAGCAGGTGGGCTAGTGTACATCCCTAGATGCATCATCCATGAAAGTTTGGTCCAGGTAGGGCTTACAGTTACTTGGGAACAGACCTGCTCCAAAAACTTTAACCTGCTCACTCATTTGGAAAATCTAGGTCAGATCCAGCATCTGAAGCAACTGTGGTAGTGTCCATCCCTAGATGCATCATCCATGCAAGTTTGGTCCAGGTAGGGCTTATACTTACTTGGGAATGGACCTGCTCCAAAAACTTTAACCTGGTCACTCATCTGGAAAATCTAGGTCAGATCCAGCATCCGAAGCAACTGTGGTAGTGTCCATCCCTAGATGCATCATCCACGCAAGTTTGGTCCAGGTAGGGCTTATAGTTATTTGGGAATGGACTTGCTCCTAAAACTTAAACTGGGACGCCAACGCTAACGCCGACGCTGGGGGTATGGCATTAGCTCATCTCGACTTCGTCGAGGTGAGCTAAAAAAGTGACTATCCAGTTACCTTTATTTCAGATTCATTGGCAAATCCAATCAGTGGTGGGCAGATCTTCTGCATGGATTGAGACAGAGTGTCCTGAATTGCTTCATCTTCTCTCTTGCATATTCGTGCAATGCATGGCAACAAATTAACTATGTATGGTCTGGAGAAAACCAACAAAAAATTTTGAACATCCAAGAATGGAGACACAATAGCTAATGATAAATGAATGAATTTATGTGATTGATCAAACTATTTAAACTCAAACTTAGTCCATTAAATATTATGACAAAATAAAAATGAGAGTAAAAGTATCAAGGATTTAATTAATGCAATACTGAGCAACATCTGTCCCAAATTTACATTAAGCATCTGTAGACAAGAAACAATTACCTGCATTTCTGTGGACGAATAAGATGAGCCATCTCAGAGAATCTCCACAGAGCTGCTCTCAATGTACGACTGCTGCCATTTTTCTTGATTTCCTTATATAGCTCCACTTGCAGTCTTCCAAGATTTGTCTCAAGCAAGATCTGAAACAAACAAATATTAGAACTGTCAGAGCACAACATGTCAAAAACTGAAAAGTGAAGTTTCTAAGAATGTACACATCAACATCCAAGCGGTGGAAGGAAAGAAACTGATATGGCTGTTTGAATTTCATTTTTTTAAACAGAACATTCATTGACAAAACATTTTAATGTTCTTGAAAAGGAGGAAACACCAATACTAGTAAATGTCTTTTATTACTAAAAGGATGATGTGACATAACTGCTATCTGGGGCCCCTTTTTCTACGATGAATTATATTTAATCTACAACGAATTTGATAGTTTTCAAACATGAGTGAATAAATACAACGCCTTTTGAATAGTTTAAATAGTTCTGACACATTTTTAATTATAAAGATTACTGCATTATCTATGATTTTTCAGACCCCATGACAACAAAATTCGGCCTGGTTTGTGACAATATGTTCTTTTATGAAAAGAAAATAGGCGGGCCTTAGTACAATAGAGGGATATGCATGTCCGAGGAATCTATCTTATATGGCTATTGTTATTATTTCGCACATAGTCGCTTACCGAGAACAATTGTCCAATCCGATGACAGAACGACAAAACATGCTGGTTTACTACATGTTTACATTTTATCACAGGCATGTGGTTTAGGTCAATTTACACATCTCTACTACATTTCAAACTTTTAATGGTCAGCCAAGACTAGTTATACAAAATAATATGCATGGAACCTCAGTGTTTACCGTTTTTGGTCAAGAAATGCACATGAAACTTCTATTCACTGATTCTCGAGAATACGTGTAGACCTTATGAATTGCCCACCAAACGCTTTACAAACTTTGAACTATGTATATTTATAAATCAATGTTTGTAATGTGAGCTGGGAAATTGTAGATCCGTGTCTAATTTGTGACTCAAATGCATAAAAAATTGTTTATCGGAAAGCAGGTAAAAAAAACAACCTTTTTTCCAAGCATAAAATGTCCTTAGTACTTTTGTGGTACTCACTAGTAATGCAACTCATATAGCTGATTGGTCAGTTAGAAAGTATAGTCAGTGCCTCGATTTGCATATGAATTAATTCTTACGTAGATTTCAATAAAATACAGTGACCAGCCAAAGGAGAAAAATGTACCTACTTGCGCTCGTATATTTTAAGGGTTTCAAAGAGTGGGGCGTGGCCAAAATTTAATGGGAATTGGATGTAAACATGGTACCCCTACTCAAAATAAAGACATGCATCTTCCAAATTATGTTTCTATTTTCCGTAAAAGTAGTATTTTATGAGGGTAAACATGTCAGTGATTAAGTGCATGCAAAAATTAGAGTAAAATTTATATATTTAAATTTTTGTCAATTTACCTGGGGCCGTATGTCACATCATCCTTTATCATAATGATTCTAAACATTAAAACATTAAGTGCACATGCATCTATAGTAATAATTTGTTTGCATATACTTCAGTTCTTCATGTACCTAACAGCTACGAATTGCTCATGCCCATTTACCTGTACTTGATTTCAACAAATATCGCATTTTTATAGTTGTGACATTTAAAATTTTATTGCTTCATAAAACTAAAAAATCAACCTAGTATATGTATCTCCTACTCTATAAACCAATGAGTTACACTTTCTACAAGGATAATTACACCAAACAAAATAAATACCTTTATAGATCTGTTCAAACACTCATCTGCTACCATTCTTACATCAGATTCTGCATCATCACACAGTGTTAAGAATGTCTCCATCGCAATACCAAGGAATTTGGGAAAATCCACTATTGCTCTATTACAAAAAAAGGTAATAAATATAACCTTTGTTTCATGCACAGAAAATTCTTGACAAATTCACAATACAGTGCCCACTGTCCAATCCGACAACTGTGCAATCCGGCACACTGGACTTTCCGACCTCATATTTTATTCCCAAAAATTTCTTTATAATATATATAGAATAAAACACTGTATATTCCGACCACTGTACATTCCGAATTCCGGCGCTTTTTCGTCAACAGAACAAGATAATTACTTTATGATTTCACCTGAGTAATCCGACATAATTACACTTGTGTACCGTAATTGGCCGCTGGCCAGGTAACGTGAATGTCCAGTTTGGTCACAAGATTGGTCTACTTAGAGAGTAGTTAATTACATGTACGAGTTTGAAAGTGTTTATGTAAGAAATTGTAATGAACAGTTTTTGAATCAAAAATTAGGCAATCATTCTCTTTGTTGTTATATATATATATATCCCTGTTGTTATCAATTTTATTCCGGCATATAAAAAATAGCATCCACGCGACAGAAAATATAAAGACTACATGATGTTTAGATCGCTTTGCTTTTACCTTACAGAATAAATAAGATTTTTAGCTTGAAATTAAAATCAAATATGCAGTCAGGGTCCTTCGTAAAGCCATGTTATGAAAAAAAAAAATGAGTACATACGGCGAACTACTATGTAACACAATACACAATTTAAAAGGCAGATAGACAACTCTTCATTTCCGGATTAATATACACTGAATCAAGCGAGGCTGTGTACATAAAAGATCCGCCGAAAGCAAAATATACCTTTTTCAGTTGCCCATTAAATTTAAAATATTACATCTGTCTGATTAAAATTCAATCGCTATCACAGTTTTAGAGTTACTTCCCGTTTGTATGAAAAGTCGCGTGACGGTATTAATAGCACAGTCTATGTTGAGAAATAAACAATGGCGAAAATCTGTAGAAAAAAATAATACAATTGTGTAGAGAAGGTAGAGGAAATATTTACTTTAATATCGACTGTCAGTAAGTAAAAATTAAATTGCAACATCTCGGAGCGATCGGCAGTTCCAAGTTTTGTCCATTAAAAAAAAAGAAGAAAAAAAACATCGTATATTACTTCAGAGTCCAGAGTTTACTAATGCTATATCACAAAGCGTTGTTTCTCAAAGAAATGCTAATCAGATATAATTTATACAGCAAAGAAACACACAATTATGCAAACACTTTGACAATTAAATACAAGTGTACTCTTAACCTAATGGAAAATGATTTATTTTTTTTTGTATGAAGTCGTCTGACACTAATGATAATGCTCAGAAATATTCAACACTGGGTAATCCGACACACTGCCTAATCCGACATTGATTTTATTTCCCGCAGCATGTCGGATAAGACAGGTTACACTGTACATACTTATGAACATTCGTATGTACAAATTTACCAACAAATTGTGAGACATGTAGAATATTACCTCATATTAGGAGCACAGATGCTGTCAGCCACAAGATTACAGTTGATCATTTTGTCCTTTTTGCTTACAGGAGCTTGTTCTTTTTTCCTAAAAAGTTCATCATTGATCAAACAAACATTAAAAATGATACATTTATGCAAAATAATCATAATTTCTCGAAACTGAATTTATACATTTAGTTAAGTCTTATGCTGTGAGGAATACTGAATTGAAAATTTTTTACAGAATTAGAATGTCTGGATGATAATGATGTTACTTTGCTAGATCATCTGTAGTTGACCCTGGTGGCTGAAACACCCTAAGGGCCTCAAATGCCTTAATCAGCTTCTCAATGGTAGCCATTGTCTATGGTCCTTCACTTCACATCCTACAAGAATCAGCTTTGCAAATATTATACAGTGAAACCTGTCTAATCCGACATGCACTTGAGACGAATTTTGTGTCGGAATAGACAGGGTGTCACATTGCACAGTGTAAAAAAAATTGAAAATAGTAAAATGGGAACGAAATTTAACGTCAGAATTCACAATGTGATGGATTGCACAGGTGTCAGATTAGACAGTTTTCACTGTACATGTACATGCAAATAATCCTTGTCTTCAACAAAAATATTCATAATGGACTTTGTAATTTCAACTTATATGCAGGAAGTAAATATAAACATACATCTGTTTTTATACAAATTAATTTCCTTCAAAATTCTAAATGGGTATCATTAATCAGATAACATAGATTCTGCCCTTTTTCACTTAAAAATTCCTGTTCCTTTCAAACAAACTGACACTTAATTTGCATGCAATACTAATTATTCTGGCTGTCTGATCATAGCAACCTTTGATATGTGTTTAAAGTATTTTTATTGGCCAAAGGTTTGGGTGGTAAGGAGCTAGGTTCACTTTATGCATATAATGGCCCTGTAGATATACCGATCTATTGACTAACACTTTATGTTCCATTTTAAACATCAAGATAAAGTAGAGGCTTAGTGCTTTCATTTCGTATTAAAAATGTTCTCCTTAAAACCAAGGTCTTGGAAAACAGGCTTCATGGAATTGCAATGTTCTTGAATTTTAAGGAAAACAAGTATATTTGAGTACTTTCAAAGAAGAGAAATAATATGAGCACACCCTCTGACCTAAAAAATAAAACATGTTTTGTAATCCTCAGAAATAGTTCAATCATTTAATAGTTGCATATTTTAGATCAGAGGTTGCGCTCTATATTAAATATCGAAAAATAGCTTTAAAAATTAGCTGTTTTTGTAGAATTTTTCAGGATATGAGGAAAATGACGCAATTCATGACATCATAATGCATTGACTAGCCAGAAAATTACGTCATTTTTGATAGATACGCAGTCAAAGGTCTAAATGATATTTAATGCATTGTCAACTAAAACAAAGCAGTTTCAGTTTTTCTGAAATTCACAGGGCCAAAAAAGGCCCAAAGTGAACCTTGTTCTTTCTTTTGTTTGGGGTAGTGCATGGGGTACTTGCTTCATGCTCTGGCAGGCAACATCTCGTCTGTGCAGACAATTTTGTCTTTATCTTAAATTGTATTCACAAAGATATTTCTGAATTATATGGATGGATACACAGACCATATTCAAATCAGATTGTAATCATAAATGAAGTTGCATAAGTATAGCTTGCATAATTCCATAAATTAGGTTGTTCATTTGTTGTTAAAACCTCAAAGTGGATGGGATCCAATAAATGATCAAACCCTCTTACAAAACTGTGTCTCTTCATCTTAAACAGTGTGGTCACAAACAGATGGAAAGTATTAGATTAATATTTAATAACAGAAACTTCAAAAATGTGTGTAAAATAGCAAAACCTAGCAATTGAGGACCTACATTTTATCAAGGTATTGCTTGGACAGCAAGCAGATGCAGGATAAAGAATGAAAATCAATGACCTTATAATTTCAATTTGCAATGTACTTCCTATAAAATTATAACAATTTCTTAAGTCTCGTTAAATTAAAATGCTCTTGTTAAAATCTTTTCTTAATATTCTAAGGTGAAAAGCAGAATTGATTGTTAAAACACATTTACCAAGCAATGAGCTCATTGGTAGGAAAAAAGTAGAAAACAAAGAAAGATTACATAACCATTTGGTTTATATAGGTCTTTCTTAAAACAAGTCCATGTCTGATGTTTAGCACTTTATTCTCAATTATCAATTTTTGAATTAAAATGACATTTCCATATATAGATTTACATCATTCAATTTAGATAGAATGTTCTATCGTTAAAATGATATTGTCCTACGGACCCGGTTTAACGATAGAATTCGTTCCGTGTATTCGCAATGTAGCAAAATAAACACGGGCGATAACTCGAACTCTGTGCATTTCCTATGAACAATCCAGAGAGTTCCGAATGTCAACTTGGCGTTAAATTTGAAGAAAGGAAAAAAACGTTGAGAAAATGAGTTGAATTTTCGTATTTATATGGATTATTTTGTAGGTTAAAAGGCATATACAGTCTCAAAAAGGTTTGTTATGATTAATTTGGTAGTTATTTTCAGTGCAACTCCTTTTGTATTCTTCAAAATCATTTCGGAGTGGATCCACTCCGATTTGCTACATTGCAAGTATATGGGACGTATTCTAACTGTGGTGAGGGCTCGTCCCGAGACACAGTTAGATTATTCTAACTACATTCAATTGTGTGGAATGCCAAGTTTAACTGGCAAAAATTTGTGCGTTCATGACCAACATCATTTTAGATGATACAACTCAAATTTTGGCGAATGGGATATAATGTATACATATGCAGGAAAAATCTGACAGTTGCAAAATCTAATTTATAATGGGGATTAAGAAGAAAACATCTTCAGACACACTGACACACCAGCACTCTAACAAGTCAGATGCAGAATTGGAATGAGACGCCAATTTTCAGTGCTGCAACAGGCTTCTCATGAAGTCATTTCCATTTTAACTATACTTAAAACATACATGTAACCGACATGCCCACCAGTTTCAAAATCCGTGAGCCAATGCTGCAGATCGTTTATGTAAATACATGGCAATTAATAAATATACTTAAGTTTTCTATAAATTCCGTGGTTATAAACATTTCACAAACCAGTATTTATCTGGACTTGAGCCTAGAACAAAGAATTATTGATTTTTCTCTTAATACTCGTATCCTCACATTTCTGCCCTGTATCTGAACGGAAGTACATGTCACGTGAGAAAAACATTGTTGTAAAGAAGAAAACCCATTCAAACAAACAAAATTAATCCGTAAATGAAGAATCTCGAAAATGGTAAGAAATTCGTTAATGAAAATAGTGTTAAAAATAGAAATGAATTTTCTTTGATCTGGATTGCCTTAACTACCAACTGGTGCGCTTCCACATATCTATTTTTTATATATTTTTTAATGTATTAACAAAATTAAGGATCAGTGCCCATCCATTGTATATTGAAACGGGCAGATACTGTAAACCCCCTATTCCTAGAGAAAAACGTTTATGCTATTCATGTAAATTATTTATTGAAGATGAAAAACATTTTGTTCTATACTGTTCAAAGTATGACCAATTTAGATGCAATTATACTGATATATTTAATGTAAACACATATACTAGTGATAATCCCATTAGAAAAATTGTCAATCCTACAAATATTACAACTGCTAGAAGGATATGTTGTTTTTTGAAAAAGTGCTTTGACACCAGAAAAGAAAGTCAGCAATGAATACTTAGAAATATGTGAATATACTCTACATTGTTTTGTTCAACTCACATTTGTCACTTTGTATATGTATGTATTATTCTTGTTAATTCGTTTTATGTCATGACTGTATGCCGACATGGTAATTGTCAATAAAGTGAATTGAATTGAATTTTTTATAGCTCTGTTTTGACAGTTACCTAGTACATGTACTTGGATTTATGGAGTAAAAAAAAAAGTGATGAATATTGATTATTAAAAATTAATTAGAAAATAAGAAGCTATCTTTTCCCCTCACAAAATATTAAATTCTATGAAGAAGTTTCAGACGTTCTTTAATTAGAAAAATCGCATTTTTCTAAAATCATTAACATCAAAAATGTACCCCCCCCCCCAAAAAAAAAAAAAACAAAACAAAACAAAACAAAAACAAAACAAAATAAAAAAACTAAAACAAAAACAAAACAAAAAACGCTTTATACAACAATTCCTTTCGATAAATTAAAGATGTAGTATGGAAAGGAGGAATGAGTTACTATCATTCCAGTAACAGCGTGTCACTTTGCTTGATCGAGCGTGATAAAGTTTCACTTGTTGATTACCATATTACTTATCGATTGGATGTTTGATTTCAATGAAAGCAATACTACTTTGCATATGAAATACAGAACCCAGCAATACTGACCAATCGTACTGAATGATTGTTCACGAGAATGCAGTAAACAATAATCACATGTGGACAGGCAAAGCAAGTTTTAATCCTTATAATGATGATATTGATCGCTATATAGTATAATAGTAGCAGAGTATAGCCTTACTTATTTCATGCTTTAAATTTTCTCATACGTACATGTATTAACTCCATTTGGTCAAATCACAACAAATATGACACATACTATTTTAAGGAGGCTGGGGGTCAACAAATTAACCACAAATTAACCACCAGATTTAACTTAATTTTTTTAGATATGATATCTTAAGCTGTCAACTATCATTTGGCAAAGAAAAATTTCAAAAATTTTAGTTTTAAAATTTGATCATTTTCTATATCTTCATATGGAGCTCTTCTTCTAAAGGAGATCAATATAGTCTAAAAATGGCCACAACCCCCCAGCCTCTTTAAGGACAGAAAACGGGCTTTGACTGACCACGTGTTGCTGCTGACTGCCGCACTGGTAAACAATCATTCAATATATGACTGGTCAGTGTTATCGGGGTATTGTTGGATTCTGTGTTTCTTATGCAAAGTGGCATTGATTTCATTCAAATCAAACATCCAATCGATGAGTAATATGGTAATCAGTTTGTGATACTTTAGCACGCTTGATCAAGCAAAGTGACACACTGTTATTGGAATGATAGTAATATACATTGAAAATTCATAAATATATATATAATGAAAAACATATGGCAGGACCAGGAATCGAACCCGGGACCCCTGTATTACTAGTTAGGTGCTCTAACCACTGAGCTATCCAGGCCGATGTCCACAGTCCAGCCTAAATTCCTACATCCCCCCCTCCTTATAAATAGTCTTCGCCCCCGAAGACACAACACAAGTTCACCTTGTCAGGACTTAACATTAATTATATATTATTTATTATATTGCCTGAACAAGGTAGGCCACGGCACCATCTGTAGTATTGAAAGGAGGAATGAGTTAATATACATTGAAAATTCATAAATAGATATATAATGAAAAACATATAGCTGGACCGGGAATCGAACCCGGGACCCAGGCTGTATTACTAGTCAGGTGCTCTAACCACTGAGCTATCCAGGCCGATGTCCACAGTCCAGCCTAAATTCCTACAAAGACAAGACCTTCAATAGAAATGGAAATCAGAAATTTTCATTTATCTTTCATATAGATCTACACAGTTACTTTGGTAAAATCATTCTAATTCTACACACAAGTACTCTGGGGTTGTCATTAAAAAGATGCTGGACTTCCTCAAATCTTCATTCACGCAGTTTTGAGAGACCAGGCCCAGGGGTTATTAAACATCTTAAGCTTAAGTCAAAATCTTTGTTTATGTACTAAATTTTTGTAGAAGTCAAGCAGAACAAAATTAAAATATTTTTCAATATTGCTTTACAAAAGTGTTGTTATCTGAAAATTAAGAGATTTTAAAATTCAATGATTAATAAACATTTTACAGGCGATTGACAATTTGACTTAAATCTAAGTCTGTTTCATGTTCCTGGGGCCAGGTCTTCCAACAATCTGTTGAAATTTCGATGATCGAGCGCCAATTGTGCTCATTTATTAGCCGAGCTGTTTTTGCTTTTTTATGAAGCAGACTTAATTCAAAACCTTCTATATGAGAAGTAGAAAACTCTTGCACTGGCCTTTCATTCGATATTTCGATGTAATGCAAGTTTTATCAATTAACGATAGTCATTTTCATGTTAACTCGATATATCCAAGTGTACTCCATGTTTGCAAGCCAAGGATGTTTGTCCGCTTGAGCGAAGCACATCGAAAACTTTGGCTTGTGAAAACGAGTGAACTCGAAATGAAAGACACCACAGAGTCTGCCAGAGTTTACATAAACCGTTTTTTTTTCTGTCATAACTCTTACATCAACAAAGAAAGAAAGACTTATTTTTTAAATCACATGCATATGGTGTTCATGTCTGCCATCTGATTCGGTACGCAAGAGCATGTTCTGAGAACAATCAATTTTTTAACCGAGGCAGGTACAGCTGACAATTAAAGTTGATGTTAAAGGACCTTAAAGACAACATTTAACAATTCTATGGTCGTTATAATGACCCTGTTTGCAAATACAACCTATATATCCTTTGGTCGGATTTTCACTGACATGCTACCAATTACTACGTTTACCTCTCAATACAGAGAGCTCACGGCGGGTGTTACCGGTCGACAGGGGATGCTTACTCCTCATAGACACCGGACGCCGGGGCCATAAAACTTAGATGAGCTCACTTTTGATCTCAGTCTCACTTTTCCACTATATATTCCTTTTATAAAAGTGAAACTGAGATCAAGAGTCAGCTCATCTAAGTTTCATGGCCCCGGAGCCGGATCCCACCTCTGGTGATTCAAGGGATCCGTATTTTTTGCCCTGTTCAACAATTCATATTGTTAACATGAGATTGATTACTGTTCGTGATCTCCACCTTTTTCATCATGACAGTTTTATTTCTTTTTAAATAATAGCTAGAACGTGGGAGTCGAACCCAATCCATGTTATACGTTTCTTATCTTTTTCTTTCAGATTTATTGACTTTGAGTAAATTTGCCTTATAGAAAGTTTTCATAGTCTTTGTTCAAAATGATTTATTGAATTTTAAATAAAAAGTTGCCTATATAAAAGAATGATATAGAAATTTAATTTAGATACCAGAGCTAAGAGGTTCCTCTTGTTATTGTCACAGTTTGAAGTACATTTGTAATAAAAATGCGTATTACGCAAATAGAGGACTATAATGACGCCTTTAAAATATCATATATGTAGTAACGTATTATCATGTTGTAAATTTTGAATTTAATAGAGTGAGGTAAATGCAAAACCTTTTTAGTAGAAATGTTATTATTGAGTATAATTGTAGAAATCATTTTTTTTTTTACAAAGTCAACTTCTCATTCCTGAGACAGGATTTTATTAAAAATATTTTTTCACTTGTTCCCATATGTAAAAATGCCGCCCCATTTCTGAAAAAATTCATATCCAGGTACAAAACATTGAATATCTTCTATTTACTTTGCGTTATACACCTTTTAGAAAGGTTCGCTTCATTAGCCTTTTGAAAAACATAAAACATTGGGAGGGGTCGCCTTTTTGACATGACCAAACTTTGCCTCTTTCAAAGTTTTTAATGGTCTATCTGAAAAGGCCAAGGAAAGTCCATGTTTGATCCTTCGACACCAAAATGATTTGTGATCTCTGATTATGGATATTAATAATTGCAGGCTTTTTCAACCGCCACGTTTTACGGAGGAGAATACTGCCCAAGTAACCCCCTCTGTTCATTAATCTTATTTGGCAACAAAGGAATTGAAGCAATAAATATTAGCAATATTCTTAATCACAAAAGGGTCCAATCTTGTATTCTTTACCACATTTCAAGCTGAAATCTAGACCTTCTATTTCTTACAAATACATGTATTCGTCGACTATTGCCTCCACACTTTTTAATACTCTTCACTCTTTAATACTCATAATACAGTTGACAATGAGGACCTTAAATCACTTATTTTAAAAGGGCCGAAATTCAGGGAACCCTTACAATTCGAATTTTTATCTTCAGCATCCCTTATATATGTAGCAATATACCATTATCTCCTGCATATGCAGTTTAAGTCTCCCAGTTGATTTGATACGCAAGAGCATGTTCTACGTACCACTACCAACACTTTCTAAAGCGAGACAAGCCATTGACAAATAAGTTGATGATACAAAGATATCGATCTTGTGTAAGTCGGTAACATTTCGTCAATTCTATGGTCGATAATGGCCGAGTAAGCAAATAAAATCTATCGTTAAGTCGAATGTTGACTGATATTTTTCATACAATTTGTTTTCACATTGAATTGCCTGCGGAATTTTCTTTATCCGATCATGACAAGAGCACTCGGCGGGTTAGCTGCCGAACTGTAGCTCTCTGCTTGAGAAAATTCGGACAGACAAAGCAGAGAGCTACAGATCCAAGCGTTGTAAAAACCTTCGATTTACGCCGCCGCTTTTTTGTCGCTCGCTTCGGATATTATTTCTTGTATTTTATGCCCTCCCCCACTTTAAAAATAGTATCCGATAATTAATCATATATTTTACTCCCATTCCTGAAACTTTATTTATCTCATTTCTTTTTTACATACATATTATATTCTTTGTAGACAAAATACATGATATTTGAACCTCCTGAATATTTTATTTACATTTTCTCGGCAAGTATATGTTTTTTCAAAGACATTTTTCGCACGACCCCTAATATGGACGTCGGAATGGGAATTTTTAAAACCGACATTCCAAAACCATACCAGGGCTGTTTGAGACCGTTGAAAGGTAGATAAGGTATCAAGAATAGGAGTAAAATATATGGTTAATTATCGGATACTATTTTTAAAGTGGGGGAAAGCATAAAATACAAGAAATAATACCCGAAGCGAGCGACAAAAAAAAACGGCGCGTGATCCCACCTCCAATGTTTTTTTAGAGGTCCTTGTTTGCTCTGCATACAATCTGTATTGTTTCAATGGACTTTTTAGCCTGATTATTGTTCATTATTTTCATATTTCATTCGCCTTTTGGGTGAACAAGGCGCACAGAATGCCTATAGCTTCAGATATATAAAAATCATAATTAATTTGTGAATTTAGTATTTAGAGTATAGTTCTCATTATTGAAATTAATGAAATTATGAAAAGCAAAACTTTTCTGAGAAAATTTTATCGGCAAAATTACTCTGTTATTAACACATGAAATCTGTATCCCTTCATACATAAACCTTGATTAAATATTGATATTAACGCAAGAAGTGTACAATTAAATGTGAAATTCAAATAATCACAGTGTAACGAATTCAATCGGATTCATTTGTATGCTGACTTATATTAAAAATACACATGTTCTTAAGTTTATGTTGGAGATGGGAATGATAATGAGTAATCATTGGCATTTCAGTATAGTTTCCCTCTTTAGCAATCTCTATTGCTCTACGTATGGTTGCAATAGCAGGTGACAGTTCGCCTTTTAATTCCAGCAGACGAGCTTTAGCAACACCATACATCATCTGACGACGATGCTCTAAATCCTCCAAAGAATCCAATGAAAGCAGTCTTTCTGCTTCTCGTAAAGACTCCTCGGAAATTTCGTAGCCCGGTATTATCATACAGCGTTTTCCGATACCCAAATGACTGTAAATCATTCTTAGAATAAACAGTCTCCTCCAAAATATCTTTACGTCCTCGTCCTCATCCGCGAGTCCGTGAAGACCTCGACTTGCTTCTAGTAGCAGCATTTCCTTTAATTCAGTGGATGGTTGTTCCTCTAATTCCGACAAGCGAAAAACAACACCTTTGTAGACCATGTCCACTGATTCGATGCAGGTATCTGTAGCGTTTGCATATTTGAATCCTTCCTTTAACATGTCACGTCCTTCTTCTTGCCTTCCAAGAGAAGACAAAACATCTGCTTTTCGACCGTACAGAAGGACTCTGGATACGTTAGGATTGCTGGTGTCGTCAATAACCTCTTCAATATCTTTGAACGCTCCTCCGTAAGGATCAATGTCGTCTGTTTTGTTCGTTAGGGCATCTATTTCTGCTGCTTTCAGAGCGACATACCGGTCATACATGAATTGCCTCTTAGCATCATTCTTTTCCAATTCTATATTTTGTCTCAACCTAACTCCTATGGATGATAGATCAGCCTGAGGATTTTTAAAGGTGAATTCGTGAACTTGCTTCTTAATGAATTTAAAGTATTGTTGTATCGTCTTCCTATTACCAACTGGGGCACGTGCCACTTCCTGGACAAGCCTAGTGCGAGTAAACTCATTGTAGTATGATATCAGGTCGTTTGCCAACTGTGCAAAATGTATAGAATACAGAATGAAGACAAAAGCCCTCAAAGGATAACGTTTTGCAATTTCGTCTTTGAGGATTTCATATGAAAACCAAAACGGCGATTTTTCACATTTTACCTTGATTAAATTCAAACATTCCTTAGAAATATGTGTACCTTCACACAAAGCGCCAATAAGAGGTTGGGGATCCACTTCTAGAAGATAAGTTGTGAAGAAATTTTTCAAAATATCTCTCTCCAGCACATTCATATATTTCCTGTCACCACATGAAATTGGAACTAGAATTCTGTCGTCTGCCTTCCTTTCGAGTTGATCGTCCGACGCCATGTTTGATAAATAACTTTATCACCTAGATCCAGAAGCATATGTACTTGTTACGTGTGTATACTTATAAATATCTTACTAGGTTAAGTTTTAATACATACGTCTTACATGCCTAATGCGGAAAATTCATCTTTACTTGTATTTTCATCTATATTGTACTTTAAAATGGTATTCGAAATGTTAACATTGCAAGTTAATATTATTCTTTAACAAAACTCTCTTTATAATATCCATAATTTGGTATCTATATATTGTATTTTCTTTTAATATTTGTATACATTATATTATCCAATAATATTCGCCCAAACAAGACATATGAAAAGTGAAATCAAGATTGAGGTCCTTAGAACTATTATGATAAAACATGGAATAGATAAATATTTGTGATATTAATACATGTAATGACTGAATGACTGGATAATTAAAACAAACAAACAAAAAAAGAGTTTGGAGAAGATGATATCTTTAGATTTTTTTTCATACGTAAAGAAGATTTTATATCGTCAAAATCATTTTATAGATGAATATCGTCATCTTATAACGATTCGCTGGTGGTTTTATGATTGCTTATGTCTCTTTCTTGATCTTGAATGTTCAGTTCTTCTGTTTATCCCCCTTCTCATACCTGGATTTCTTTGAAACATTAGAATTGAAGAATATTCCACAAGGAGGCCCATTACTGTCGGAGTGGTTTTCAATTCCATCTGAGGAACTGCTTTCAAAGAGAACTGTTTTATTTATCATTATTTCTGATGAGGTGTTAGTATCTGTGGTTGACGATCTGGAAGATTGGCGGGAATAAATCGGTGATATTGTGTGGAAGAGGTACTCATCGGAAAGAATAACAACATCTTCCCCATTTTCATCGATATTTTCCAAAACCTCTTGATAGGCAGCGATATTTTCCTTTTCAGTGTAAATTCCCTCCCTAGCAAAGTCCATAACAATATTAATTATTTCCTTTGCTTTACCAATAGCGCCTTGCAGATGACAGAAGCGACTGACTGCAATGCCATACATCATTTTTCGACGATGTTCCAAGTCCTCCAGCTTATCTTCCTGAAACATTCTCTCCACGACTTTTAATGATTCTGGAGATACGTCATAACCTTCGATGATCTCACATCGTTTTCCTATCCCTAGATGACAAAAGATTATTCTTAGTCTAAAAAGCCGGGACCAAAACAATCTCACATCGTCACTCTCTTCTGACAAAGAATCCAGTCCCATCTCAGCTTGATGAAAAAGTCTCCTCTGATATTTTTTGTCTTTAGTCCTCTGAAATTGTAACAGGTTGAAGACCACACTTTTGTATATCATATCTGTTGCCTCAATACATCTTTCACATGTGTTCTGCCACATGAAAGCATCCACGAGAAAGTTTTCTCCGTCATCTGGGCTTGTTCCCAAAGATGAGGAGATATCTGCTTGTCGACCAAGCATTAAAATAAGAGAGATTTCAGGACAAGAGCTTTCTGTAATGACTGCTTCGATTTCTTGGAACGGTTTCCCATTAGGATCAACATTATCCGTCTGATTGGTATGCGCATCTATTTCTGCTGCTTTCAGACAAATGTATTTGTCATACAGAAATCGTTTCCGGCCAGGATTTTGCTCTTCTTCAATATTCTGCAACATTTGTTTACCTATTTCACCAACTTTAGCATACGGATCAGAAGTGAACAGTTTATGAATGTCTTGCTTAATCCTTTTGAAATAAAGCTGGATTTTTCTTCGTTCACCAACTATTTTTCGAGAAACATCTTTGCATCGAGATTTCTGTGCGAATGGAATATGAAAGAAAAACAAGTCTTGTGCAACGTGCTTAAAATTGTTCTTATACAGCATGTCAACGAGCTGAAGGGTCGTTACGCGTTTTTCAATGTTTTCAGTAAGAATGCGGGCATGTTTTTCATTCGAGTCTTCTTCATTACTTTCTAACTGTTGCACACAGTTTTGTGACACAATTCCAAGCATATTCAATGTATTTGCAAGCATCCATAAATTAACTCTCCTTCCAACAAGAATACTTGCAAGGATTTTCAAAGTCAGATCAGGAATTCTTGATCCTTCAAAGTCTAAAAGAAAATAAATACACTGCTTTTAACTAAAGATTTATACATTTATGTAAAAATTTAGCAGTGTGTAAGAGGTATATATACTTTATTAAAAAGTGAAACGAGATATGGCTCTGAAAATAATTACCGTCAGCATCTGTATATGTAAATTCTAGCAGAGAGGATTTTCACAAACTGGAGTCAATTAGCTGCTCTGTAAAAGCAGAGTTAGTACTTTGTTATAAAGGTTTCCTGGCAATGAGTCAGGAAGAAACATTCTAACGTTATCTTCAAAACTGTCAAAAAGAATGGAGTAGAATTCAGTCTGAAGACTGTAATAAATGACACATTTCTTTTGGTCAATTTACATTTTAAAGAGAACAAGCAAATCAACAGTAAAGATATACATACCACTGAGATCTAAATTACCCACAGATTCGGAACTAAAGATGCTTTTATGTATTGCGTATGAACCGTTCAAGGATCCCAAACTAAGATGGACACGATTTTGGAGACTGTCTGTTTCTGGGTCGCTGTTGAACGAATCTAAGTTCAAGGAAGGAGTTACCATTCCTTTCCGACTAAACAATTTATTAGTTGTCTGAATAAACATAAGAAAATAATCAATAATTTTGGGTTAAGATAAAGAAATGTTTGAATGTAAAAAAGAAAAAAATAATCAGTTCACATTCTGGTGGTAACTTACGTTATCTGGTATTGGAATAAATTTGTTGTCCTCTGCTAGCAATGGTCGTTGATCTAGTGGTGACCCCTGTAGTTCTACAAGACAAAGACAAAAAGTGATTTTGAAATAAACCACAAAGACTGGGCTTATTTACATAATAATATTCCCGTCATCTCTTTTTCATTCTTTTCCCAAGTGAACTCCACCTCTGTAATAAAACACGGTTCAAGAAAATTCTCAGACACGAGTGTGTATTTATAATAATGTTAACAATTTTTAGCTTAAACAAACCAAAGTATCAAGAAAGCGCTTCTGTTTCCACATTTACGAATTTCTAAACTGACGAATCAATTTCAACCAATAACATTCTTAGGTGAAGTGGATTTAAGTTTATTCAGATGAAAAACATACGTCCTCGTTTAAAGGGAAATAATTTTAAAAATAGTGAAAATAGCTTGTGGTCATTTAAAAATTGTCTCCTCATAAACCACTTGTTCAGAAAAGATAGGAAGAATATGTGAAAGCTTCATTAATTAACGTAGGATTTCATTTGTTCAAATCACGTCCCCCAGGGGTCATGACCAGAAGTCGCATGCGAATATACAGGAAACAAGATGTGTTTGTGAAACACTGATGCCCCTGTATGGCTACGTATAGCAAAGGTTAAACTTTCTCAAATGCAAATCAAATATGTTGGTACCCAAAGTAAGGTCTTGTCTCGAGAAATATATCTGTGAAATATGAAAGCCCTAGCAGCAATCATTGAATAGATATGGAAAAAGTTTAAAGTTTTTCAAAAGTAAGTCAAACATCAAGGTTAAGGTCAAATGGTCAAAATAAATGGAGCCCAAGGAAAGGCCTTCTCACAAGAAATACAAATGTGGAATATGAAAGGTGTAGCACCAATCGTCAAAAGATATGGCCAAAGTTAAAGTTTTTCAAAAGAAGGTCAAACTCCAAGGTCAAGATCAATGGATTACAATTGTTGGTATCCAAAGGAAGGTCTTTCACGAAGAATAGACATGTTAAATATGAAAGCCCTAGCACCTAATGTTCAAAATTATTATCAAGGTTGAAGTTTTCCAAAACTAGGTCAAACTCCCAGGTCAAAGGGTCAAAGTTGTTGGTATCCAAAGGAAGGTCTTGTCACAAGTATAACATATGTGAAGTATGAAAGCCCTAGCACCAACCATTCAAAAGTTAAGGCCAAGGTTAAAGTTTTTCAAAAGTAGCAACTCATAGGTCAAGGTCAAAGGGTCAAAGTAGTTGGTATCCAAAGGTAGGTCTTGTCACGAGATTACACATGGGAAGTATGAAAGCCCTAGCACCAATTGTTCAAAAGTTAGGGCCAAGGTTAAAGTTGGATAAAATTTTGCAAAACTGGGTCAAACTCCAAGGTCAAGGCCAAAAGGTCAAATATGATGGTACCCAAAGAAAGGTATTGTCACAAGTAATACATATGTGAGATATAAAAGCCATAGCTCAAACCAATCAAAAGTTATGGGCAATCTTAAAGGTTTGGCGAACAAGCAGACAGACAGACGGACAGGGCAAAAACTATATACCCCCGAATCTTCGATACGGGGGCATAAATATCACATAAAAATTCGCTTTAGCAAGACCAGGACCACATTTACACATGTAAACATCAAAACATGACTTTTCTCCACTTTGTTGGGCTTTGCTTTTATACTAATTTGAACTATTCAGTCTACCTGATCAATACATAGGGATCACGGTGGATGGCACCGGTCGACAGGGGTCACTTGCTCCTCCAAGGCACCTGCTCACACCTCTGAAATTTCCAGGGTTTCGAGTTTTATATCCTGTTTACATATCAGTATTGTTTGTAGGGTTTTTTTTTTTAGATCAATCACTGTTCGTTATCTTCAATTATCAATTAACAATAGTTATCATTTAAACGTCGACTGCCATTCCGAAATTTAAGGATAAGTATCACAAACAAACATTTTTCAGAAATCAGCAATAATTTTTTAAAAAAATTATATCCATACAGATAGTTTGAATAAGTGTAGAAAATTTGTAAGATTTCGAATAATGTCACAAAATGCGTGCAAATAATTTATGGCTTTATATAGAAAATGGCACACAGTCGCATATCTGAACACCAAAGAAAATCTACATTTTTAAAATAGTTTAGGATATAACTGTTTTTGTCATTTCTTTTCAAAATTATTCTGAAAATATGTCTCAGTCCATGCATCAATTTTATATATCTGATATCAATCCTTAACACCCCACCCCCCACCCTCGTATGCTATTTAGCTGTTTAATCCAATGATGAGGCTGTTTACAGTATCGACACTTTTACCATTGTACTTATATCCAGGGAATTATTGATTAAATAATTTTTCTAATTCTTCCACCCTCTTCTTTTTTTTCTTATGCGGGGGACACAAATTCTCTGAATCAGCTTGTTTATCTTGATCCTGGAGTTTGATTTTGAGTGGAGACTTAAATCGGGGATCAAATAGTACCTGATAAATGTATATGGACTTTTTTCCTGAAAGTCTTTTTTTTTCAAAACAGCATGGCCACATTAGTCATATTGATATTCAGCATCCTTATATAGAGTAGATTCTATTTGGTTAATACACGATACCTTAGGTCGAGGGCGGGGTCATAATAATCGATCAAATATTTACATGGAATCTCATTAAAATCGCCTGAAGTACAGCAGGCGAAGTTGAACAGAAAAGTGTCATGGCTTTCTATTTTTGCTAGCAATCTATAACTTACTAATGTGTATTAATTTCAGGACACAATAAACTAAGCCATATGAACGTAAGTAATTTATCTCAGTTAGAATTTTTGTTTAATACATGGTCTGTCAGTTTTGTTGAACTAGACTAAGTCCAAATCGTTCTTCAGTGCAAAGTGAACAATCCTCGTGGGTGACTGTAAGTTAGAAACACTGTAAAAAGTAAGTTTTATTTATGTAAGTTACCTAGAAGATCCCCACCCTCATATTTTGTAATTGATTTCCTTTCAGGTTGTTTGCATGCTTCTTCCAAGGATCCTACGCTTAATTGGACAACATCCTGGAGATCGTCTGATGTACTGGCGCCAGTATCTTGGCTGTTATTAAATGAATCTAAATTTAAGAGAGAAAATATAAATTTTTATAAACTTAAACATTCAATTCTTTGCTTTCTTCCCCTTGACATTCAGACAATAACCTTTGACCAAATTCAGTACATTCTTAGATTTGTGTTTGTTTACATCGTTTTATTGCCAAAGACCTTTAGCTTGCTCGAATAATATGCTTATCAAAGTATAAACATTACATACAAGAAAACAGGCAAAGATTTTCAGTTTTTAGTTTTGGAAAAGAAAGGACAAATGCACAATTTCATATAAACCCTTTTTCTCCCAATATCCTTGAACTTATCCTTGTTTCAAGGACGAAATTTGACATTGTTTCTTTAATTTACTCAGTACCTTGAATCTCGAACCTTGACATAGGTCTTCATTTACATTGAACACTGACGTAAGTCTTCAATTTACCTTGAAATAACCTGACTTTTGTAAATTTCACTAAAAACATGTACTAGCACTTTTAGTTCAAATCTCACCTTTTTGTCAGGCACGAGCTTCAGAAATTTTCTATTTGACTGGACAAGATTGCACGGATAGATATACAGACTAAGAAGATAATTTCTATTTACATGTAACCCAAAAGATAAATAAATCATAGAATTATCGAACAATTACATCCACTGGCTTTATTTTCATTCATTCGCTTGCCACTACCTGGTTGAATACAATAAGTTGGCTTGGAATCTTCACAATGCGGTATCGATTTTGTGGAAAAAGAGTTATTTAATGATTCACAATTTAAAAGATCCAACGAATGTTGATCATTTTTAAACGAGTCCTTGTCTAGTCCGGGACATTCAGACAGGAGACTGTTACAATCCATGGCTTAAAAAAAAGAAATGTTTCCTTTCATCCAAAGTGCGATAAAACTGGAGAAAAAAAAAACAGTAAAACACATATAATTGCCCATAATTTTAGGAATGTAAGCTTTTAAGGAAATTCATTACTATTTATAACAACCATTTGTTCAGTAAGTATCCTTTTCCATCAAAAAAGATTTCTTTCTTTATTAGCTCAAAATAATATGGTTTTAATTTAAACTGAAATCTGTTCTTAATTTCCATAAGAAAAAAAAAATCAACTTGAGACTTTTCTATCTTTATAATCGAAGAAAATGTTCGTTTTGAAATGTCACTTCATTGAACTATATAATTCCTATACTTATTAAATCGTGGTTCCATGCATAGGTATCGACTGTTGGCAACATAGGGGTGGCATTGAACTTCTTGTACACATTGATAATATGCAGTTAACTTAGCGGCATCCGTATGTCAGTATGTCCCTGATTTGTATTAACAAGGATAATTTTGATAATGTGTATTTGATACAATAACTTGTGGTACAACAGAGACATTAATGCGAGAAATCAAAATCATTTACATGTAAAACATTCATTTTCAACAAGTCCATGACAGCGTGAAACCACCGTTTAAGGTGAGAACCTCGTAAGTTGTTAGAACTCGTGGTCGAAACTTTGTATAATATGTGCATTATGTACAAATCAGAACAACAGTACAGCGTTAAAATGATTCGTAAAAAGTTTTGTTGACCTTAATTAATATGGCGACTGACCGTAAACAGCTGTGAAACCACTGGACTATCATGAGACAACAGACTTGAAATACCCGGATATTCAGTCACTCCTAACGATTGTTAGGTCTTCGAATACATCTAAAATGATCATGGAATTCAAAATAAATAAATCTGCACCCTTTAAACTTCTGGTTTAGACTATGCGGAACAAGCTTTTATATACGTGTTCTACATTTAAAAGAAGGACGCAACGGTTGAATTAACGCAACAAAATACATCTGCACTTTAATTGATAGCTTTCTGCTTTAATTCAAAACTTTTATTGTATATATGCCTCATTTGAATTGATTTAATTGATACGAAAGTCGTGGAGCAAACGCAAACTTTAATAACATATGAATTTTAAAATAATTACATTGTATGTACAAGTATATATACATGTACATACATTGTACGTTTATGAAATTCACTTCTAATCGTTAAATTGACTACAATATGGTAAAGGGAAGAATAATGATACTTAAAGTTTTCGGATAAAGAACCTTAAAAAACAAACGTCATCGTCGGATATCCACGGATGATCTCGTCTTTAACTCATCACCCGTGGGCAAACTCGCCGAAATGTCGTCATAAAATATGCTTATTTGTTGATTATAGACAGCCAATCAGAAAATTGGGACTCTTCATCACTAGTCAGGTGCTCTACCGACTGAGCTACCCAGTCCGATGTCCACGGCCCAAACCATTACATGTTTATTAGTTTGCTATTTATGCTTAAATATCTTGACGCTTGTTAAAAGATGCAAATTTTGTTGATTTAAATCAGTGGAGCAGCCAATCAAATGACCCGCGCATATTAATTACAAAAAAATACTTTTCGGCGAGTTTGCCCACGGGTGATGAGAAAAAGACGAGATCACCCGTGGGTATCCGACGATGACCAAACTCAGGTCGGCGAATAAATGCAAATACAAGGGCATGATTAGTACCCAGGGAAATTCCAACAAATTGTTGGGAGACCTAGTCTCCGAAGACAGATATTATCAAATGTAGCGCCAGCATCTTTTTAAATCTCTACTTATGAGTACTTAATTATGCAAAAAACAAAAAGATTTTCTGGATGACTCATCTCAAGATTTATGCATACATGTGTGTGTGTGTGTGAGAGAGAGAGAGAGATCACACTAGCATAAAAAATCACCCAGGAAAGTTTTGTAAATAAAGACAATGCACCATTAGCGATGTTGTGTAGCATATTTCAATAAAATCAGTCATATATATCTTTCATGATAAAGGCTTTAAAGGCATAAGGCATATATATATATAGTTTACTTACGATACATGAAGCAGAAACAGAAATGAAATTCCTCAGCAAATGTATATGTGCCAATATATTATAATTTCTAATCACCAAGTTTAAGTAAATAATTTGCCTTCAAAGAGTTCATGGTCTCACTCCCTGTAGTAATATTCCGAATCGTAACTTTCAGTATGTCAATGAGGCAAGTATTCGTCATCAAGCTGTTTAAATCGAGCAAGTAGATACTCAACATCAAGTGAAAATAACTGCTGTATCTTTTTTAAAGAGACATATTAATTTGGTGTCAATTCGGTGACTAATTAATTAAAAATGTCTAAATGTTTAAAAGAAAAATTAAAAGGTACTTGTAATACGGAAGTAAACAACTCCCTCAGTCTCCCTGATTCATCGACTACTCAGACAATCGATCAGTCTGGCTGGTTTTTCCATGGACTGTCTCTAACTTTTAAAACAATCATGTGAGATAACATATGAAGAGAACATTTATAAATTGTGTGGATTTGTATTTGCATTATTACATGTACAATTGAAACTTGTCTTAATATATTAGATCGACAAGCCTTGCAACCATATACACCATTTTACTTGTTAGGATAAGGTCATCATATCTGGCTATGTTTCTGCTCCATATTATCCTTTTTCTTATGTAATTCTTTTTGTAATTTAATAACAATTTCAATGGAAATCTAAATAGCATATATTCACTGTATGGTTTATCCAACTTGAAAATTCAGAGTTTTTGTATTGCAAATCTAGACAACCTTGCTGATAAGGGACCATAAAACTCTATGTGCAAGAGAGCACTTTTAGATTATAGAAGATGGTGTTCCCACATGTATATCTGGTCTTAGTTTTAACCATAACTAGGACTTCCTTGTGTGTTTCAGAAGGTAAAAATATTTAATTTTTTTTTGTATTTTACACCAATTTGGGTTAAAAGATAAATTTATATTCTTTTATGTATTTGATTGTACATGTTCTCTGAATTTGTTCAACTGTTTGACATTTTAGGTTGGTTTTTACATGTCACGGACTTTCACTGGGACAACACATACACAAATCGGGATCTTTCTTGTAATGGCGTGGTGAATACCCACGGTTTTTATGGGGATTACTGGTGCGACTCCCCCTTTTCCCTCATTGACGTCACAATAAAGGCCATGAAGAATGCTACAATAGATAAGAGTGTGGATTTCATGCTTTGGACTGGGTAACATTTCTATTCTCATTATCTCTGCATTAGTACATGTAGATATTAGTATGCATTCTTTTTTTTGGATTTTGAAACAATAACCTCTTTTGAATTTATTCACTATCGGTTAAAACCCCGTAGAAGTATTCTCTTATTAATTCGTCTACCTGGTTGTTTGGTTATATTAAGTAAAAATAAACAGTTTCCGTTCAAGTTTGCTTTTTTTTTTAGCATCTCTATGTTCTTCTGAAAGTTTGTTTCTATCCTTCTGTCCGCCGTCTTTCTTTTTGCTCCCATGTTTAAGTTGCTCCAAATACACATGTACAGTATTTTAAAATAAGCAATTTCCAACTCAAAGATACATTTATTACATTGTCAAATGTATTTCACCTCTAGCAAATTGATATGTGCTTTTTATGTGATAGCTTTTGTCTTTGTGCTGATACCATCCTCCTCCTTTAAGTCATCGACTCCGGAAAATAGTTACTTTGGTCAATCAGGATTTGTTTTATCGACTTCTATCAACTGCCTTCTGTATGTTTTGTAATTGAAAATGGATTAAATTGAAGATTGTGAATTTGAATATTTAGGTTATACACTACAAATGGTTATATACTTTTATTTTGCTTTACAGTGATAGCATTCTTCATACTGGTGACGAACATCTAAGCATTGACAATAATATTGAAATGCTTACAAATCTGACAAACAATTTAAAGCAAACTTTTCCCACGATGGACGTTTATGCTACTTACGGGAATCATGACTATTTCCCGAATGGACAGTACCCTCCTCATAACAATGAGATCTATAACAGAACATTGGAGCACTGGAGGAGCTGGATAAACGATAGCAAACAGGAAGACACTTTTTTAAAAGGTTCGTGATAGCGTTATATAACTACTGCATGTAATTGACGGTAACGATGAAAATTTTCACCCTGACAAACCATTGTCGACCGAGGCGCAGTCATAATTGACAATGGTTTTCATGCGGTGAATTTTTCAGTGTTACCCCCAATTACATGTAGTATTTATAATATCAAACTGAATGTTATAAACACTTTATACAATGACAAAAAGAATGGTGAAGCGCGCACGCATAGATTCCAAGCAGTCAAATTCGTTGTGGAATAGCACCGGTCGCCGAGCAATTAATGTTGACTGTTGCTAAGTTCTGTTGCGCTGGAGGTCGTGGTTTCATCATTCAGAGGGTAACAGTATTTTTATCAAATGTTTCTTGAATCAAATTCAAGCAATTTACTGGAAATTATATAGTGGATTTTTGTAAATGTCTTAGTTTTTGTCAGTAGTTATATCGTGAATCTTATCCAAGATGTGACTGAGAGTCTTTGATAATGAAAAAAAAAACAGTCAAACAGTGTTTCAACTGACAGTTTACCTTTCCTTTATTTTAAATTGCTTAAACATCCGTCAGTTTGGTCATGAAATGTGAAGATAACAAACACTGATCGTGCTAAAAAGTTGTTAAACTGTACAGACTGAGAGCAGAGAAACACTCAGTATGTGGCTTGGATCGGGTGCTACGGAGGAGTATGCATACCCTACTGACAGGTAACCCTTTGTATTGATTCAGGACGAAAATTGTATATTTAACATGTCACTCAAAATTCGACCTAACGACAGGTTGCAAACAAGATCATTGCTGCAATTTGCATCGACCATTTTTTGAAAGTTGACTTAAATGAGATTGTTGATACTGTTGTAACATCAATTAATTTGTCAGTAGGCTCCTACGTGCGCAGAACATGCACTTGCGTATCGAATCAACTGAGAGACATTAACACCCTATTGATTGATAAAGGTATATGGCTCTACAAATATAAGGGAAGTTGACAATAGAACAGTTGAAGTCATCAAGTTTACCATAAAGTTTAGTTGTTAGCTTGTTAGCTTGCCATATGATCAAACTGATTCCATTGTGCATGATGCAAAACATGGTTGTAGATTGTATTTTGCAAATGAAATCATAATGAATGTTGCACATGTAATTGCAGGAGCTTACTACACCTTAAAGACAAAGTATGGAATAAGAATCCTGGCATTAAATACTAACTTGTATTATACGTCAGACAAAGTTACAGCTCACATGGATGACCCCGCCGATCAATTTGTTTGGATGGAAAATATATTAGAGAAATCCAGACAAAATAGTGAAAAGGTATATAATATTTAAAATGCTTGGATTTTATATAAGAAATAAAATCTTTTATGTAGCAAAAATATGCATAGTTGTCTTCTCTCCTTAGTGATAAATATATTTATAACAAAATTCTCTTTTTAAGGTGCTTATAACCGGACATGTTCCACCAGGGGTCGCTCCAGAAGGCGGGAAACCTTGGTTTTATAAACACTTCAATACTCGCATGGTGCATATCCTACAACAATACAGTGACATCATAATAGGACTACATTTCGGACATGAACACGCGGATACATTCAGATTGTTTTATGATCATTCTGGTAGCTTTCCCTTTATAGAGATTTTCTCATCTAATAACATATGACTACTACATATTATTACTACTACATGTACTTCGATGAAACTTTTAAATACAAATCAGGAGATCGGAGAGTATCATATTGATGTGTAGTCGTCACTTTTTAAAGTTTTAAATTTTTGACAGGTTTATAATATATCTTAGAGCAAGATACAACATTGCTTAAAACTGTTTGCGTGGAAATATTAACATTTTCCAATGTTTTGTTAAAAATCACACAAGAAAATTCAGGAATTATTTATTTATAATCGTACTGCATATTAAATGGGAAGAAAAATAAAAGCCGGCGTGAATGAAGAGCGAAGGCGAAAGAAACAGATTGTAAAATTATAGTTTTAGTGAAGCAAGCTTCCATATATATATATATATATATATATATATATATATATATATATATATATATATATATATATATATATATATATCAAGTTGGAATTAAATGATAGGCTTATATAAGAATATAAATAATAAATATCTAGTTTTGCTGTGTATAGTTAAATGATGACCAAGATGGGTGACTACCGCTTATGCGAATTACTCCGTGCTCCCATGACGGTTATTATCCCCATACACACAAAGCACTCATTCCTTAATTACAGCAATTAAAATATGTTCATTAGAAAATCTTTTTTCTGTTGAAGGTCAACCTACGATGACAATGTACATTGCGCCTTCAGTTACTCCCTGGAGATATAAAAATTCCGTGGCAACTGGACCAAAACATAATCCATCCTTTCGAATGGTCAAGTATGACAGAGTATCCGGTAGACATTTAGACTTGGTTCAATATTACATGGATCTACCAGAAAGTAATAGACAGAATAAACCTGTTTGGAAAATTGCCTACACTGCAACTCGAGACATGGGAATTTCCGATATATCTCCGAAATCCATGGATGACTTTGCTACTCGGACGAGAAATCCAAACAGCCAAGAGTTCCAGAATCAATTGACTTGGCGAAATGCCAAAGCGGAAGTGATGCCTTGTGATGCTTTATGTCATTCTTTGATCTTTTGTAATTTCAAGAAACTTCATGACCATGAGTTCAAACTTTGTCTACGAGATACTCAACAATATACAGCGACTTTACCATTTGGGAGAAGAAAGTAGTATTTTACTTATTAATGGGGATGAAAGTATATAAAACGTAATAAAATATACCATTGTTTTCATTCTTATGTATTGTTTATACGAAAAAAAATTTAAAAGATCGTTATAAATAATAAAATTGCATGTTAACGGGATTATGTTACTCTGCCAATTTTTATCATCGGCATTTTCTTCATTTACACCTCTTGTTTATAACATCATATGGGTCTTCCACGGGCAAAATGTCACTTTTTGCAGGCATTTGCGCTGATAATTTTGTAACTCTGATAAATGTCAAGTAAAGTTTGTCTGCCTGCTCTTGGAGAATTAGCAATATCGGTTCGTTACGTTCTTTTTCTGTGAAATGAAACCCGTATGACATACTACATCTACAGAACAATGTCAAACCAGACAAGGAAAGGCTTCACATATTTAACAGTTTCCTTCTGAAAACCAGTGGCAATTAAGGTAAGTCAGTTCGGTGTCAGTGTCGAATATTTATTTGCGTTATGGAAAATTCGGAAAAAAAATTTGGTTGACAAAGTGAGATTTCCTAGAAAGTAGTGGATAATTCACATGTTAAAAAAAATCAGTTGCATTTTTTATATGTTATTACACGACACATTCGAGATTATTTCACAGTAGAGATGCGATGACGTCCGAACATGACCTGGAAATTCCATTTTAAAGAGCTTTTAAGAATAAAGGTTCATTTTATGTTACTCCAAATTTCGAACCCAGTGCATTGGAAAATAAAAAAAGAAGCTTGACTTCTTTAAGATATTATTATTGACAAAGAAGGAGCACTGTTATTCAGAAAGTTTTAAAAGCGTTAAGATATTAATAAAGGTGTGTTACTCTTAGCGTTGTCAACGAGTAAACGGACACTCGATTATTCAACGAAAGGCCCGAGTATCGAATTCAGTATTCGAGTACTTGGAAAAATTAAAACCAAGCAATATTTCTTCTTAATTATCGTTATTTGTAAATCACATTCTAATTTCAGAGATCATCTTTCCGTTATGTCAATTCCAGTCAACCAATGTGAGTTCGATCTACCCTACCTATATTGGATCCCTAAACTTCATAAAAATCCTTACAAACATAGATACATTGCAGGGTCAACCAGATGTTCTACTAAGGCTCTATCCTTACTCTAATATTCTAGAAGTGGTGTAAATCAGACGTGGATTCTCAAAAACTCCATAGAACTTGTAGAAAATTATAGAAAATTTAAAATCGCCAAATTTTTCAAAAGTCAGTAACAACAAAGCGTACGACTTTTCAACACTTTATACAACCATTCCTCACAATAAATTAAAAAACTAGACTTTTTGATATCATAGATAACTGCTCCTTCAATAAAAAACGGAAGTCTTGTGATTGTCATCAACAAAATTACTTCGTTAAAAATCACTCTGATTCTACACACAAATACTCTGAAGTTGATATTAAAATGATGCTGGAGTTCCTCGTTGACAACATTTTTGTAGTCTTCGGAGACCAGGTTTTCCACTTGTGCTCCTTTATAAGCGGACCTGTTTTTATATTCTTATGAAGCAGAATTCAGAAACTTGTACATGAGAAGAAGAAAACACTTGCTGTGGCCTTCAACTCGACATTTATATATATCGACGATGTATTATCAATTAAACAGTTACTTTCGTTCATATGTCGATTAGATATATCCCAGTGAAATAAAAGACAACACGGAGTCTGTCACATCTGTTTTTACTGACTATAGACGATTAGGACCAACTTACAACTGCATTGTATGACAAATGAGATGACTTTAATTTTTCCATCGTCAACTTTCCTTACTTATGTAGTGATATTCCGCTATCGTCTGCATATGGTGTTTACATCTCCCATCTTATTCGATACTCAAGAGCATGCTCCGAGTATGATCAATTTTGAAACCGAGGGAGGCTACTGACAGATAAATTGATGTTATACATTTCAACAACCTCTTTTAAAGTCAGCAATTCGTAAATTTTGTGGTCATTATAATGACCTTGTTAGCAAATATAACATATCATTGGGTCGTATTTTGGTTGACTTGTTTCATACCAATAGCTACATGATTGAAGGCATTTGTTTTTATACTGGTTCCGTATACTTGATCAATACATATGGCTCACGGCGGATGTGACCGGTCAACAGGGGATGCTTACTCCTCCAAGACACCTGATTTCCACGGGTCCGTGTTTTATGCCCTCTTCACAGCTTTGTATTGTCTATAGATTTTTTTGTTAGATCGATCACTACATGAAAAGAATGACATCGTACTGACAGAAAATAAAACAGAGAAGAAATTCAATATATTTATATCATCCAAATTTTCTCTGACTACAGCTGTATATGCAAGAATGAAAAACAAAGATAACGAACAATAATCATGCTCAGAATTCTATTGAAACAATATAAATTGTAAGCAGAGCAAACACGCAACTCTGAAAATATCAGAGGTGCATGGGATCAGGTGTCATGGAGGAGTAAGCATCCCCTGCTGAATATCATTCAAGAAAGTGAATTGATAATACAAGCATTCAATATGTAATTCGATGTAAAACTTTGATCCCCTTATGTGGCCTCGCCCTTTCCAATGAAAAAGTTTTGAATCTACAATACTTCAGACAGTTTTCACATAAGTTACATCATTTCTATGCCAGTGGTTCTCGAGAAATCTTTTTTAATGCCCTCACCATTTTTTTTGCGCCTTTTCTTGATTATCTCCCCTAGGAAGGGAGTTAGATCCTTCATTTGAACAATTTAGAATCCACTACGAATGCTTTGTACCAACTTTGGTTGAAATTGGCCCGAGAAGTCAAAAATGTAACAAGAGGCCCATGGGCCACATCGCTCACCTGAGCACATTGGCTAGGCAAAAGCACAATCAGTTCAGTATTGAAAAGACCGGGGGGGGGGGGGGCTTGAATTTTAAACTACCTGATGATGCTTCCATGTCAATATAACAAATGGCTTTGTTGTACTTGAGAAGATTTTTTAAAAAAAATTCCCATAGATTCCTTTGTAAAAATTTTATCCCTCATTGTGGCTCCTCCCTATCCCAGGGGTCATCATTTGAACAAACTTGAATCTACACTACCTGAGGATGCTTCCATATCAATATGACTAAATATAGCTTTTCTGTTCTTGAGAAGAAATATTTTTTCTATATGTTCTTATGTAAAACTTTCCATCTCCCATTGGGCTCCATCCTACCCCTGGGGGTCATCATTTGAACAAAATTGAATCTACACTACCTGAGGATGCTTCCATATCAATATGACTAAACATAGCTTTTCTGTTCTTCAGAAGAAGATATTTTCCTTTATATTTCTATGTAAAACTTTGATCCTCCATTGTGGCTCCGCCCTACCCCCGAGGGTCATGGTTTGAACAAACTTGAATCTACACTACCTCAGGATGCTTCCATATCAATATGACTAAACATAGCTTTTCTGTTCTTGAGAAGAAATATTTTTTCTATATGTTCTTATGTAAAACTTTCCTTCCCCCATTGGGCCCCACCCTACCCCTGGGGGTCATCATTTGAACAAAATTGAATCTACACTACCTGAGGATGCTTCCATATCAAATTGACTAATCATGGTTTGCAGTTCTTCAGAAGAAGATATTTTCCTTTATATTTCTATGTAAAACTTTGATCCTCCATTGTGGCCCCGCCCTACCCCCGGGGGTCATGATTTGAACAAACTTGAATCTACACTACCTCAGGATGCTTCCATATAAATATGACTCATCATGACTTTGCTGTTCTTGAGAAGAAGATTTTTAAAGATTTTTCCTATATATTTCTATGTAAAACTTTGATCCTCCATTGCAGCCCCGCCCTACCCCCGGGGGTCATGGTTTGAACAAACTTGAATCTACATTACCTGAGGATGCTTCCATATAAATATGATTCATCATGGCTTTGCTGTTCTTGAGAAGAAGATTTTTAAAGATTTTTCCTATATATTTCTATGTAAAACTTTGATCCTCCATTGCGGCCCCGCCCTACCCCCGGGGGTCATGGTTTGAACAAACTTGAATCTACATTACCTGAGGATGCTTCCATATAAATATGACTCATCATGGCTTTGCTGTTCTTGAGAAGAAGATTTTTAAAGATTTTTCCTATATATTTCTATGTAAAACTTTGATCCTCCATTGTGGCCCCGCCCTACCCCCGGGGGTCAAGATTTGAACAAATTTGAATCTACACTACTTGAGGATGCTTCCATATAAATATGACTCATCATGGCTTTGCTGTTCTTGAGAAGAAGATTTTTAAAGATTTTTCCTATATATTTCTATGTAAAACTTTGATCCTCCATTGTGACCCCGCCCTACCCCCGGGGGTCATGATTTGAACAAACTTGAATCAACACTACCTCAGGATGCTTCCATATAAATATGACTCGTCATGGCTTTGCTGTTCTTGAGAAGAAGATTTTTAAAGATTTTTCCTATATATTTCTATGTAAAACTTTGATCCTCCATTGTGACCCCGCCCTACCCCCGGGGGTCATGATTTGAACAAACTTGAATCAACACTACCTGAGGATGCTTCCATATAAATATGACTCGTCATGGCTTTGCTGTTCTTGAGAAGAAGATTTTTAAAGATTTTTCCTTTATATTTCTATGTAAAACTTTGATCCTCCATTGCAGCCCCGCCCTACCCCCGGGGGCCATGGTTTGAACAAACTTGAATCTTCACTACCTGAGGATGCTTCCATATAAATATGACTCATCATGGCTTTGCTGTTCTTGAGAAGAAGATTTTTAAAGATTTTTCCTATATATTTCTATCTAAAACTTTGATCCTCCATTGCAGCCCCGCCCTACCCCCGGGGGTCATTTGAATCTACACTACCTCAGGATGCTTCCATATAAATATGACTCATCATGGCTTTGCTGTTCTTGAGAAGAAGATTTTTAAAGATTTTTCCTATATATTTCTATCTAAAACTTTGATCCTCCATTGCAGCCCCGCCCTACCCCCGGGGGTCATGATTTGAACAAACTTGAATGTACACTACCTAAGGATGCTTCCACATGAGTTTCATCTTTCCTGGCCCTACGGTTCTTGAGAAGAAGATTTTTAAATGATGCCATTATTTTTTCAGTAATTCCTTATTATCTCCCCTTGAAAGAGGGCGTGGCCCTTCATTTGAACAAACTTGAATTCCCTTTACCCAAGGATACTTTGTGGCAAGTTTGGTTTAAATTGGCCCAGTGGTTCTTGAGAAGAAGTCGAAAATGTGAAAAGTTTACAGACAGACAGACAGACGGACAGACAGACGGACGCCGGACAAAATGTGATCAGAAAAGCTCACTTGAGCTTTCAGCTCAGGTGAGCTAAAAAGTTTACAGACCGACTGACAGATAGACGTAGCCGGACGATACAAAAATGTGTATTAGAACAGATCAAAATGTACAAACGTTAGCTACATGTAGGTATCAGCATTTTTTTTAAATATTGCATTTTATTGGAGTTTTTTTTCCCTATAAGAACAATTCCTTGTCTGTCACAAAAAATTTGACATGCAACAAAAAATACATTTGCTAGTAAAATTGAGATGTGACAGTAAAAAAAATAGTTTTCTTTCAAAATAATATTATACGTTTATCCTCTTACAAATAGTAAATAATGACTGTGGTAATAAAAAGAAGACCACACTTATATTGCACAAGGATTGCATTATCTGTAACACAGTCTCACTGTGAATGAAAAAAAAAATATATGTCCGAATACCTGAATAGACTTTGCTTTGGTTTCAGTAACTGAAGACAAACACAGTGAAAAAACATAATTAATTATTACTTATATATAAATATAAAATAAATAAATAAATATAAATATGTAGTAATGTAAATAATCATTTTAAAAAAATAAATCAAAATAATTACCTACAAAATATTATACACATTCGATATGCTAAGAAGTGTTTAAATAACTATAAAATCAAAAATTAATGATTTTTTTTCTACATACAACTTCGAATAAGCGTTCTTTTTCGATCCCAAATATAAAAAATCAGTACATTTTATGAGAGAAAATATGATTATCAAGAACAAGATCAACAATGACTTTAGCCGATTTGGCTAAATATGATATGATCTTTGTCCAAATTTTGCCATCTTTGTAACATGTAAGACATGTACATTAACACTATATTAGATATAAGTTTGAATAATTTTGCTTTTAACGTTAATAACACTTGTTTTTATACCTTTCAGTTTTGATTTGTATCCTTATATATATATATATATTACCATGCAACAATAAAAGAAGATTTTATATAAGAGAAAGTCAATTTGTCAAATAACAGAACAGCCATTCTTTGTCACAATATATCATATGAAAGACCTGGAGTTTTGACCTATGGTGCATCAAGCTTAGCGATGATCATAAATACTAAAATACTCCAAATTTACCTTGAATAAATAATATACATTGGTGACTGTTCACAAAATTGAATGTTACATGTACATGTAGTTTTAAATTCGAGATTCGCGGACATGTCTTCATATCTTCATCCTTACTTGATCGACTGCTTTAAATATTATTACCCTCCTATTCTTTCTCCTTCGTTTCATATTCACTGTCTTAAAGTCATCTTTAAAAAAGGGGGGAAAAGAAAGAAATTTAATTTTAAATTTGATCGAATTATTTTTCATAAAAAAAAATAAAAATAAAGACGGCAACTTCATATAAAGAGTAAGCCTTCAAATTATACCATACCTTCTTTTTTTCTGTTTAAAACCCTTCTCCTGCATAAACAAGGATCCGCCCCGCTGTATCCTCTACTCTCGTCACATTCACATGGTATTCTACAGCCAGTTTTTGACAAAGAGTTTACTCGTCTTGTTTCTGTATTTATTAAACAACAATGATGATTATAATGGACTCAAATCGGAATTTATCACTAGTGTGCAAATATTGGCCCAAATTTTCAGTGATGCTTCAAAATTAAACTACTTTAATGTCGGGATTTCTCAGACAAGGGTCTAGACATAGACAGGAATGAAAAAAAAATGCTTTTTAAAATATGTTTTTCTTTGAACGATAAGTTCTCTCCCAAGATTACATTCCGTTTAATCATAAAACTGCAAAATGAGATGCACACTGTATAATTATGAAACTAGGATTAAAATACCAAACAACTGAGGTTATCGAACTTATGATAGCAATTATCGACAAAATTTAAACACTCAATAGCACCTATCAACTTGAAAAACTTCAAAAAAGCAATTGAAAAAATAAATACTCAAAAGTGTATATTGAATGCTGCATAGCTCATTATATCATTAGGGAATATTATATCGATTATTGGCTGATTCTTGGAAGGTATGCAGTTTCATATATGCATTCTATCGTACTCTGAACATCCTCACAACGTCAGGGGTCCTGAATCAACGCGATGCATGCCGTGTCCCACGGCAACATGTTGACTCAGGACCTCTGCCGTGTCTCACAGCAACGTGTAGACCCAGTACCCCTAAGTCGTGAGGGTGTACTCGAAGTAATATTCTAGGAAAGTGTATAGAATGGCTTACCCGGAGGACAGTCATACCGGCGACAGGGAAACGGGAAGTAGGAGTTTGTGGGGTCTAGTAACAGTGATCCTGGGGGACAGGGCTCACAACGGTCTGCCGTATTATTCACTTCACATCTCCTGACGTAAAAATCTGAAATTAAGATGCAGTTAAATAGTGCACATTTCCTTCTATTCAACAGTCAAGTGTTATTACAGAACTGTAAAGAATAGTGTTTACTTGGTTGACACTCGACGAAGCAACATGAGGTAGTTTTCTCAGTCAAGAAATCTGTTCTCTCGACAACACGATCGCAGGATTCACTCATACAAATCTGAAACAGAGAAAAAACACGCAGGATAAATGGCCTTCACCTTCATTATATACACAGGAAAAGCTTCATTATGTTTAGTGATAAGAAAATCTGTTCTTTGAGATTCATGGTGGATTGCATTGTTGTATTGGTGTTGGTGTATTGTTTATTTATTTTTTCGTACATTATTCTTGTCTTCTTTAATACTGAAGAGGGCACAATGAAAATAAGTAGTTAATAATAACAGACTATGTAAAATGAAATTATTTTTCACCTTTTTAAAATTATGACTATATTTTAAGCTCTCGGTCAATTATTGTGAAAAAGAATGAACATTGTCTATCTAAAGCTTCGTTTCAGATGTAGTTGCTTTATTGCCGTATAACCAAAAAAATGTAATTTGAAATATTCGTAATGGAACTCTTGTATTTATGTCAGGTGAGTTTCGACAGCGGAGAATGTTTAAATGAAATATACTTACAAAAACTAGGAATAAACCCGCTATAAATTTCATTCCATTTAATGGTTTACTTGTAATAAACATTATGGTCTCTCTTCCTGAAAATAAGCATATTACCCTATAGCAATCGTTATTTGATGTGTTCCTAATCAGATGAACTTGGTACTTATTTGTATCAAAATCATATTTTAATTACTTTATAGAAATGATACTTCATTAAATATTTCCTTTAAAATTAGACACACTTTACCTTATTCGTTAGATTCAAAACAATTCCAGAATCGCGTACTTCTACTTTTCGGAATAGATACATGAAGACAGAAAAGATTTGGGAATTTATATCATCATTATACGTCATACATATCAGTTGACCATTCTATGAAGTATAATAGTATTTCGGAAAACACTCTGGGAATCCCGGTTTCGTATGCCAAGAATTCATTACCTATCCAATTCTCCTATATGTTTTTGTTACAGTCTCATTTATGTTCATAAACAAAAAAGGATGGTTTGCTTTGATCAATAATTAAGAAAGTGAAGTCATCGTGTATTTCCCGTCTGCGTGGGTTCCATCGGAGAGAGAAACATTTCATTGAAAGTTCACTGATTCAAAGTTTTCAAAATTCTGAGTTTACCAGTATGAGGCAGTGTTTATTGATTATTGCATGCGCGACTACTAGTACTTTGACACTAACAGCCATGCTGTCCTTCAGAGCCTTTACATTTCTATTTACAACACTGGTTTGTACTTTTCTTACTGAAATAAGAACAACAACAACACCATCCCATCCCCCCAAAAAGTTATCAAACCAAAAACAAGTTAAATCTCAACTATATTTTACATAAGAATGTGTATATAATTGGTCATTTTCGCATTTTCAGTTAAGAGAAACTTCCAAGCTTTTGGCCTGTATATTCCTGTAAAACTTATAGCCTCTTTTTTGGCATCATGGAATAAAATTGAATTTGTACGACCTTGACAATGAGTCAAATCAGTATGAAAGGGAGGGCAAAACCAGACATTTTCAAGCAAAAATTCCTTGATAAATAAAGGTCATCGGGCGTAATTGTTGAGAGAGCATCTTTGTACTACACTGTATGTGGCGGAAAAATTATTGCCCCTTCTTCCCCCAGTTCCTTCTGCCACAATGGTCCTAGAGAACAAGTTATCAAACCATTATTTGGCATTAATTTCAATGAACTTAAATCTTTTTCTCCATGATGTTTTGTGTCAGTTTTGATTAGGATGTTTGAAATTTTAGAAATGAAGATGAAAATGTAAAAAAAAAAAAAAAAAAAAAAGTCTAAAGACGACATAATTATAGCGAACAGACGGACACAAAGCACTAAGGTGGAAATCTCAATTTCAAAACAGCGTACAACTGTCCCTAATAATGGTACCTGGTTTACTGAATAAAACATACATTGGTGTCTTACTAACCAAACCATTCAATAATTTAAAGAACAATTTGCATTTATTACCATTCAATATTTGAGGAATAATTTGCCTATATTACCATTCAATACATTGTATTTCGAAGAGGAATTTGCCTACATGTATATCATTCATTTTTTTCTGTTTCTCTACGAAACTTTGTTTTTAATTTAGAACCATACGATATTCTGAGATTTCACTTTGACATATATACATGGTATCAGAGATACTGAGTTACTGAAGTTAACCATAGGTCATAGACAAGATCGGAGAGATTTGATCTATAGATAACCTAAGCATACAAACAATTACGATTAGTTTATAAAACACATCATACAACATATATTCAAGATACCAGTGGTTATTCATTAGGACCGATAAAAACGGTGAGGCTTCTATACTTATAAATTAATACATTTTGCAAATAAACTCCGAAACGGATGCACCAGAGTTTTCACCTACTCCTCTAAAAATACACTAGATACAATATGTCCGTAAACTATATTTAGCTTTAACTCGCATTGTAAGTATCGTACATTAAATTAAAAGTCTACTTTTATTTTCTATAAGCAGCCATGAAATAGCAAAAACATGAGTACGGTGGCGTTTCCTGTTGGCGGATCTAAGTTTCTGGCAATTTTCAATGAAACTGACAACAAGCAATCGTTTATTTATTTCATAAAAACGTCATCACTAAATTATTCAATCAAAACTTGATTTAAATGACATAAAAGAAATAAGTTGTGATAACCGATTAAAAAGGGAAATGTGCAAATTATTTTTGTCATTCACCGATCTTAATATTGACGGAAGCTTCTAGAACATCATATAGCACCGAGCCCGATGTAAAAAGAAAAACGAGACGATTATAGCTGCAGGAACATAAAAGAAAGCTTATGCGTGAATGGTCATTGAAATAATTGATAACACTATAAGTTGTGAATATATTTATATATCGAAAGACTATTACATACATGTAGTAGGTTTTCCTAATAAATTTATCGGTAAAATGTGTAATATATTCCTCACTGGCATCGTGGCAACGAACCCGAAGTACAATTTCTACTTCGTAATAAAATTGCTTACATGAAAAGAGAAAATTAATGTATAAGATATTGCTCAAATACAATTAAAGCTGTAAAATTTTGTGCTTTAATCAATACATTTCAGTTTTTTTTCTGAATACAGTCTTTTGTATCAAATACTCGGCCTATTGGCGTTAAAAGCTAATTTTTACACAGGTACTTGCGTCTTGGTTTATAAATATATATGTACCTTATTGATATGTAAAAAAGGTAAAGTACATTTTTACATATCAATAAGGTACATACATATTTATAAACCAAGACTCAAGTACCTGTGAATTTTTACCCCCCCCCCAAAAAAAAACCAATCAATCTATCAATAAAATATGCATATTCGCTGCTTTTATCCTTGACGGAAAGAAAACAAGAGCATCTGAAGTACAATATCCATAACATAGTGTAACAGGTTTCACAATAAACATCAATTAATGAAATTGTTATCTTTTTCAAGTTTTTACAAAAGGGGGTGGGGGTGGGGGGTGGAGACGCACATGTGGGATTTTGAACAAAGTATTTCTTCCTGCTATAAGCCTGTAGGCTGTCAGTAGAAACTACAATATATTTTCTGTCGGTAGTGGTATAAATTCAATTACCCGCGCTTGCGCGGGATTTCATCTAGTGCCTTATAAGTCTAAAACCTCTTTGCAGACCGTACGGTTCTCGTGTCCATATACACTAAGGCAAGACTTAAAACATTATAAACAACATTTCCTTAAATTCCAATTGTGTTTTAGCCCTAGACAGTATTTTTATTCATTTAAATAGAAGACGATATTACTATGGGATTGTAATAATTTTAATTAAATGCATTCACACTTCTTAAAAAGAGGAAGAGGTTGAACCGAAAGTATTTGTCGAAACATTCATTATCTCATTCGAAAATACTTTTTGTTCACTTCAATCTATTCTACCCACGTGTATGCTTTGGTAAAAAAAGACACTGCCACTTGGGCGAATGGTTTTCGTTGGATAAGAAGAAAAGGTCAGCTACATTATAAGTCTTGTATTAAGGTAGTATGGGATACCTCCATCTTATATTATGACGTACTTCCTTTTGAGGTATTGTTTTGATTTGGTTGAGTGTTTATTATCGGATCAAAAGTAGATACGCCGTTATCCGTTTATAAGAACTTTCCGAAGCTATAATAATGCAAAATCACAAAAATTGGCATTCTATTCAAAAATACTGGTAAACCAAAAAAAAAAAAATTGCAAGTATTAACGACTTTGAACATTTAAAAAAGCAATCCCCTGTCAGAGATAATTTAAAAATCGCTGCTTTTGAACTCTTTTAAGCAAAAGATATGCATTTCATATATTTCAATTGTTTGATTAACCGTATAGCACTTTGTGTGCGGTGAGGAAAAGATAAGTATTTTTACTTACCATTGTACTGATTCATTATACCTGTCAATTATCATGTTATCCAGAACTGGTCTTCTTTGTTTTTTGTTTGTATGTTGTTTAACATCCCTCTCGAGAATTTTTCACTCATATGGAGACGCCACCACTTGCCGGTGGAGAGCTGCAAATTTTGTCTTATACTCGGCACTTACGGCCATTGAGCAGTGAGGGATCTTTTTCGTGCCAGCACCTACTGCGACACGGGACCTCGGTTTATACGGTCTCATCCGAAGGACCGGTCTCCACGTCCCACAGTGGGATTCGAACCCGCGACGTAAGGATCAACTCCTTACTCCGCGACTCTAGAGCAGACGCTCTAACCACTGCGCCACGCGGGCGACCTGGTCTTCTTTGTTATTTTATTCAAGAAGTAACTGTTTGGTCACAAATCAACTGAAGATGAACTTTTTTGTATATAGACCCAAAACTTTAAGAACTTTGATTGCAGACACATCTTGGAAAGCGATTGTTCATGCAAAACAGATAAAAGTTGAAAACTATTACTGCACAAAAGAGCTTCTTTTTAAAGTTGGGGGGGGGGGGTGCTCATTATTTCTAAATAGCACCAAGGGTATTTCAACTCCTTGGAAAATAAAGAAGAATGCTCATTATTTCTAAATAGCACCAAAGGTATTTCAACCCCTTGGAAAATAGAGGATACATGTAACTGGCTTGGGGTAAAAAGCTGAGTGGAGTGGAGTGGAGTCTTGTGGAGTCATGGAGTGGAGTCTGTATTATAGCAGTACAGAAAGTTTGAGAACAAAACAATTTCTCTTGCATACAGTCTCTCCCCTGCAATGTCTAACAAGAATGATACAAGGAACAAAAGAAATCAGTACGACCAAAAAACTTTTGACCTTTAAATGTCAAACAGAAATCTTTTTAAAACAAAGACTTGGTAATACATTAGCAGCATCTAAACTACGCTCAGGTATATGACCTTGCTCGCCTATCTAAAACAGACAAACCTAGTAAGAGGTGTTGACAGCTTTATAATATCAACAGATTGCACTGCGGAACTGATGACAATTGAATTATAAAGGCACATGACTTAAATACCTTTTTTTGTTTTACTTTTAAAGTGCATTCAACCCTCTTTGTCGATATTTGAAGGCCACTATTTTTTTCTGCATCTCATTCCTCGTGATTTGTTTATGTTAACATACACATATACCT